GTACGCAGCGCGGTAGAAATTGGAGATTGAGAATAATCTAAAAATAGCCGGGGGCGCGTTCTCTTCTACTTACGCGACTAGGTTGAGACTTGAGATCGCTCTGTCGTGTATCGGAGACATTTATTTTTCAACAGGTCAATCAATTATGTCCCGTACAAGCAAGGAATATTTATTTGTTTGTAGAAACTATAAGATTTTATCGGTTCACCAGGAATTCTTCCCCAAAATAATACATAATCCTTTTTGGGATTAACATGGGGTACTAAATTAATTTCGATTATAGCTGAGAAGAGAAAAATAGGGTAATCACGACAATGTTATTTAAAAAATAACGCTTATTTTGTAACAGTCGTTACTGCAGCTCTATACCAAAAAATCGATTTCCACCTCTATCAAACTGTAATACGAAATGTCATTAATGTCAATTTTTGACGGTTGATTAGTGCTTATTTATAATTAAATTAATTCCCTTATACAGGGTTGGGCAAAAGTCCGGAATAAAATTATTATCTGTTAAACCAGTAATTTAAACAAAAAACGCTGAAACACGTAAATTGATTTTATATTGGACGGATTTGTTGCCAATAAAATGATTTTTTTTTCTTCAACCCCTTAGTTGCAACCCTACCCAACTTTATTTTTTCAAATGCAAAGGTATGTCGTGTGTAGGGTCATTGAAAAGCCCGTGAAAAATGGAATCTAAAACATACCTTTTTTTTATTTTTCTCATGTTGTTATTTGGAAATGAGCAAAAAATTCTTTTAAAAACAAATATGTTACAAATACTTTTTTAGTGGTATCGACGTGTGAATTAAGGCTTACTCTACTTAACAGGCTCCAAGGCAATGGTAAAACCTAATATCGGTAGCCTATCTTTAATTCTGAATGAACTTTTATTAAAAGCAGGCGAGCCTGGTCAGGCAGCACACCAAATTTTATTGATTTACCGTTTAAAACTGATAAGGCAATTTAGCATCAACATTCGTTGAAATTTATGTTTTAAGAAAAAACAAAAACATAAAATGGGTTTAAATCTAAGCCATTGTTGATCAGTGAACTTCAAAAAGGAAAACAGGTGTTGCATTTTTGTACAAGTTTTTTTTTATTAAAGGTTCGCCTGTTTTTATTAAAAAGTCATCAGAATATGCTATCGATATTACGTTTTACCAATGCCTGGAAGCCTGTCAAATAGATGGTGAAGGGCATTGTCAACATTGCTACGTCGATAGCACTAAAAAGGTATTTGTAACTTTTTTTGTCTTTAAAAGAAATTTTTGCTCATTTTCAAATAACAACATGAGAAAAATTAAAACAAAGGTATGTTTTAGATTCCATTTTTCACGGGCTTTTCAATGACCCTACACACGACATACCTTTGCATTTGAAAAAATAAAGTTGGGTAGGGTTGCAACTAAGGGGTTGAAGAAAAAAAAATCATTTTATTGGCAACAAATCCGTACAATATAAAATCAATTTACGTGTTTCGGCGTTTTTGTTTAAATTACTGGTTCAAAAGATAATAATTTTATTCCGGACTTTTGCCCAACTCTGTATAAATCAATAATCAGTAATTTATCGTAAAGAAGAGTACAAATTGAATTGAATAGCGATAGTGAATAGAGTAGAATACAATAGAATAGAGTAGAATAAAATAATGAACAGAGTACGAGTAGAATAGTATGGAGTAGATTCGAGTAGATTCAGATGAGAAAAGTAGATTCGAAGTAGGTACAGTAGATTCAAAGTAGAGTAGAATAGGGTAGAAAAAAATAATGAATAGAGTAGCAAGCAAGTAGAATATAAGTAGAATAGAGTAATCATGAGAACGATATTTGAAAATAACGCTTGTTTTGTAACAGTCGTTACTGCACCTCTACACCAATATAATATTCCCACCTCTATTAAACTTCTGTCATAGGAAATGTCAATATCAATTTTTGACAGTTTTTGTTTATGTATCATCGAACGCATCTTAAAATCCCACTTATTCGCGTATAAAGCAAATAACAATATTTTTTCGATACCGGATTAAAATTCAAGCAAATTCGATTCGGACTTTCGATGCGCCCGATTTCATAGAGCTAAAGAGAAGCACCAAAATCGGTACATCCTGAGTGTGGACAGAACATTATACAGGGCATTAATTCCGCACGCAACGCGAACACGATTTAACTTAATTAATATAAATCACATTTTAAGTATTATTTCGCCGAGATCCCACTCGACGCGCCTTAATGAAACAGAGTGTGCCAATTTAACCACTTGTTACGTGCCTGTGCTTAGTAACTCGGTGGAAGAGCAGAGTACAAACACACACACACACACACACGGATATTATCAACACACATTAAGACCTACGCGAGGCACAGTGCACCGCATTGCCCTTTCAAAGAGACAAAAATCCTACCAATCCTTCCATCTAACTTATTGTAAATATGCTACATTGCTTTAATTACTTGTATTAAAGAAAACAAGTTATCATAAAGTATCATATAAATAAACAGCTTATCTGGGAACGTATTGGAGTATTTTCGGTCCAGATAGGGAGGCCTCCGGGCCTCCGTTCATCCAGTTAAGTTTAACAGAAATAAAAGTCGAGTAAAACATCTGTCGCTTGTTGCACTGCGACCGACAACCGCCGCAGGTGAAAACCCTTAGCTGGGCCCGGCCCACGCCCCGCGGGCGCAGGCGGCGGTCTCCGGTTATTGTGCTTTTTTTCCGAGGCACCCTCGTACGATAATCTCTCGTCTTCGGATTCGTATCTCGCTTGTATTTCGTCGGGTTGGGCTGCTGGGCTCTTCGCGAGATGTTTGGGGAGACATTATAAGGCCGGTGGTGTTGTTATTGTAATTTTATCTAGTAAATTCTTGCAATATTGTAGAGATTTCTTTGTACAAAATGAAATGAACAGCGTGTTTGGATCTCAATTAGTTTTTGAGATAATTGCGATTTTTTATCGAATTGCATCACATTTAGTAGCATCGATAGAATCCATTAAAAACTCAAAATAAGGGTTAAATTAAGGGTTTTACGAAAATTTTTGATTCTTTATAAATTGTAGAGAACATTTTTTTCTACACAATGAAATGAACAGCGTGTTTTGATCTCAATTAATTTTCGAGATAATTGCAAAATTTTATCGAATTGCATCACATTTAGTAGCATCGATAGAATCCATTAAAAACTCAAAATAAGGGTTAAATTAAGGGTTTTACGAACATTTTTGATTCTTTATAAATTGTAGAGAATAGTTTTTTCTACAAAATACAATAAACATCGTCTTTGTATCTCAATTAATTTTCGAGATAATTGCGAATTTTAATCGATTTGCATCAAAATTAGTAACTCCGATACAATTCGAAAATTTTCCATTCTGAAAAAATTATTGAAAAATGTTTTTCCTACGAAATGAAACAAACCGCGTACTTCAATCTCAACTAACTTTCAAGAAAATTCACTTTTTTCCGAGGCACCCTCGTACGATAATCTCTCGGATTTGTGTCTCTCTTGTATTTTCGTCGGGTTTGGTTGCTGTGCTCTTCGCGAGTTGTTTGGGGAGAAATTATAAGACCGGTGGTGTTATTATTATAATTTTATTTAGTAAATTCTTACAATATTTTTGGAAGTTTATTGGAGGAATTTAAGGAATCTAACTCGTGGAGTTCCCACCGGTGGAGATGAGGTTCTCATCCGGTTGGAACTCTGGAGGAAATAGAAAATAATGGAGAAGTTGGTTTTTAGTACGTTTCGTTTGAGAGCGAAGTGTAATAAAAACGAACGGTTTTCTCCGATCTAAATGAAAAAATTCTCACAAAAATCGATACTTTTAGAGTTTTACAATCGTTTTTTTTAATTATTATTGTTTTATAATTATTGTATTCGACGTTTAAATATTGTCTAATAAATTTATAATTGATTTTACATTAAGCGCATAGGAGTCTCCAAATTGCTAGTAATCTTCCGTACGGATTTTCAAAATATAATTATAATTTATTTAATATCGGTAATATTATAAAGACTCCTATCCGGTTATAGAATATTGCGAAATTTTGGCACATAGTGACTATCTTTTTTTAAATTCATAATAATTCTAAGGTGTTTCGCATTTAACACATTTTATCACATAAAATATGTTAATCGCTTGTAAATTAATAACAAAAGTTCTCAACTATTGTACATACATCATTCTACTGAGATCAAATTGAATGAGTGATTCATAAACGTAACAACATTTTTTTTCTATTTTTTAATATCTTGATATTTTTTTTTAGTAATTTTTGTATATTTCCCCTCACGACAACCACAACAAATATACTTTCATTTGCAACCGCTTATTTCATACTAAACAACACAATTAAATCTTTTTTTATCATGTTTTTAATCCACTGTAAAAACGGATTTTTATTTATTATTTTTTTCGAGGGTAATATACTATTTTTTTACGAATAATCTAAACCTACGGCGTACATGTATAAACATCTGAAAACATATAAATGTGTATATAAGCAACGACAAAAATATAATCTCGAAATGATAACAAAAAATAAAACAAAATACAGGGCGATACATAAGAAAGAATATAAAGAGTGTATAAATGCCCACCACCCTGTATATCGTTGCTTAACCATTGGGAACTGGCACCCGTCGTTTGATATGTATTATTTTCACAAATTCGAGGATCCCCGATGGGGAACCCCCAAAAACTTTAAGCGTAAATGTATAATTTCTCCGAGTAAAACATTTCAATAACGAACAACAAATTCGGTCAATGAAATTGTTAACAAAACATCGAACCCCACCCTACAGATTTCATCATTCAAACCACAGTTAACAAAGTCTCGGAATGTAAAATACAAATAAATTTCTTCTACTATCCATCCAACATCGCCTCGAATTCAGAAACAAAACAAAAATTACACCCGGAGCTCCATTCGGTAGGCCATAACCGCACATAAATAATTCCAGCCACTCTCTCAATTTCCCAGCTTGAATCCCACACATCAGCTAACAATTCGCTTGTCGACGAGCGGCAGCACGTCCGCCAACAGCTTAGTACCGGACAATCGCTCGTACGACGCGCCGATAACGTTCCTGATCAACCTGAACGACTCCGAATCGAACACGGACCGCGCCGTGTTGGTGTAATCGAACGGCTCCTCGATGCACAGGTACTTCCACTGGTTCGGATCGTTCTTGGGCGCCCTCGCGAACCTGCACTCCTCCACGGGCAGGCTGCAACCCGCCCGCACCGATATGGCGTACCGGTTGAAGTCGAACGACGAGTAGTACTCGAAGAAGCCGACGAACAGCTCGGCCAGCGTCAGCCGATTGTCGGAGGTGAAGTCCTCGAAGAGCGGCAGCTCCTCCTGGACGTTGGTCGTGTAGGGCTCGTTCGACGGGCCGAACTTCGACGGCAGCAGCCCGTGGAGGCACGGCAACACCGGCGGTACCACGCCACCTAAAATACTCATAATTAACAAGTGTACGAGGGATGTTTCCAAAGTTCTGGGAAGTGGTGAGAGACAAGTCTTGTCTATCTGGTGCAACATCGTTCAGTCTGATTAGTTGAATCCTGAATGCTCCAGAATGATTTAGGACTGTTTAGAAAGCTCCAGAATGATTTAGAACTCTCCATAGTCTTTTAGAAAGCTCCAGAATGATTTAGAACTGTTTAGAACGCTCCATAATCATTTAGATAACTGTCTAGAACCATTTAGAACTGTCAAAAACTATTTAGAACGCACCATAATCATTTAGATAACTGTCTAGAACCATTTTGAACTGTCTAAAACTATTTAGAATGCTCCAGAAGCATTTAGAACTATCTAAAACCATTTAGAACGCTCTAGAATCATTTAGAACTATCTAAAACCATTTAGAACGCTCCAGAATCATTTAGACTAAAGCCAATTTGAAAGTCATTTAGAACAGTCTAGAACAATCTAGAACGACCCAGAATCAATTAGAACTGTCTAGAACTATTTATATCGCTCCAGAAACATTTAGAACGGTCTAAACCCATTTAGAACGCTTCAGAATCTTTTAGACTAAAACCATTTAGGACGCTCCAGAACTATTTAGAAGGCTCCATAGTCATTTAGAACGCTCTAGAATGATTTAGAACTGTTTAGATCGCTCCAAAATCATTTAGAAATGTCTAGAATCATTTAGAACTGTCTAAAACCATTTAGAACGCTTCAGAATCATTTAGAACTGTCTAAAACCATTTAAAACGCTCCAGAATCATTAGACTAAAACCAATGAGGTCGCTCCAGATCTATTTAGAACGCTCCATAGTCATTTAGAACTGTCTAGAACAATCTAGAACGATCCGGAATCAACTAGAACTGTCTAGAACTAAAGATTTCGATTTAATAACGCGAATAATGTAATTATTCAACTGAAAATCGCGGTCTTTTATTGTTGAACCGAGAACTTTTCACCTTAGCCTTGTAGAAGCGTTTTTATAGTACTGTTTTTGTAAGCATGGAAGAGCAATAATTTTCTTTTTGTGAAAAAAAAGGTGTGGAAACATCAGAAATTATTCAGCATTTGCATGAGTATTTGGTGAGTCTACAGAATCCAAAAGTACTATTTATTGGTGGATTATTAATCTGGTATTATTAATCTGTTCTAGATTTTTTTCTGCCTCTTCGATAGTTACAAAAACAGTGCTATGAAAACACTTCTATAATAGTTGAACACTTGAATCAAACTGAACAATGTTGCACCAGATAGTTGCACAAACATCTCTTTCACCAAGAATATTCCCCGAACTTCGGAAAGATCCCTCATAGTGTACAAAACTGTGTTTACATTGTAAGTAGTGTATGACCATCAGCACCCACGAGTAGCTGGACACGGTCATCTTTTTGGCGTCGTTGATGTTGTTTTCCTGCGCCCAGATTTTCACGATGATGACGAGAGGCCGCACTCGCCAGTCGAGGCGCGAGTAGCTGTACAACAGCTGGGTGTTCTTGATGCCCACCGAACTGTTGCAGTTCAAATCGATCTCGAAGCCGGTCTGTTTCTCTTTGAACTTCAGTATCGGCACTTTGGCCAGGATCAGTTGCGGATCGTCCGCCATTTCTGCAACGAAAAGAATTAGAATATCCTCGGATACGGGTATTTTTATAGTACCGTTTTTAATTAATAAATGCCTGACGGCGTTGAGGTGGTGTAAGGCATCTAAACGAGGATCGCTACTGATAGATTTCGTCAACAAACACATATCAATATCACTGTTGATTAAACCGAAACCGGACATCGTAGAACCTACCATGTATAAACCATAATTGCTCAAGTAATCCTGAAACAAATCGATATACATTCACACGACATTAAACGAACCCGACCGGACTTACTTTGAGATATAAAAATATATTTTTCCACGAATTAATTTTATTTTCATAAGTAATTTCGTTTTGGGCCTTGCTCTTGTACAAGCGCCAAATGTCCTTGTTCAGCTGACCCAATGGGCCCTTTAGAGTCGTATTCGGAGGATTCGGCAGGATTCTCATTACCTCAGCTTTGGACTTGAACCTCTCGACTAGGCCGTAGACTTTCTTCGATACATTGTGACCGTTCTTGTAATTACTGGATTGCTTGCGATGCGATCGCTTATTATTGTTATTATTGTTATTATTATTATTGAATTTATTGTTCGAGTTGATGTTGCTGTTGGTGTAGCACCTAAAAAATACGCCGCCCAACGGTTTAGAATCGATAATTATTCGAAATAACGCAAATAAAACGAAACCAAAACTATTAAAAACAAATCATGCAATCATAATTTCGTTGTTTGAATAAAATTACCCCGTTATTTGTTCAAACAATGATATTATTTTAAATATCCCTCGTTTAAAATATTTACTGCGAGCTTACATAGTTGAAGTCGCCCCAACTATTTTGACATTCACTGCCACGGGACAAAAAGAAACGTTCTATTCTGACCATGAACACAACATTGACAAGATTGACGTTGACAATTAGAAATAAGGTTATGTTTTCTAATTAGGTGTCGAAAATTGAAAAATTAATCAATACACATAAATTAAGGACACACACATACACGTTGTAGAAAAATACTCAAATTCCTACAGACAATTACTAATTAGAACAAAATGAGTGCCGATCTCATAGTCGATCCGCAAATCCGTTTTTGGGTGTTCCTTCCTATCGTGATCATAACGTTTTTAGTGGGAATATTACGGCACTACGCCTCTATCCTGCTGTCGAGCCAAAAGAAGATCGAATTACAACAACTGGCCGATTCGCAGTTACTGCTAAGGGCCAGGGCGCTGAGAGAGAACTCCGGCTACATCCCGAAGAACGCTTTCCTCATACGAAAACAGGCTTTCAACAAAGAAGACGGGTACTTGATGCAAAAACGACCAGCGGTAAATCAAAACATGATGACCGATCCCTCTATGATGACCGATATGCTCAAAGGTAATCTCACCAACGTCCTGCCCATGATCGTTATAGGAGGCTGGATCAATTGGATGTTTTCCGGATTCATAACGACCAAAGTACCGTTTCCTCTAACTCTGAGGTTCAAATCGATGTTGCAAAGGGGCATTGAGCTGTCTCATTTAGACGCTAGTTGGGTGTCGTCGGCTTCTTGGTACTTTCTGAACGTGTTCGGATTAAGGAGCATTTACACGTTGGTGTTGGGGGAGAATAACGCGGCCGATCAGAGCAAGCAGATGCAGGAACAGATGCAAATGACGGGGGCCGCATCGGGGATGCCCGCCGACCCGAAGGTGCCGTTCAAGGCGGAATGGGAGGCGCTGGAGATCACCGAGCACCAATTGAAATTGTCCGATATCGAAAAAGATCTATTATAAATTATTCGTATTAACTAGTTGAATTGTATTCGTAAACCGTTTAGATTAAACGTTAAATATTTAAAGGAGCTTCTTGTAAGTAACCCGATACATAAAACACCAAAAAAAAGCATGCAAATGAAACAAAAGAAATCGAAAATAAAAAAAAATGTGAAACAAACAAAAACGCCATCTTCAAAATTTTTACCTATTTTTATAATTGCCATTGTTATTATTTGCGTTACTGTTCTGATGTTTTAGATTAGAATGGTAGCAAACAGTTGGAAAACTGTGGCTGTATTTGCCTATAACGACTGTTTGCTCATCCAATCTCTTCGCACTAAAACCACCTCCTGAATTTCTACTCGAGATTCCTTCAAAAAAATTCAAATCATAAATTACAACTACCATCAGACCTCCAGATTATGCTATACTGATTGATTGTATCGACAGTGCTTCAAATAACTTATTAAATCTACTTAGATGAAGAATTCACTTTGAAGCTCTGTTTTAGATGAAAGTGTATTAATTATTATCAAATTGGTACCAATTAAGCAATGAAAAGCTGTTATACAAAATCGCAGTATGCTGTGGACTGGTTTAAAAAATGACTAATGACATGTACACATTTTCACTATGACAGAAAAGCACAGCAATTTTGATTGTTACTATACTTTTTGGAGATTGCTTTGATTGTGTACAAGTTATACAAGCGTTACGCATGAAATATAAAAAAGCTTACTTGTTCTGATGGAAGATTCTTTTGACGGAGGGGACCAGCTTTCGTCGCTTTCGTAACCTTTACTCGAGAAATCTCTCGGTTGGTACCTGTTGATAGTGTAGCTGTAATTGACGATTTTGTGAGGCGGAGGTGGCATCATGCTGGTGGAGAATCTAACACTTACAGGTGAATTTCTATTTACATCTGCATCCGAATCTAATTGAAAAAACAGTCAGTATTATAAATTGTATATGTAATTGCATTTGGGATGTACCACGTACCTTTAGTAGTCACAGTTTCCGAATGTCTTTGTCCCTTATTATAGTTTTTTTTATTGCAATTCGTGATAGGATCCAAAGTAGGTGAAATAATATCGTAAGGCATACTATCGGAAAAAAGATTATTGTTATTGTTAAAATTATTGTTCAATATTTGAGATTCCAATTCCATTTTCTTTTAATAAAAACCAACAACTCTGCAAAAAATCTGCAAAGAAAAAAAATATTTATTGAACCTTTACCGGGGCATTTGTTGGTTAATTCGTACGAGTATCGATAGCTAATTAACTGACCATTCTATATTAAGTTACGGAGAGCAGAACGCACATAATCGAATACTGGTATTTTATTTTATTAACATTTATCATCAACCAACAGTCACTCTTTCTTTTACTTTGGGAAAAAATCAAACGATATCACAAACGAGCCTGCGCTAAACTGTTACCAACCAAAACACCCTACTAATAAAACAAATGTACTTTGTTAATAAATAATGCGAATCCATTGCGGTAAATATTATGTAAATTATCCAAAATTAGGTATTTATTTTTTATCTAGATAAATATGATTTATTATATTAGTCTAAAAAAGAAGAGTGTATTTAGACATTTGAAGTTGCAGCATATGAAGGTACTATGAGACCAGTTTTGGAAAAGAAGTTGTCATACGTCACAATTATTTAAAAAATTTAAATTTTTGAAGAAAATAGGAATTACAATTATTATTTCACCCGCATCCGAAAAAGATAAAATAAAATATAGTGCATCAAATTAAAATGGAAAATATAAACGTTTGTACTATTTCTATCTTTGCTGACAAACCACTTAATATTCCTTAATTAACTACCAATTAAAGCCAATTTAGTTTTGAGGAAGTCACAAGAAGTTGTCCAGAAATGGATTTCAGCAAGTTAAAGAAAACATTTGTTATAGCTGAAATAGGGCAAAACCATCAAGGCAGCTTGGACACAGCGAAATATTTAATAAAAACAGCCAAAGTAATGTTATTTTCTAGTATTAATACTTATGAAATAAACCTATTACTTTACAGGATTGCGGTGCAGATTGTGTAAAATTTCAAAAATCAGATATACACGAAAAATTCAACAAATCCGCCCTTAGCAGGCCTTACGAATCGCCTCATTCCTTCGGCCTAACTTACGGAGAACACAAACGGTTTTTGGAGTTCAGCGAAGAAGAATATCGCCAATTAAAAGAATATGCGTGTGAATTGGGTATTTTATTTACTGCGTCCGCCATGGACGTGAATTCGTTAGATTTTTTAATCAACCTTGGCGTTCCGTTTATTAAAATCGGCTCCGGAGACGCTAACAATTATTTACTTATTGAAAAAGCAGCACGATCGGGTATCCCCCTAGTCGTCTCAACAGGTAGATTTGATCACATATATCCATAATACAGAGTATCCCCCCCTAAAACAATATATTTTAGCTGTTGGTTCTTATGCGGGACTCCCTGTATAATAAATTGATATGAAATATTTTAGGAATGCAAGGATGGGATACCGTTAAAGAAATACATGCAATTATATCGAAATGGCATAATAACTTTGCACTCTTACATTGCATCTCATCATACCCCACCCCGCTGGCTCAAATCAATTTAAATTGCATAAAATTGTATCAAAGTGAATTTCCCGATACAATCGTAGGGTATTCAGGTCACGAATTAGGAGTTCATGTTAGTGTAGCTGCTGTAGCTTTAGGGGCAAAGGCAAGTCATGAAATTGAGCGTTATATTTTTCTATTACTGCCTGTTTTAGGTGATTGAAAGGCATATTACCTTGGACAAAACCCAGAAGGGTTCGGACCATAAATGTTCCCTAGATCCTAAGGAATTTGAAGACTTAGTAAAAGGAATACGGTCTGTGGAAATGGCTCTCGGGGAGCCTATTAAAAAATTTCAGGAATGCGAAAAATCGTGCTATGAGAAACTGGGCAAGACTTTGGTATATCGAAGGAATTTACGTAAAAATCATATTGTACGTCGGGATGATTTAAATGTTAAAGTAGCGGAACCCAAAGGCATCGATGGGGCTGTAATCGATGATATTATTGGTAAATCATTACGGAAAGATGTTGAAGAAGATCAATCGGTTTTATCACAAGATTTTTTGTAAAAAATTTATTTTATAATTCTTACAATATATGGATATTATTTCTTCCTTTCGTACTTCCAAACGAATACCGGAGCGCTAGTTTTGGTTCCTTTTTTCAAACGTTTAGGAGGCAAGACACTTTTTCTACCTTCGACGGCTCTTTTCATATGAATTTTCTGTTGCAAAACCGACAATTCTTGTTCCCTATCGATCCTTTTCGATAACTCTTTGTATGCTTCTTTTCTCTTATTGCTGGATTTTATTAAATCCTCTTCCGTTACGTCAGGCAACTCGTTTTCCATTAGATACTTTAATGATCCCTCGGACGCTTCCTTTTTCGCTTTCTTATCGAAGTAAATGTGCTTATTACTTTTACCTACATCTAAGCTAGACAAATGGAGTTGGGCCTGCAACTTTTCGATTTTCTTCACCTCCTGAGTTCTCTTCGTAACGATATACTTCAAATCTTGGGTTCGCATCAACATCAACTGCTCGGGAGTGTAATCGTCGTCCTCTTCCTTCTCGAAGTGCTCTCCGTCATCCAATTTCGAATTTATCATGTGATGGTAAAACTCATCTGGATTTTTGTTCAACGCCCTTTTACGGAGCAATTTAAGGGTCTCCTTCTTCTCCCCGAAGTCCCTCGCACGACGAACATAATCCTTCTTCTTCTCGAGCAGGCCGAGGTGGGCTCGCTCTTCGGGCTGGTGACGCTCCCTGTGCGTTTTTTGGTGCGCTTTTGCTGCTTTCTTCCAAACAGACATGTTAATATTGTTTTATAGAATATGCAAGAACAGTATTGTATTAGAAATAAATGTAGGTTATATTCTTCTTCATGTTAGTTTATATGTCATTTGTCATTGCTTTCTTTCGTGGCCTCGATTATGAAAGAATTCAGTAATTAACAACACTGTTGGAGTTCGCCTTCATTTAGACATTTTTACTGTGCGCATATCGAGATAGGTAGAGCGCATGCTCAGTTTCGCCCAATCGTCTCTGTTTCTATAGATTCCTTCACTTTTATTTATTGGTGGACGTTTTAACCAGTTTGTGAGTTCTGTGAAGTTAGTGAGTTTCACTGCACTGTTCTTTGGTGAGTTTGTCGAAATATTTCCATAGTTTCCTTCTATTTTTCGAATCATCGCGTTTTAAAGAATGCCGCCGTCGCTAGAAAATTAGTTTATTAAATCGTTTTAGCGCAAATTTTTTGGAATTACTTCGAAAATCAGTAAATATCGATTGCGGTGTTACGTAAATTGGTAGGCTCCGCCGGCCATTATTGTAATTCTTAATTAACTGGATATTCCTTTGTTCTTATGCAATATTCGCTTAGTTAATCGTCGCTGGTTCAATTTAAACGCGGATTTAATGGGAATTTAATAGAAAATCTCGCGAAAAATCGCTTACGTAACCCGTCAATAGGTTGAACTCTTATGACTTTGACAGATAATACTTGGCTGCCATCTTACTCTTTAAATCTTTTTCAGGCTTTATAGGTACCGGACGAATACAAATAAAATAAATAAAAATGTTTGCCTGTGCTAGATTAATCGCTCCCGCCACCAGAAGCGCAGTAAGTATTCCATTTTATCAATTATATCACCTTATTTCGACTCGATGCAATTCGCCCGGAATTATGTAATCCCCCAATAACCTTTTGGACCATCGAACGAATTCTGCGGGATTCTCGTCGATTGCGATCGATTTTAATCGTTTTGATGAACATAATCTAACGTTTTCTTTAATCGATTTTTAGCTCATCTCTAATACGAAACAATACTTAAGGCCCCTGAGCAGTGTAGTCAGCCAAAGCCAAGTGCAGGTACAGAATGTCCAGCAACACCAACAACCTTCTCTTCTACCTGCCATCCGCAGTTTCCAGACCACTCCGGTCAGCAGGGATATCGACTCCGCTGCTAAGTTCATTGGCGCCGGTGCAGCCACAGTAGGAGTAGCAGGATCAGGTAAATCACGTTAATTTTGCTATCGTTTCGATCACTAATACAATTGCACGCTTTATTTCTAATGATTATATGTGCTTACATCATGATGATTATATAACTGGATTAATTGCATGTACGGTTATGATATGGTAAAATCAAACCTAAGTATTAATAGTAATGTTACATCGAAGATAAGCTTAATTGGTATCAAATTAGAGGAGGACTGTCATTGCAAGTTTTATGACATTCGTACTTTTAACATAATTGAGTAATTTATTAATCTGAGTGGAAAGGTGTATTACAGAATTCGATTAGGGCACGTAATAATAATAACAAAATATATTGTATGCTTGATAATTTTTTAGGAATTGGCGTTGGTTTGGTGTTTGGTTGTTTAATAATTGGATATGCTAGAAACCCCTCCCTGAAACAGCAGATATTTTCGTACGCCATTATTGGATTTGCGCTGGCTGAAGCTATGGGACTGTTTTGTCTGATGATGGCTTTTTTAATTTTGTTTGCCTTGTAGAATTATTAGTTTTAAGATGTAAATTTTGGGAAGGCTTAGGTTGCATTGTACAGTTTAATGTAGATTTAACTGATGTTTGGTGTTGCGTTTTGTTACAATAAAATTCACGTACTAATATCTTGTTGCTTGTTCACTAACATTGCATGGTATGTATCGAGTTTCATTTAATTAAATGTGATAAAATTGCTTATCCAAATAAATATTTACATCAACTATGCAAAAACATTTTGTTAACTCGTTTCGTTTCTTATAGGAGCTGGTATTGGATCAGTATTTGGTTCCCTCATTGTTGGCTACGCCAGAAATCCTAGCCTGAAACAGCAACTCTTCTCGTACGCCATCTTGGGTTTCGCCCTGTCCGAAGCCATGGGTCTGTTCTGTCTTATGATGGCGTTCCTGTTGTTGTTCGCCTTCTAAGTTTCTAAGGCTGTTATCGGCGAAGGTCACCATCTGTTCCACCATTTGTTACATCAAGATCATTAAAATTCAATAGAACTTTTTAATTTTTTGTGCGCGCTCTGTATGAATACGCGGCCGATTTTAAACCACGTGAACTATTCTATAACATCGAGAGAATTTGGGCTTACTTTCTTTTTTTTCGTATTTAATATCGGCATGTATTTGTTAAGAGTCTTGTCAATGTGTTTTCTAGGAAAATGGAAGCAGTAAAAACTATCTATTGTACATTATTAGAAATTTTTATTATACAAAAACCTTAGTCCTTATAAGCTATTTTCTCTTTTTTTTTATATAAAACACAATCAGAGCTGTTATCAATTATTTTTAAGGTAATAAATTGTTTTCATTTTATTTTTACATACTTTTACTGGTTCAAAGAGACATGAAAATATAACGATTTATTTTAGGGATGAGATTTGACCTTAAAACTATTTGGCAGTGAGGAAAAAATATTCATTAAAAAAAGAATAGTTTAACTAATATTTTGAGCCTCATACGTTAAAGCTCTAGATAAATTCCTGGCCAATGCTAACCTTAAAATATCTATTTTATCTTTCAATTCCGGCTCGGTTTGTTTCTCTTCTAAACACCGCATAATAGTAAATGTGGCATTAGACGAAAATAGAAGCTCGTCACTTTCTAACAGTGGAATCGATTCGATCAGAAGAACATACCAGAAACTAAAATAAAAAATTTTAATCCGAAATAACGAAATAATTTTTTATAACTTACTACTTGGGAATAATTTTCGAAGCCAGTAATGAAATTAACAATGTCGACGCTTCTTTGTAGTCACCGTTTTGATACAACTTGTGAAATTCGTAATATTTCCCTAAAAAAATATTGATAATTATTTTGCACTAAAATTAATAAAATAAGTACCTAAGAATATCAACCTATCGCTGAGTAACATTCCAGATCCCAAATCATCCAAAATATCAGGACTGTCGAATTTGCCCAATTTTAAATAATTTTTGAGAAATTTATCCGCCAAAAATGAAGTAAAAGAACCATCTTGAGATTTCAGAGCCCACGAAAGGGCGTTACCTAGTCTACCTCTTCTCATCGACAACATACCTTGTACTTTACAAACACTTTGAACTAAAAATCAATCAATATTAATAACGAAATAACCACTTGACGAATTAACTACTTACCCACTTGAGTCAACTCCCTATTTTTAGCTTCTCGCACAATTTTCTGAGCCTTCGCCTCAGTCTCCATGTGGATTCTCGGCAGTATCAACTCTATAACTCTCAAACCATCGTTCGGACAACAATCCAAATACGTCAACCCGACTTGCCACAACGATTTGTGACTCATCAAAGTACAACCGTAATCTATCACAAACGATTCTCTCAACTTTTCCGCCGAACTGAAAACCACAGTGCATTATTTGCCATACAAATCGAACAATTTCGCTTACAAATCGGACACCTCCTTTTCCAAATCGCTCAATCTATCGCAGTGATACAAGAGATCTGTTAGGTGGCTGACGAACCATCCGTTGTCGTACATGTGCTGGATTTCTTTAATAACCTGCCGAAATAAAATTTATAATTCCGCGGATTGGTTCGATTGCTCCAGCTTACTTGGAACACATCAAACTCCATTGCAGCCAATAATATCTTATCTAATTGCCTCAGGTGCTCGTTCATGCGTAGCTTGGTCATGGCCCTCTTAGCGAACCGGCCCAGCTCGAACGATTTGACCGTTGGTTCGGTGAAAAACAGCCAACCGGCTAAATAAGCGTACCAAACGTCGCACTTGTCTTGCACTTCGATCCAAGCCTTTTCCTCCCCTACAGTCAGCTGGAAAATATTTAAAAAATCAATTTGATTTCGTGAATTTTTTCGTTGTAGCCTCGGAAAAACATTCTATTGACCGAAATTTAAAGCATCCATTTTCTCGGAGCCAGACGAAGCAATCCGTGCGATGATAAATATTTTGTTTACACGGATTTTTCTGATATTCATCGAGGAATTTATTTAAATATTTACGAGGACATACTATAACGAATCGATTGTGATTTTTTCGCCAAACAAACTTACTCTCATTATTAAATCTAAATGTTTCTCGGTACTGAACATTTTAGCGTCGATTTTCGATTGTACGTCCATTATCCAATGCCTCCGTTGCATGTTAAATTCGTTTAAAGATGATCCGCAAGAACCCTGTAAAAATATTCATTTATTAACTGTCGATTAAAATTTAGTAGAGTACTAACATTAAATGTAGGCATGGATTTTAATGCTTGTTCAATAAGCACAAAAGCGCTGCTATCGGAAGAGGAATGCCTTTTTAACAGCGATCGAACAAGCTTAATTCGCCCTTGGAGAAGCGCCCCTAACACGGTATCCCAATACTCGGGCTTCTCTTCCAGGCCGATTTCGTTTTCAGCCAGCATGTTCGCAGCATTCCGTTCGTATTCAGGAAAATGAAAATTCACCCATTCCAGCAACTGCGATAACACGAAATTACCTACAACAAACGTTTATAAATCGTGTAAAATCATACCGAATTATTGTTTACCTTGCATGGTATCCATAAAGAGTATTTCACACAAATGCCAGATACATTCGATGGAATAGAATATCGTGATGTAATTCTGCAACATCGACTTCTCATCGTTTTCGTGGCTTTTCGTGTGCTCGTCTTGGAGGTTCTCCAAACACGCTCTTATTATCGACCTGTATTGCCTGCTGATTTTGAACAATTCGAATTTCGTATCGGAATTTTTGTTGGTCGCTACGTTTTGAACCGATAAAAATACCCCATTAGATTCGTTGACTAGTTTTCTTAGTATCGGATGGAACAGGATGACGTCCTGGCGCAAGAGAAACACAGAGGACGGATCGTTCGAGGCGAAATGGCTCGGTTCGTCCTTTTGGCTTATATTTCGCTTCTCGTACGCGAAAACCGCTACGTTTTCTAAGCTTGCCCATGTTCCCGCTACTCCTGCTCGTTTACACAAATCGTTCGGAATCAACTGGAAGTTTTAGTTTAATGGAAATAGTCGAGAACTTGAATAGTACTTACGAAGGTTTTAACTTGTGATTCCATTGGTATTTTTGCTAGAAAACTCCTTTTTGAGTGGTGGAAATAAATTCAAAACACTTTTAATCGGTTACAACTGTTTTAAGAGGTTATTTTCTACTTCTTTTCTCTTTAGAAAACACAGAACGTTTTGGAAGAAGAGAACATACAGTTCCATCAAATGACAGGTGACAAATGATTTAAGATAAGTTATAAAAGAAGAAGTTTTTAACGCCATTTTTAACTATTCTTGTGGCAAATTTGAATAAAAAAAGTTTTGGTGGATGTTTTTGCTATTTGCAGCATCTATGAATAATAAGGGAGCAATTGGAAATAAGAAAATGTTACAGGTCAGTGCCTAATTTGATTTTTACTAATGCACTTGTTAATATACACGTACCGAATAATTCATAATATTGTTAAATCTTACTGTTTTTCGAAGCCAAAAACGTTGAAATGTTATTAAATAAAATTACTGAATGTTTCTAAAAATTTATACAAAAATAATATTCTACTATTTACAATTTTCAACAATTAAAATACTTATAATATTTTAAAGAGGTACAATTTTTAATATTCAACAAACGTTAATATTTATTTGCACCAATTCATTGATAATTAAAATTGTTTTTAAGTAAAAGAAATTTTTAATTACTGTTTTTTGACTTAATGCAGAATAAAAACAGATTAAAAATTTTACCTTTCCCGCTATTTAAAACATTTTTAAGAATCTCTTCTAAATTTACTCTACTATTTAATCAACTTTTTAATCTCTAATCTAATTGTGTCGTTACAAATCCTTCTTCACCGAACTACCCCAAAATCAACCATCATTAGAAGACATCTTGTTCAAAAACCCCATCAACATGGCGCCTTTAAACCAGCCATTTTTCCGCGCGGAAATGTAACAGCACAATTAAAGCTACCGTTTAATAATAAGAAACCACCTATAGCAATAAACCAGAGGCTTATACATAAACCATATCACACGTGCGTGATCCTCAACTTGTGCTTGAACGTGGACCAAATGGGCTTCGTCCGCTCCAACGACAGCTGTATCTCCTCCAACGTCTTCCCGCTGGTCTCCGGCACGACGTACGGCGTCACCGCCGTCGCGATCACGTTGTTGATGCCGAATATGAGAAAAGGCCCGTACATCCCGAACCTCGATTCCAGCACGTAGAAGAGAAAGTTCGAGATGAATATCATCAGGCCGAAGACGATCACCAGCACGCTGAGCCCCTTCGATCGGAAGTTCGGCGCGAACAGTTCGGACAGCATCAGCGACGGTATGAGGATGATGCCGTTGCAGCAGAATATCACGTACATCAGCATCCCTGCCAGCGGGTACCATTTGTAGTTCGACAGGTCTACGCTTTGCACGTGCTGCGCTATGTAGAAGTAGACCGCTTCGCTGAGAAGGACCACGCCGCAGGAGAATATGGACACCATGAAGGCCCTGCGTTTGCCGACGTTCTCGATGATGAAACCCGCTACGAATATCAATATGCAACAGAGCCCGCTGTAGATCATCGCCGGCACCTCCGGACTGACGTCCGTGCCGGAGTGCTTGAAGATGAACTGGATGTAAACGTTGAAGACGGTCACGCCGCCGAGCAATTGGGATATGCGCAGGAAGAGGCCGGCCCGCAGGGCCCTCCTGTTGAGGTGCTTGACCAGCAGGTCCTTCCAGGTGCTGGTCTCCTCGGTGCGCTTGACGATCTCTTCGCGCAGCTGCGTGAACAGCTCGTCGACGTTGTCGGTTTGGCGCAGCTTGCGCAGCGCGTTCTTCGCGTCGTCGTATCGGTTCTGCATGATGTACCAATACGGCGATTCGGGCAGGAAATAGACCGATACGAAGTACACGACGGGCAGCGGTAAACAGAGGTAGGCGGTCACGTTTACCGAATACTTGGAGCCTATCAGGTTTATCAGGAACACGCCCGCATAGTTGAGGACGTTGAGGAGATTGCCCCAAATGCCGCGCACCTTCGGCGTGCTGACTTCGCCGATGTAGAGGGGCAGGGAGACGAAGAAGCAGCCGTGGCCGACGCCGGCGAAGAATCTCGATAGATAGAAGACGTAGATGCTGGATGAAAGGGTGGTGAACAGCCAGCTCAGTATGTGCGGTATGCTGAGGAGCATTAGGGTGCTCTTGCGGCCGATCAGGTCGCAGGATTTCGAGAAGAACGGGCAGGATATTATCATCGCTAACGGGGGTATTAGGGTGAATAGGGAGGCCTCATCTTCGGATATGTCGTAATTTTCCTTGTCGCTCGTTAGTTTTACTATGAACGGTGAACTCCACGATGACAGTAAACCGATGGTTATTGCCGATTGGCAAGCTGGAAAAAAATACAATTTTTTTTTGCTAAATTTTTGTATTAAAAATGCAGTTGGAATGGTCCATTTTATCAATGCGATTCGAAGTTGTACTTTTTTTTCGCGGTATTACATTTTATATTACAAAAAACGAATATATTTCAAATTCCAATGACCGAGAATTATAAAGGTTGGAGTTGGAGAAAGGAATAAAAAAACGTTCTTAGTATTATGAAGAAAAGTCATTCTTTATAAAAAGTTTTGTATGTGGAAACAAAGTTTGTTCTATGAAAATCTGTAGTAAATAAACTTTAAAATGAGTCAAGAGGGAAGTACCATTATTAAACATTTCTACAGAAAAATTTAACAAAAACAATTTTTTAAATAGAAAATTTCAAAATAAAATACTAAACTTTCATAATTTTCTCTTCTAATACAAACTTTTTTATGACATAAACAAAGACTAATTAAATTTAAAAAAAAAAACAAAATAGCCAATTGAGGTAACTTCACTGACCTCATTCTGTACAGAGTTTAAAATAAAATAAAAAGTATAAAGTTTTATAAATAGTATTCACTGATTTTATTTATATCTGCCTGTATTTCTGTTTTATTTATTCTATTAATATTATTAAAATATGGTGCAAAATAATAAAATAACAAATGATACTTCTCAATTGAAGCAATAACAAGTTTCCCTATTAACACCCTGTATTATTATTCGACAAGCAAGTACTTTTTATAAAGATTGACTTTTCTTCATAAAATTTCATAAAAACAATCATTTTTGTCCTCTCCTCAACTCCATCCACAGACACGCTGTATAATAAAATAGTATTTCTAATAACATCGTTAGTATCTATTGATGAAAAAGTTATTAGTATTCCTTTTGGTAAAATATTTTGTCTCGAAAATTCAACAAATTCCGGATGTATTTAATAACAAAATAAACGGATTTCTCGGCGTGTTTGGGCAAATTCACGTTTCGTTTGGAAATACACAATGAATCGACTTATTGATTACACGATATATGCACGATTTAACACATCACTCTAGCGTACTTGGCTTATTATCTCAACTATTTTAATAAGTTAGCATTTCAATCATACTTTTTATCTAATTTTTCAATACCGACCGCGTGGAAATGCTCCCGTTCTAACATAATAACAAATGATACGGATTCTTGGCTCTCCGTTCGATTAGAAATTGGAACTTCGAGTCCAAACAATTGTGAAAAATATTATTTTTTAATTTAAATTATTGAAATATCCGAAAGTCGTTGTGAATTTGAAGAATTTGCGAATTATCAATTTACGTTGTTATTAATCCCGTTTTACGATGCAGAATGTCTATAAAATATAAAATGTTAAAATTAATATAATATAAAACAAAATCCTGGAAGAGCCCGGAAAGGACGAAAGACTAGAAATTTTTATACCCCGATTACAAAGAATTCGATCAATTTTCGAAACGTATTATCAATTGTAATAATAAAACACGCTATTGTTTTTTTTTTTGAGATTGCGATTACGACATTAAAGTATTTGAGCTGCTTAGCAAGAAATTCGCAATTGGTCAATGAATATTTACAATTAAATGTACTTATACTTAATAAAAGAACTCGAAATTTCCTTCAATTTGCTCACACTTCAATGACTAAACGTTTAACCGAGATCGAAATTAAGGGAGAGGAAAAAAAATTGGAGAAATTCGGCCACTCACCCACGGCGTTGGTCAACACTTGATACCAGATCTTCTCTTTTTCTTTGCATTTCTTCATGAAAACGTCGAAACATAGGGTCGTCCCGGACGGTTTCCTATTTAAATGAACGTCGTGGCCGCACATACGGAACGAATTTTTTCGACGCTTTCGTACCGCACTGTGACATTAAAAAAATAAACGGCTGATTAGAATGATTCAACTGGTATTCGGAGGAGTTTTTCATAATATACAGAAGCGGTTTAAGGGAAAATCTATAACGCGAGTTTTTGCGCACTCGATTATTATGGTTTTTGGAAAAAGAGTTGGTATTACAAATTGCAACTCTTTTAATTATTCTAATGTAGAATTTGAAAAAGGAAAATCAACTAGTAATGTGGGAGGATGAGCAGTTAATTGAGCAAGGTGGGATGAGGTGTATGTATGTTAAACTACCTAATTACTAATTTTAGATAAAAGAGTATAATGAATTTTCGGAAAGATATAAATTGGGCGCGAAAGGATTATAGATTTTGATCATATAGGTAAATTGGGCGGAAAAATGATTGTAGATTTTAATCCTATAGGTTAATTGGGCGCAAAGGGGATTATAGATTTTAATCCTATAAGTAAATTGGGCGTGGAATATGAAACGTCTTTTTAATCTGACAGGTAAATTGGGCGCAAAAAGGATTGTATGTTTGATCTTACAGGTAATCTGAGAGGAAAATTGAGCGCAAAAAAGTTAAAAGATTTTAATCCCACAATGGATTATAGATTCCTATAGGTAAATTGGACACTACTTTTGAAAACAACACCAAAAAAATCATTTCTTTCTACCTTTAATATCATTGCACCCAATTTACCTACCTATACGATTAAAATCCCCTTTTAAGCCCAATTTAACCCAAACCACTGATGTCCGATTGCACGACATTCACTTAAATTGAAAGTAAAGCTTAACCCTTTAGGTGACGGATATTTCAATGCACCAGTGGGACTTAAAAATGTTAAGATGCGTTTAAGTTAAGCGGTAGAAAATGTACGACTAACGGCCGATTGCACCGACTTATTTTTAAGGGACCATTAAGCTAATAGAGCTTTAATAGTTCATTAACGTTTTGACTCGTTGCACCACACTTTAATAAAAAAAAAGTGAAACTTGGAGTTAAGTGCAAGTTAATTAAGCTGGAGATTTAAGTGAAGGTCGTGCAATCGGGCATGAATTTTTCTTCGTTAATACGAATCGAAAATTATCCCGGTAAATTTTTTTTATCAATCATCCCTTATTCTTCTTTCTCTGATTCAATCTTGCCATAACTATTATTTGGCTACTCTGGAAGTATCGATTCGTTGAGTGTTTGAATTGACATCGTCTCCTTAGCTACGAACGCTGTATCAACTGTAAAATCATGCACTGATCGATCGGCGAGTCGAAAAATCCGTACGATTTCGAGAAGATCGTTCGTAATTTTCTACATTTTTACATACCATGCCCGGCCTACCAGAAACCATATACAGCTCGGAGCAAATCAGCATACCGCCCGCCTTCCCGTACCTCCTCAGGCAATACGCCAAAGCGGCCATAAGGAGCCAACCGACGGACCTCTTGCAGTAAGTCCCCAGTAAATCCCATAAACAATTCATTAATATGTTCGTTCAGATGGTCTACGGCGTACTTTCGTTGCCTGTCGCTGAACCTGCTGCCGCCGGTGAAGCCGCGCCTGGAGTACCCGATACCGCGCGAGTACTTCGGCATCACGCCCGGCTGGCTGAAGGCCCTCCTGCACCAGATCTCCTACATCAAGACGATCCACTTCAAGACGCTGTGGGACCGATGGACGGGCGCCTGCCTGTCGCACAACACCCTCATACAGATGCTGTGCTTGGGGGGATTCACCGATCACAAGACGATACCGTGGCCTCGATTCGTCGGGCTGTGCGCCGCTCATCTGACCGACGTAAATATGCGATTGTAGAGTAATTGTGCCGGTGATCGAGTCGCTTCGTTTCGCAGGATTTGACCAGTACTATGAAGTTGATCTGCGAGATTCTGACGGAAGAGCCGGAAGGAGGGTCCGCGATGATTCCGTACGAGACTTTTATGGATTTGTACGAGTTTTTGGCGAAAATCGACGCCTCGAAGCCGCAACTCTTGAAGAATATCTACTTCGGTGACGCCATTTTGAACGTCTACAAGCGATTGTCCGAAAAGGATTTGGCCATCGAGAAGACATCCGAAGTAGAAGAAGAGGAAGAAAGGTAACTATTTATCTAATAGCATAACAAATTCAATTTTCGAACGAAAGGTTGCGCTAAAATTGTTATTTCAACTGTAATGTTGGTCGCCTAACTTTTGTCTTTAGGAGAACTGTCGTTTATCATGTATCAAGGCCACTTAGATTTTATTATCAATTCAAAATCAAGTATTTCTCTTTTTATAGCGTAAAAAAATCGGAATCTATATCATACATCGACGTAGATTACGAAAAGGAACTATCCGAAGAGGATATATCGTGTCCCAGTATGGTGGACGATGACCATTACTCTGTTGATTACTACTATGATCAAGTTTTGGATTTAACCCAAATGGAAGAAGAAGGGTAAGTTAACAAACACCTTTTCCCACTACTACACTCTAATAATTCCCACAAACTTTAGAGAAGGCGGTATACCGGCTTACTTGAAGCACGCCATGATGCAGGAAACCGAAGAAGGCGAAGTAGAGGAAATGGGAGTTGAGAGTTACATGTACGACGGTAAGTAGAGAAAAACTTGCGTTGTTATTTATATTAATTTATCTAGATTGAATTAGGCGAGGACGAAGGAGAAGGACTGGGCGAAGAAGTCACCATCATCGACGAAAGGAAATCGGAAGCCAAGTCGACCGCCGAGTACAAATCCGAGGATACGATCACCGGGGAGCCGACGCGAAAGATGGTGGCTCGGCACGTCGTCGAAGACGAGAAAACGCTGGAGGAGGATCTCGAAAGGTTGAAGGTATTGCTGTAGGATTCAAATTACCGCGGGAGTTTCAATATCGTCTGTTAGGCGTTGCAACAAGAACTACCGGGCGAAATGGACGAGGAATTGGAAAAGTACAAGTGCAGGTTGTTGGAGGAGATGCCGTTGACGGGATCGCAGCAAATCGCTATAGAAGAATTTAAAGACAAGGAAGAGGAGGTCGTCGAGAAAGCCGAGGAGGAAGTCGCGGAAGAGAAAAGCGAACAAGAAGTGCCCGGAGTCACTACTGCTAAAGATGTAAGTAAAATATATTGCCTGAATAACCTAAGTAGCTGAGGTCTTAAGACCAGGAAGAAGTAAAGAGCGCTTGCTTATGTTTTTAGAAATCTGCTGAAAACATCGAAGTCTGGGTTGACAAAGTACCGGGAATAGGAGGTGTTGTGCCCGATCACTTAATAAAAGCGGTAAGCGAATATATGAAAGGTTTGGCTGCTGTTCAGCATAATATGGTAATGCCGAGAAATATTAGGCATTACAATTGTCCTCCTTTGGAAGTCGTGGAGTCAAATTAATAAGTAATCTTTTCATTTTGAACGTACTAATCAGTGCGTGAAGTAAGGGAAGACGGGTATATATATTTTTTAACATTTTAAAACTTATTTGGTTCGTTGCACGATAAAATTACTAATCCGAATGGTTTAATAAAATTGACAAAAAATATCTTATATATTGTATAATTTCTAGTTAACACAATATTACAAACAACATATAATTTGTTATAATAAATAAGTAGTATTACAAACCCTTACCAGCAAAGAAGATGTATATTAAATTAATACATAATTATTGCTTTTTTTGTTATAATTTCCATTAACAATCTTTAACAATCTTAAAGTATAATTTAAGATGGAAAGACGTATTTATTTAATAATTAATTCACTAATAAAATATCGTTTAAATATCTCTTTTATAAGTGTGTATATATTTATAAATGACACTTATAAATGTGTATATGTCATTTATTAATTTTTATATTGAAGTAATAACCTCTTATGACCCGTCGTGACTATTTAAATGAATAATTTTATATTAATCTAAATATTTTTAATTACTCTATCGTCTTCGAACCTGTTCCCTTAACGTTCCATAAGAATTAATCACTTCAATAAAATTATTGTAGTGCACATATACATTTCAATGATCGTCCAACATGAAAATAGAATAACATATAAAATTAAAAACAATTATCAAATAAATTTTAAACGCAACATCGTGTTGTCTCAGTCCTAAAATCACACAGGCTGAAGTAACGATAAATTATATTTACTTAATTTATGTGCAAAATTTAACAAGAATTCGATTTTAATGTTAAAATTAAACATTCCCGGATACGTAAAATGTTCACCATGTATAATTAATTAACAATCGGTTAAAAATACATACAAACAATTATTTTCTCATTTTAAATGTAAGATGTATTTGGTTGAAGTAAAAATTGTTAATTGTTGTATGTTTAAGATTTCAATTTTAGGATGATTTCTAAAATAATTCAAGTCGCATATTTTATTAACTATCACGTGTCGTCAATTAAAATAAAATTGTATAAAATATGGCAGCTAAAATAACTAAAAAATAGCGGATGTCTACGAATAAATTAATGACGGTATTGATAAAATTTTATAATTTGATTTCTTCATAGACATCCCCTAATAAATAAATATCTGTGGCACTATTAAATAATAGAAACAGAGATATAAAAAGCAGATGTCTTAGGAAAGTTAAAAAATTATTTATAAAATCATAAATTGATTATTAGTAACAATACACAACAATAAATTCGATTTTGATTCAATTTAAAAATTCTTTTTTTTTTATAAAAGGCACTGACGTTTTATTTCCAATGGACAAAAATTATGGAATGATATTCGTATTTTTTTTTGAAAAAAATTGTACTTTTTAGACATCAGTCTTTGAAAAAAAATCAGATCAATTTTCTAAAAAATAGGAGTTAAGATAAAACCTTTGCAAAAGTGACTAAAAATCTACTTCTTTTTTCTATTATACCTCAATCTCTAATAAACAATTCTCAATACTGTGCAAGGGGTTTTGGAAGTATTGCTTACAAATCATTTAATATCAAGAGCCATAATACTCGTTAATAAATTTCGATAATAGCTTTCATGCACAGTAAATGACGTCTCGATTATGATATTGTGTTATTGAGCATTAGTTTCTCGTGATCGTTAAGTCTTACCATAATACCCTCTTCTGTCTCTACACATTAGTACCGTGACGTAAGGATTATTCAATACGAAACAAAACAAAACGAAAAAAAAAAAAATAATAATACACGTACCCATTTCATAATTCCGTAGCTTCGTTAAAATAAATCTTAGTCACGACGATATCGCCGGTGCTGAGCGTCTGCGTCCCGACGTTCGCGTGATTCTCCTTCACGACGCCCGGATCGTCGTCCCTCACGCCGCTCACGTACTCGTTCGTCGGCGAGACGACCCTCTCCTGCTTGTACCCGTTATTCAATTTACAATGGCAACTGCACGTGCACCGACCGCCGCCCGGCGTCGCCGTCGCCGTCGCGTCGGGCTCGTTTTGCAACGCCGCGGCGCTGCTCAATATCGATTCGAGCTTCTCGATCTTATCCAACCGGTCCAATTTGCTGTCGTTCAATATCGAATCGACCAGCTGCATCGACTCGGTCAGACTGGTCGGCTCCGAGTTTCGCGGCGACGTCGCGTCGCTGTCGAGGCTCGGATAGTCCTGGTCGTCGTCGTCGGAGCTGTCGGCGTCGCGGTCCTGGCCGAGGCTCTCCAATTTCTCCAGCTTCTTCGCCACCTTCGCCGACGACTTGAGCTTCTCCTTTTCGTCGTCGGTCAGTTCGATGTAGCGCAACAGTCGCACCTCTCGGTTGCTCAACACCACGCTCTTCGTCGCCTGGGCCAGCTTCAGGCGCAGCTCGGACACCTCCGTTTCGGTTTTCCTCTGGCGCTTCTTCATTTTCACCGCGTCCGGGTTTATAATCATTTGTATCTAAAAGACGCAAGCGTAGAGAATATATAAGATTGGAAAAGGCGCGTATTCATAGATGGCGTAAATTGAATTTTGCTGTCACTTGTCATTTAAGGTAGATACCAGTGTTGCCAGAAGTAGCGGAATTCCACTACTTTTAGGCGATCGTGCCTAGGCCTTGTATGGCTAAAATGAATAAAATTTAATGAATGAACTTTTCTATCACTAATGGTATCAAAAATGTTAAATCATAATTAATATAATTCCGAGAATTTAGTGCCTACTATTTTGGAATTAGAGTATACGCTCTTACTACTTTATTTTTCAATTTTCTTGGAAAAAAATATTCGTCATTTATGACTTGAAAACACAATAATATAAAAGAAAAGTAAGTAATAAAGGTTCTAATAATGGAAAAAAGCCAAAAACGATTAAAACGATTAATGTCGCGTTTGACTTTTCGACCTTAAATGACATGACAAAATGTCAAAATTGTCAAATCTGTCAAATTCAATTTGTTCCATTCACGGCCCTATATTTCTAAGGTCTGGAAACTGTCTATGCTTATGCTAGAGAAAATGAAGAAATACATTAACCGAAGATAAGTGAGGCATGATGTTAACAACAAAATCATCGCTGATTCAAGTATATTTTTATATTTCGTATCTATTTTTAGTTTGAATATAACCTTTCTTAATGCTAATTCTACATAATTCGTACGCAAAAAACCGGGGTCCTTTACAACATCGACTCCTAGCGGCCGTTTTAGGAACCCTGTTTTATCAAATAACGGGACACTTTTTCGACCTATGTTTCCAGACCTTAGAAATATAGTGCCGTGTTTCTAATACCTATTCTATTAACTATTGTTCTAAATAACTACAAATTGCATATTTACTTACCTGCTCGTCGCACAACTCCAACATCAACCCCCTGTTCTCCTCCTTGATGCTCTTGCTCATGTAATGGTAGATCTTCTCGTGCGTGAGGCTCAACACGTCCGCCGACGCGTACAGTATCATCTCCCTGCTGAGCGGCCGTCGCGACCAATACTTCTGGTCTCGTTTGTAGATGTTCTTCAGCTGGTCCTTGACCGGATTCACCGGGGCGCCGTAATGCTCGCAGAGCGCGTTCAACGCTATGCTTTTCACCTTGTACACCGGCTTGTTGGTCTCCTGGTAGGTCAGAATGGCGTGGGCGGCTTGCGTGTCGAACACCATGCGCATCGTTATGTTGTATTGATTGAACAGATTCACCGAATCGTTTCGACAATCGTGCACCACCTAAAAGTTAATGTAACTTTTAAATAAACCCTACTCAAGGGTTAATGATGATTACCTTGATAATGTAGTCGCTTTCTAGAAGCTTCTTTAGACCGTGATCGATCATTTCGGGACAGGAGATTAAATCGAAGACGTACGAAAAACCGGTCATCGTGGCGATTTGCATAAGAGTCAATTGACCTTTGTTGCCTAAACTGACGCCTTCGCAATCGAAGGCCACCGTCATGCGATTGGGAGTGAACGGCCAGGTTGTGTTGATCGGTACCTTCGAAGCCCTGGTGATCAGATCGTCGATCACCACTTGGCATTCTTTAGTCGTGCAAATTACCCTACGAAACGACGATTGATAGTTTAGAGTTTGTTAAGGCGAGATTTGTACCTGGTGTTTTGGAAGAGCTTGGTTTTCCACGAGTCCATGGTATGCGTCGCGTGTTGGTTCATCATTGATTGGCGTTCGCGACCGGTGTTTTCCTGCAACGTTTTCAGGACTAGATTGTTTATGCGCTGCTTCAGGCTCTGGTTGTACGTGGAATTCGATTTCGATGGCGGTTTTTGCGAGGCGTTTCGATCGTCTTGGGCTTCGCAATTCTGTTTATTGCCATTACCTATAAAAAATGACCCATCGAATCCAACTGTTGATAACAATTCTGTGAATAGGTTGCCATAACTTGATGTGTCGAGTGTTTAGATTACTGTTAAAACACTGAAATTGACCCAAATTTCGTCAGTAAGTAATTGTTTAGTGCTTTACTGTTATATTCTATCATTTCGTAGACCTCAATGAGAGGAACCTCGAAGTCCCAATTACTTCGTACTGACAAAAAAATCGACATACCTATCAAGTTGTGGCATTTACACACAGATCATACATTCGATCTTGTTTACCTAATCTAAAATTAATGTTATTCTTATCGTCGGTTTGATTGTTAACGGTAGAAACGGAAGGTGAACGAAGGGGCGATACGGGCGGTTCGGGACTCGAACACTTGGCATTGGCCTCGTTGATTTTCTGTTGTAATTTCGGCTGTTTCAATCTGTCGCTAATCGATCTGGGCGAGAGTTGAGCCGACGGTTTATCCTTTTCGACGGGACTCGACGATTTTTCCTTCGGTTCCACCTACAAAACACTCTCAATCTGAGTAGGCTGTTAGTTACTAACAAGTAACAAGATCCATGTGACGTCAGTGATGGTACAACCTCTGAATATACACCTTGCTCCATTTCCGATTGCAATATGGTCATTTCTATGAGTGGAACAAAGAAAGGTTATTAAAATGACAGTTGTCAGAGTGAAAAGTTGTAATGACACAATGTCACTCTTTCTTTTTCCTTTGTAAGTGTCTAATGGAAGTTGTCTTTATCGCACCCATGGCCTTTATAACCTATATTGCAATAAAATAACGGGGCAACCTGTATACGCGACCTTGGTTGATTATTATTTCATTTACCTTATCGATTTTACTTTCGCAGGCTTGATTACTGACATCGACGCTCAAATTTTTGGCGTTTTTGATATCCTCGTTGCTCTTCTTGCTCTCCTTGATCAAATCCACCTGGGCCATCATGTGCTTCTGGCTGATCTTCGGCTGTTGCAGCAGCGTCACCAGATTGGCCTGGATGTGAAAGCTATCGGAGAACAATCGCAGGAAACTGGTGAGCTGCGTGGGGGTGTTGAACAGGTTCGACCACATGTTCTCGGGCAGATTGCAGCTGACGATCTGGAACAGCTGCTCGACGAGTATGGGGCCCTTCACCTCGATGCACTGCGCGAGGAAATCGAGCAGGGCCTGCGTCTCCTGCGGATCGATCTTCACGTCGGGCTGGAAGTGCAACTCCGGCGGGCAGTGGCTCTTCACCGATTCGAAATTCGCCAAGATGACCGTTTCTTTTTCTTCGTCGACGGTGAAATGGTCGGGGTGCTTGGCCAGGAACTCCCTGAATTCGTGGAAGTGCTGGCCGGAGACGTGGCGCACCTCCGGGCTGGCCTGCGACCGGTGTCCCAGCAGGCTTCGGATGGGCACTTCGGTGCCTTCGCCGTATTGGGCGAGCTTTTCCGAAAAATATTCCACCGCTTGGGTCGTGTAGTCTTTTCCTTAAAAAATGCAACAAAAAGTTCAATTTAAATTTCATAAGCGCCAGGTACCCATTGTTACTGTATTTTTATAACAATTAATCATTATCTCAATGTGTAAATAAAATAAACAGTCGTTTAGTGAAAAATTCTTTAGTAGCGGTTTTTATTATGCACAAAAATGTTTTAAGGTCTACTCATTAAAATGCGCATTTTTCGCAACACAATAGCGTTGTTATCAATTTGTTAAAAAATTAACGCTGAATAAACTTATTTAGTCGCATGTGTACGGCTAAAAACTATTCGAAAATAGGCTTAGGCACTCGAAAAATATTCATTGTAAATTAAAAGTAGGATAATTTTCGCGTAACGAAATAAAAACGAGTATTTTACATTAATCGACCCATAAATTTGTTATCGAATGACTACTTCCTTTGGAGAAAAATTAAAATTTAAAAATATTAATAGTATCCTCAATTAATTGTTATTAACACATAATATTCATTAATAATTTAATAAACGATTAACACATAGGTGAACGATTAGTCACGAAAATAATATTTGAATAAAATTAAGGCGGAATTGTCGAATAATATTGTAATTAATAAAAAATAATTCTCATGCTTTTATTATCGAAACAATAAAAGGTGAAAGCAGATTCTACTTCAATTCGATCAAGTATACAGTTATAAATATTATTATTGTTAAGTTATAATCACAGTGAATCGAACGAACGCCAAAGCTTATTTAATATTTTCTACTACATTCAAATAAATTAAAAAAAATGCATTCAAACATATTCTTTGAAAATATCACAAATTGCATCATTCTATCAGCAATTTCGAATCAACTTAATAACAACATCATAGTTAATTAAATTACCTATGCATAGTTGCTAAGCATATGCAAATCTATTCCGATGTAATGAAGCATAAAATATCAAATAACAAACGAGCAGTTGAAACAATCGTATTACTTACCAGGACTGTCTTTGCTGCTGCTATGTTGGAAAGTATTCACCATAACATAGTCGCCATCCATGCAAAATAGGGATGGATATTGAGTCAGAAATTTCTTAAGGCCGCTTTGGCTGCCCCCGGCTATCTGTCGCATTTCCTTGGTGAAGCCTTTAGAGCCGAATTGGCAGCTCAAATCGTGCAAAGTCCTGGGCTCGCCTTTATCCAAAAGCCTTTCGAAGAAGAATAAAAGGGTCATGTTTCTTGCCATTTCGTATTGCATTGCTTCCATTTCGGTTGACTTGTTGCTGTTGTTTTTCAATATTCGATTATTTACTTTCGCTTCGGAATTTAGAAAGAAAATTAAAACTTGTTGGAGAATGTGAGTGGGATTATTGTGATTTTCTTTTTCACTTAATTACTTAGTTACACAACACTTTAATTACGGCGATCATCGCGTTACTGAATTTTGATAAAACTTGTTCCTAAAATTAAATTAAAAATTTTAAAAATAAAAAAATTGTATTGACCTCTACGATGTCAAGTTGGCTTTCGCCATCTTGAATATTTTGACAGTTCATTTGACACTATTTGAATCTTCTTGCTATAACATGGCCTCTACCAATATAATCGTTGAGTTACTTGGCTTTATTCGTATTTTGCTTAGTATTAAATTAAAAAAGAAGAAATTTTGAAAATTTTCCCCACAAATGTTTTGGTGAATAAATTTATAATCATTTATAATTAAGCGAATACAAGGTAACAAATACACACATATGAATGTTCGCGTATAATATTAATAATCAATTCCAAAAAAATTTACATCACTACTATCAAAGTGTATTGCTCTTAACATAAAAATAAAGCAAAAAAATATATTGTACGTTCGTTTCGACAACGTACGTATCGATTAAATAAAAAGTTACAACCAGTTTCTCGAATTCGTCGACAACGTCCAATATATCAACTAAACAATACGCTGTATATACAAACTGAAACTCAATAATTTAAATAAAACTAGTCCAACAGCCTAAACGGTACATTTTTGTTGATAATACGAAGTAACTAGACATTAATATTTATTTAAATAACAAAAACGTATAACAATTCTGTGGATATTGAGATTCCATGAGTTCCTCTAGCAATTTTCGTCAAGGAATTAAATGTTTTGTTCGTTTAAATCAAAATTATATCAATAAATTGGAGGTGAACAACTCACGTAGGTATATTAAAAAATTACGTAATTTGTTGGCAGTACAACAATTTCTATCAAATTGTACAAATTTTCAAGTCTTTTTTTTTTCTAAGTAAAAACAAATTTAACATTTCGAAAAGAATTAATGAGAAAATGATGATACGAACAAAAATTATCAACAGGAAGCAATTAGAATTCAGCGAAATTAAACATACTTTTTACATTAATTTAGCTAGAATAAAGAACAAAATTCATTTACGAATTTCACTAAACTACAACGAAGAATGTAATTGAACTATTCGTCATTCTTCAGGTCGTTGCGTTCAATTTGTTTTTACATATTTTAACAGGACAATGTAAACACCGTACGTTTATTAGTAATTGCTCAATATTGCTTTAGGGGCTGAAGTTTGTCAAAGAGATTGTCAACGCATAAACGAGAAAAGGGACAGAACTTAATTCAAATGGTGTCCAGCAAACCATTTTTTTTTCTGTAGGTTCTTGTGGGAGTCCCACGAAGGAAATTATTTAGATTGAAGCAGGGAACTTCCGGACTATTTTGATGAACTCTTATCTAGCGCACAACCTGTATACGTTCTTTTTTAATATTATGTATTATATACCAACAAAATAATCGATACTAGATTTTTGTTTCCACGATTAAAATTTACATACAGCTTTTGCATGCAAAATAAACAATTTATTTAATAAAAAAACGTTGATTATTATAAGAGGCTTTTCGTTTTTTTTGGACGAGAATTGTATACCTTAAAACCACATCAAAAAACACTTTCTTGCTGCATAAGTTAATATAATTTCATATTTTTTTACAGTATTCAATAACAATTTTCGAATACCTTTTTTTATTGAGTTTTTCCTCCACCAGATCCAACTTGACAAGTGATATACAGAGAGTTACGTTCCATAAATAATTGCGTCATAAAAGATTTTAAAAGTTTGTCAATTTCTTAGCTAACCAAGTAGCAATGGAGAAAAGAACAAGCACATAGCAATAGAATAACAGTAAACATAAAAAAAGATAATATTAAAAACAATGCGAGGGGAAAGAAATTTACACGAATTAAACGGACAAAAAGGCTCGTCTTTGTCTTGCCAAAATACAACGGCTTTCCCACTATTAACAAATTTTCGTAACAAATTAAAAACTGTGCGATTATTGAAACAACGTAACAATCCGCATCTGTCCGTCTGGCACAATAAAATTGGAATGTACCATAAAGCATTCACAAAAAACAAACAATTAACAAAAATAACTGTAACAAAATTTGAATAATCAAAGATTGTTCCTTCTCGGGCTCTTATCCAATCTGAATGGGAAATGTTTCGTTTTACAATAAGCATTAACAAAATAGAAATTAATTTAAAATGTAATAATATAAGGTCGTTTAGTTTGTTTCGATATTTTTTTAGTTTTTAGTTTTGTAGTTTTTCATTCCTTTTAAAATTTTTTTTGTTAATTTGTCAAATTTTTATAATATAGATAAGAATATGAAAATATTTTTTTGAGAGCATTTAGCAACTTTCCGGCAAATTTAGAAAAAATACAACTTTCCTACGTTTATCAACAGTTATTCACCGCAAAAGTTTAAATCCCCAACGATTTTTTTTCAAACTTTTTCCCTTTTTTTTTGTCGTTTTCTACCAAACATTCACCATTAGACTGCGTTTAAGAGAACTCAAAACTTCCGTTTTACCTAGTCGAATTAAGTCAGATCTCACAGTGGCCGCAACTCCGAATTGCACTAATTAAGTATATATTAAATGAGATAGGATTATGATGATTTGCTTTATCCGTTTCGTGATGTCCTTTTGGAGAATATCCGTCAAAAGGCAGCGGGTGGTCAAGGGGCCAGGCGTCGACATCGCACGAACGCCTAAAGCCGCCTCCGCCCAGCGTCAGTACTGAGTGTCCGTCAATTCTCGATCGTATTCCATAACTAATCTTTTGATGTGCGACAGTTTATCGTGCAGATATTGAAATCTGCGCTTCGCCCGCTGGTGCTCCATATTCTTTTTGTTCTCGTTATATTCTCTTACTATTTGTTTCTTGATGTCCTACAGAAATATCGTTCGTTTACTAAATTCACAAAGGGCAACAAACACACGGCCTTTTACAGCGTTGCGTACATGCCAAATTATTCAAAATATTTACTTTGTATTTAGGGCTATTCTCGTCCTCTTGCTTGAGTCGCTCCTCTAATTGAGCAAATCTTCTCGAAACCTTCTCGACGATGCTGTGCAAATCGCGATACTCCGCGTAATCGGCGTTAAAATCGGTTTTATACCGACGCCTTTGATCGCCGTCCATTATGGTAACATATTGCCTATAAAAAAAAAACACCCATAAAACACACCCTCAATCAAACCATTATCAACGCCACTAACTTTTTATAATCCGGATACTCGTTCTCCTTTTCCATGCTAAAATTATTATCTACATCGCCGTTGGCCAACACCTCCGTCTGGCTATCCGGACTCACCCTCGCTATGCTATTCTCCGTCGAAGACGACACGCTCGCGTACTTGCCCGGCTTGCGGCCCCCGCTCTGGGCCACCTGTTGCCTCTGCTGGTGGTTCCCGTTCACGCCGTTCGCTATTCGATTCAGCGCGCCGTTCTGCCTGTCGGGCTGCAGCATCTTCACCGCCGGCGATACGCTGCGCATATCCGCAAATGTCTTTTCTTGGCTTACATCAAAACTAAAAAAAAAAAAAATACACGCATTAGTCTAACAATGAAGCATTCGCTTTGAAGTAGAAGGTAGAGGCTAAAAATAAGAGAAAAAGGTTCTAAAACCTTATACAAAGATTTTAAAACTATTAAACCTTTTGCTTTAAAGCAACAGCAGGGTCCTCGAAACAAAACCTCTCTTCCTTCTCTTCTTTTTACGCATACAACTTGAAGCAATTTCTTCATTTTTTGAAGCAAAAGGTCTAATGAGAGGAATTTACTGGCTGTACGCTCACATAGAGCGAGGCTTTAGGACACACGAATGCCTCAATCAAAAGCTCAATTAGTACTTACTGACTATCACACACTCGCTTTCCAATCTCGTTTTCATCGTCGCTGGATTCCTGCTTGACGTCCGGCGTCATGTAAGTATTATGCCCGTTGACCGACCCGTACGCGCCGCCGCCGCCGCCTCCTCCTCCGCCGCCGTTGCCGCCGTTCGAAGGCGACTCCCTGCTCCGCGGATTCATGTTGCTCGCGTCTCGCGAATCGGTCACCGGTCGTCTTTGACTATTATTTTCAGCTGGAGGGTGGTACACGGGATCGGAGTGATGCTGAACACAAACGAACATATCACTCGATTGTTTCGAAGGTTTTAAGAAGTTATAGACTCACTGCATTATTATAATTTTTAGGTGCGTTATGGGCTATACGTTGGCGCTTGTAGGAGAAACCGTCGGGGCCCTCGTGGAAGCCCGGACGTTTGTTGCCCGTCGACGTGGTGCTGATCAATGGCGGCGATCCCGGCAACGTGCTGGTGGGCGATTGACCGCTGCCCGAGCTGCCGCCGTCGCTACCGCCGCCGCCCGGCGGCGTCAGCGTCTGCGGCGGCTTCCTATTGGATATCGGGGAACTGAATCAAGCACATTAGTATATCGCGGTATTCGTAGTATAAAGTAGTACTCACTTGGGCGGACGCCTCGGCATCTCGGGCACCGACAGCTTCTTGGGGACGTTGATCTGCGGCCGGGTGCTGCTCACGTGGTTGCTGCCCAAGCCGTTGGACAGGTGACCGTTGGTCGACGAATGTACGAGCGACGAGGGAGCGGCTGCGGCCGAGGCGGCGGCGGCGGCGACGGGAGCCGGCCCGGCGGACGGCTTCGCGTGATGTTGGTGCGACTGCGACGACTGCTTCAGCAGGCTGTCGCGCATCGAAGGCATTTCCCGGCGCACGGGGTGCAGCGGCGCTCTGCTCTGTTTCACTTTCACTTTGCGACCGATGTCCGTTTGATTGGGTTTGATTTCTCTCGTGCTGCAACCCCAAAAAAAATACCACCTTAATAAAGATCAGTATATCCTAAGCGGCGCTGAATAACCGCAGTAAACGATGCCAAACGCCTCCCTATTGGCTGTATCACTAATAGGTAAGAGGCCATTAGACTGGACTATCGTACGCACCATTTATTCTTGTATTTATCTTCGGCTTCAGTCATTCGATTGCGGGTAACTTCGTAAACGTCGTCGTTGGCGTGGATGCGGATTTTGTAGGGGATGGAACCGAGGCCTTCCAAGTGGCCCCGTTGGGGCCCTACCTGTTTGATGCATTCGAAGCTCCCACCCTGGCCTTCCATGTCGGCCGTACTCGACATGGAGAAACTGAAAGAGGTGCCGGCCAGGTTGTGGTGCAGAGACGGAAACGACAGTTCCTAAATTGACAAAAAATAAATAAATAAATAAATCGTTCGATGAAAAGAGAAGATATTTCGGAAAATTTCCATGCGGTTCGGCTTCGAAGCGATTTTCGAGCCGATAAGAAATATTTGATAATCATGTCGATGTGACGACAATAACAAGTTATCGGAATAACGATGGTAAGACTCACATTTAATGAAAATACGAAGCCGCAAACGTGACGAAATGTGTAAAAATTATTTAGAAAAATACGTTTTTTTTTAATTGATTAAAAATATTAAAACAACACAAAAAATTAGTACAAGCTTATTTAACGACGCCCTAATGATGACGAACGAATTTTTTGAATGTGATATAAATTTTAATGAACATTCTTGGAAGAATTTTCAAAAAAAAAACTCGGATCATTTTTAGTTGCAATTAATTCGATATCAACTGAAAAAAATCTCTTTATGCACAAACCCATAAAAATATTTATGCAGTTAATTAAAAAAAATCAATTATTACTCCGATAAAATTATGGAGTTAATTAAAAAGTACGAGAGCCCCATCCGATACAATTCCTCCAATATAATTTTAAATTAAAGCTTACGCATTACAATAACATTTTTATATCGAATAACTTACCCCATTTTCATTGCCTAGGAACTTAATCGTCGGTTTGGGACTGTAAAATTTGTTCTGCAAAATAATAGAAAGGAAACTTTAATAAATATATCGGTTGTGATAACCTCTCGATATTATTTTAGTACCTACACGATTAGAAATATATTTTCAAGATAAAGATGTTTTATTTTAGGTACTTAATTGTAGCTTGTAAAATTAGCAATAAAGTTCTATTATTAAAATTACTCAAAGATAACTGGAGCTTTTAAAAAGGTACTAAACAAACAAGATTTTTAGATGGTAGAAAATTGTTTAGAGTTGGGAGGGTTTTAATCTACCAGTAGGTTAAATTTAGCTAGAACAATAAGGTATATTCCAGGTAATAGATTCCGCAGTTAGCCACAAAATCGAGGCCTTCAGAACCACCATTGTGAATCTGAATCGTTTCATCACCCACGTGTTTCCTTCGCGTGAATTTCTCCTGGATTTCTTCCTCCGTTTCTGGCGCGATCCAATGATCCAATAGAAGCTCCGTGCCACAATAAATCGGCAATTACGAGCACATACAAACCGCGACGACGACATAACCAAAGTCATTTGATTTAGAAAGTAAAAGTGCGTTTTAATGGGAATAAAAATCTCGCATTACCAGTTCTCGGCGAGACGGACGAAATTGCCGCGATGCCGTCCGAGAAGAGGGTAATGCAACGACAATGAGACGACGTGAAGACTTGCACGGCTGATCGGTTTGTTAATGTTATTCCTCTACCCTGAATGTGTAGTAATATTTAACGATTTGCATTTGCAATGTAACGTTCTTGACACGTCCGAACGAGATGCTTTTTCTTCATATGCAGGTCACACTAGTGTGTCAAAATTGATTTATTTTTTTTCAACGATTTTCTCTAGCTGTTGCTAACACGTTTAATGCAATAGGTTTTTGTTAGTTTATTTCATTTCCTATCAAACACCTTTCGGGTGAAATTGCAATTTTTATTAATAAAGCGATGAACGTAATAAAACTAGTACAATAGGAAATTTTGTTATAAAAAACGGGTCATTTTATAATAATTAAAAATTTTTTTAACTAAGCAGTATTTCAAGCAGATTACGCGATTACAAACGTTGTTTACTTCGATAAGAGGAAGATTTACGATTAATTTAACGATTGAACGAAAAACCCGAGACGTCGTGGTGAATTTCGAATATGTTTAGATGTCGATAAATGGTAATTTTTCTAATGGAATCGAATTGACAATTCGCTGGTTGGGGACTTTTTCAAAATAATTTTCACAATATGTTGACGTGGCCGGGGCTTTCGACGGGCGAACGAAAATTAATTCGCCAGCGAAATGGATGGAAAACGGTCCCGACGAACGGACGCACGCAATAAAATCACCCTCCGACCGAATCATTATTTTGAAAACAAAATAATAGGTTAATAAGTCATCTGAATATGGCGACTGGTCAAAAGTGGAAGTCAACAGATTGCAATGCTTATTTTATTAACTGGGGATTATTTTAGAAACTCACCTGATTTTTTAGATACTCCTCTATTGCACGTAACGCGGAATCCGTTAATTTTACGAAAATTAAGTCTCTATTTTCACCATAATTTTGTTGCGAAGATAAACCATAGTGAACACCTGGACAGAGCGCCGCCATTTCTGCCCAATGTAATCCATCTCTTTCTCTCTTTAGCGCCTGTTGTCAGTCGATCCCCTGCCCAAGGTTATTAAAACCATAGAGGGTTATTCACGTAATCGGACGATGATTAATGTGACGTCATCCGATGACATTTTTTCATTGCCAATAAGAAATTGAACGAATTTTATCAAATAATTTCGAAATTAATAAGTGATCGTACAATTCTCGACGATTTCAAGCTAAATAAATTTCTCAAATGTAGTTTTTCCTATAAAGTTTCGATTTAATACCAAATTAAAGTAATTACCAAATAACTAGATATTGACAATAATTTGCATTTTCATTCAAAATTTTTATATCTAACCTTGATTGATCGTTTAATTAAATCAATTTTATAATTACTCAACATATGCGGTTAGTTTAATCACTCTGTATAATAATTTAAACACCACTGTAATGGAGGGGATATAAATCACATATAAATTACACCAATACTTCAATATTCGATGCGACTTGTCTAGATAAGACACAAACAAAAAAATATATTAATGATATCATTATTTTTTAAATATTAATAATCATTTGTAAGCCCAAAACGATTTACATATTCTAATTAAAATAATAAATTTGCGACGTTGCCGTTTCGGTTTGTTTTATTCTTCTTTTTTTGTGTTGTATAATTGCGTTACCACCATTAACAATTTGCATTCTGAAATATGAAAATTACATAATCAAATTAATACAATAATTGATAAAGGCAATCGCCTTTTAATATTGGAAATTTCACTAAATTTTAATTAATCATTAGAGAGAATAAACCTATAGTAAAAGGCCAGTAATATATGATTCATAAGAAAAACAAAAACAATATTGACATTTGACATTTGAGGTTTGAGGTTAAGAAGCTTAAGAAGCATTTATCGGAAATATCGAAAGTGTTTATTTATTTTATTTTATAAAAGATATAGCTTACAAACAATTTATAAATTCACCTCATCTAAGCAAGGTAATAAATACGATGCAACCTAATCACAATCATTTAAATTCATTATTAAAACAATTTTTTTACTCATTTATGTTTGTTATAATTATAGAAAATAATGGTCAGAACCCGAGAAAGAAGTAGAACTCCAGAGAGAAAACGCCGGCGATCCAGATCCCGGTCCAAAGACAGGTCGAAATCGTCCAGGTATCGAAGAAGCAGGTCCAGGGAGAGGGAATCGAGACGTAGGAGCAGATCCAGATCCAAAGAAAGACGGGACCGTAGATCCCACAGCAGAGAACGGGATCGCGATAGAGAAAGAAGGGACAAAGACCGCAGAAATGAGAGCAGTAAATCCTCTCGAAGAAAATCCCGATCGAGGTCCAGAGAAAAAGCCAAAGCTGAGGATACTGGCCTGTCCTTCGATCCGGCTAATCTAGACAAAGAGGAAGAACAAAAGAAACTCGAAATGGAAATGGTAAAACGAAGAGAACGCATAGAAAGATGGAGAGCTGAGAGAAAGAAAAAAGAGCAAGAAGCGGTGAAGAAGGAAAAAGACGGCGATAGCAGCACACCTGTAGCAGTAGCAGTAAGCAACAAAACTTGGTCTCTAGAAGATGATTCCGAAGATGAAGATAAGAGCGATAAAACCGATGCTAAAGAAGAAAAACCTATTGTAGAACAATCGATACCGATTGAGGTCGAAGAAGAACCTAAGGTAAACGAAGAAGTTAACAACAAGGAAGAAGATGAGGTAGATCCTTTAGATGAATTTATGAAAGAAGTGCACGCGGAAGTGCGTAAAATAAACAAAACCGAAATCAAAAAACCAAGCGAAACTCTAAATAAGAAAGGTTCTTTAGTCATTGTAACCGGCGTGGCCAAATCGAAAAGTAGCGCGAAAAAAGGCGAGCTGATAGAACAGAACCAAGACGGCCTTGAATATTCCTCGGAAGAGGAACAAGAAGACTTAAAAGATACCGCCGCTAATATAGCGAACAAACAGAAAAAAGAACTCGCCAAAATCGACCACAACAACATCGTTTACATCCCGTTCAGGAAGAATTTCTACGTAGAAGTACCGGAAATAGCCAAGATGACCCACGAAGAAGTCGACAGCTACAAAGAGGAGCTGGAAGGCATCAGAGTAAAAGGCCGCGGCTGTCCCAAACCGATAAAAACCTGGGCGCAATGCGGCGTATCCACCAAAGAACTCAACGTTCTCAAGAAACTCAACTTCGAGAAACCCACGCCCATCCAAGCCCAAGCCATCCCGGCCATCATGTCCGGCAGAGACTTGATCGGAATAGCGAAAACCGGCAGCGGCAAAACCTTGGCCTTTCTCCTACCCATGTTCAGGCACATCCTCGACCAGCCGCCGCTCGAAGACACCGACGGCCCCATCGCCATCATCATGACCCCGACCAGGGAGCTGTGCATGCAGATCGGCAAAGACATCAAGAAATTCACCAAGAGCCTCAACCTGCACGCCGTCTGCGTGTACGGCGGCACCGGCATATCCGAGCAGATAGCGGAACTGAAGCGCGGAGCGGAGATCATCGTGTGCACGCCCGGCCGGATGATCGACATGTTGGCGGCGAACAGCGGCAAAGTGACGAATTTAAGGAGGGTGACGTACATCGTTCTGGACGAGGCCGATAGAATGTTCGATATGGGTTTCGAGCCGCAGGTGATGAGGATCATCGATAACGTGAGACCCGACAGACAAACGGTGATGTTCAGCGCGACGTTTCCGAGACAAATGGAGGCGTTAGCAAGGCGTATATTACAGAAACCGATAGAAGTCCAAGTCGGTGGTAGATCTGTTGTTTGCAAGGACGTGGAGCAACACGTTGTAATCTTAGAGGAGGATCAGAAGTTCTTGAAGTTGTTGGAACTGCTCGGATTGTATCAAGAACTAGGTAGCATTATCGTATTCGTGGATAAGCAAGAGAACGCCGATATTCTATTGAAAGAACTCATGAGAGCCGCTTATAATTGTATGAGTTTGCACGGTGGAATCGATCAATTCGACAGGGACTCGACCATCGTGGACTTCAAAAACGGCAAAGTGAAATTACTGGTCGCCACATCCGTAGCGGCCAGAGGATTGGACGTGAAACAATTGATACTGGTGGTAAACTACGATTGCCCGAATCACTACGAAGACTACGTCCACAGGTGCGGCAGGACCGGCAGGGCCGGCAACAAGGGCTTCGCCTACACGTTCATCACGCCCGAGCAGGCCCGCTACGCCGGAGATCTGACCAAAGCGTTCGAATTGGCCGCGGTGCCGGTGCCCGACGGGCTGCGCAGCCTGTGGGAGAGCTACAAGGCCAAGCAGGAGGCCGAAGGCAAGAAGGTCCACACCGGAGGCGGTTTCAGCGGCAAAGGTTTCAAATTCGACGAGTCCGAAGCGGCGGCGGTGAACGAGAAGAAGAAATTCCAGAAGGCGGCGCTCGGCTTGGCCGACAGCGACGACGAGGACCTGGAGCAGGACATCGACCAGCAGATCGAGAGCATGTTCGCCACCAAGCGCACCGTCAAGGAGATCAAAGCGCCGATGGGCATCGTCAATTCGGCGGCGTTGGCCGCCTCCGGCGGCGGCACCGCCGTGGATAAGTTGGAGCTGGCCAAGCGGCTGGCTTCGAAGATTAATCTGATGAAGAGCTCGACGTTGGATACGAAGTTCGCTACGCAGCAAGCGGCCGAGTCGATACTGAAGGGTAGCGGGCCGCAGCCGGCCATAACGGCTAAGACCGTGGCTGAGCAACTGGCCGCTAAGCTGAATACGAAGCTGAATTACCAACCGAAGGAGGACGATGATGAAGACAGGAACGTCGATGATGAGCAAACCTTCAAGAAGTACGAAGAGGAGTTGGAGATTAACGATTTTCCGCAGCAGGCGAGGTGGCGGGTTACCTCTAAAGAAGCGCTGGCGCAGATTAGCGAGTATTCCGAAGCGGGTATTACTGTTAGGGGAACGTACGTTCCGACTGGGAAGAATCCACCGGAAGGCGAGCGAAAATTGTATCTCGCTATTGAGAGTACTTCGGATATGGCTGTATCTAAAGCCAAGGCGGAGATTACCAGGTTAATCAAAGAGGAACTGCTTAAGTTACAAACCGCTGGTCATCACACGTTCAATAAAGCTCGATATAAGGTTGTTTAAAACCTGTTTGTACTGTGTAAGATAGTAAAATGAAAACATTCTTATTAAGTTGGAATGTGTATGTATTGTATAAAACAATTACATCTACCATAATTTCTTTTTTAATAAATATGTTTTTTATAATATGATTGATGTGTTTTATTAAAATTATTCGTAAATTGGAAAAATTTAAATTTTTAACACCAAGCCCGCCGGTGTATAGTGTGGTGAAATTCTGCATTCCTATTGGACGTAGAAAATATGGCAGACGGTTAACCAATAATAACACAGAATAGTAGATAAACAAGGCCGGTTCTAGCATGGTCATAGGAAAAATAGTGTGTTAGAGAGAGAGATATATCCCAATGTGTTAGAGAGAGAGAGAGACATTTGTCACTCCGTTGACGTCTGTCACAACGTGATAGACAACTCTCATGACACATGACACATGTAACTAAATATGAGAAAAAAAGCGTTTGTACTTGCCTGGGGTTCGAACCTCGGTCGCTTGAGTTGAGTATATAAAGTAGTCGGGGGGCGGGTGAGGGTGGGGGATGCGGGGTCGGGAGGAAAATCAATCCTCAACGGAGCGACATACGTCAACGGAGTGACATACGTCAACGGAGTGACATATGTCTCTCTCTCTCTAACACATTGGGATATATCTCTCTCTCTAACACACTATTTTTCCTATGACCATGCTAGAACCGGCCTTGTTTATCTACTCAGAATGCAATCATTTTATGTCTCCTTTTCACACATGGATCGTAACACTTAAAACTGTCAACTTCGCTTGTCAATGAAGTGTCAAAAGCAATAAAAATAATGGCGTAATATAATGAATGAAAAATATTGATAAATACACCGAAATAATTGATTTACAGTCGTTTTCGTCGTTATTGTTCGTAATTTAAATTGGCGAAGGAACCAACCGAAACATGTCGTTCAAAAAAAGCGTCGATAGCACGTTTCAATCGAAAATCAGCAGAAACGATCGTTTCGCTCAAATGTCCCAACAGGAAAAATTAATAGAACAAAAGAAACGGGAAATATTGGCGAAGCTCGAGGCGAAAGATAAAGTGGTTAAAGTAGAGAATAAACCGAAACCTGAGCCTTGTACCAGCAAACCGCCCCCTAAAAGGTAATAATAATACCTACAACAAATAATCTAGACGTAATCAGTTTATTGTTTGATATTTTAGTATCGATTCGGACGCCGCCAATTCCGAAATAAAAAACGTATTCTCCAACGACGGCTCGTTCCTCGAGCAATTCAAGCAAATGAAGGAAGTAAAAAAAACCGACACCAAGTACAAATCGTTTAACAAATCCAAAGGACGTCACGAAAAACTATCGAAGTAAGCCCTATGAAACTCTATAGTATTGATGTAACCTACAAATACTTTTCAGCGATGAACGAAGCAAAAGCGACAGATGGAACTCGAGGAGATCGCCGTCTCCGAGAGACGGGCAACCGAAGAGGCAGTCGCGCTTCGACAACAAGACCCCCAATTTCGAATCGAAAATCACCATCAACACGTGCTTCAGTTCGAATCTGATGCGAGCCCCCCATCACGAACCGCCCACCTTCGACGTACCCTCTCTCAACGTCAACACGCAAGACGTTACCGGCCAGCCTTTACTGAAGAATATAATACAACAGCAAATTCTATCGGATAGACCCGTCATATCCGCTTCTCCAGTGCTACTGAGCATCCCGCCGCCCCAATTAGTCCAGTCGAGCACTCTGGTATTGAATTCCACAGCACCAGCGTCTATATTAACTACAGTTAATATCCCACCGCCTTGTTTACCTACGGTCGAATTAGCTAGCATTCCTCCACCGAATCCCATACAAATCCAGAACATACCGCAGCCGGAGCCTTTGAACGCAACGAATATACCCCAACCGGCTCCCATACAAGTCCAAAACATCCCAACACCCGCCTCGTTACAACTAAACAAAATACCCACCCCCAAACCGTTGGATCTCCTATCGATACCCACCCCTGTCGACGAAGGGCTCTCCAGCGCGGATTTCATCAAGAACATCCCGCCTCCGAACAAATCCGTGCCGCCGCCGATCATCCAAGACGCGCAAATCGTGCTGCCCCACGGCGCCGCCATGTCGGTGCCTCCGACGCAGAACGTGCTGATCCACAATCTGCCGCCGCCCAACGGCATGGACGCGTTCGCCGCGGTGACGCTGGCGCTGCCGCTGGCCGCCGCCCCAGCCATACCGTCGCTGATGGCGCAGCCGATCCTGCCGCCGCCCGGGCTGATCAACGTGAACGTGAGCTGCCCGCCGCCGATGCTGCCGTTCGTCACGCAGCCGCCGCCGCAGATGCTGGGCGCCGTTCCGCCGCCGGGTTTCAAAGAGGAAGCGACAGGTAATTCGTGGCGTTGCGTTCGGCGACGATCCGTTTTATTTCAGTTACTTTTTGTGGGAGTTTTTATTTTTTTTTTGTTCTATCGATCTCTTGGAAAACTATTCGTTGAATTGTTTTCCGTTGGGTAAAGTTCGTACGTTTTAAAATGACGGTGACGTCACGAGCCATCCTGTTGCAACGTTGGAACGTTGCGAAATGACGCTTCAGAAAAAGATGAAAATCGCTGGGAAAGTCACAAAAACAACAAATAATTGTAGTCTAAAACTTGTCAACTATAAAGAGAGGAATTTTGAGACTAACGATGTGGCAACAACGCATCGGTATTTCAACCGGACACCGTAAAATTCTCCTAGTCAAATGGTAGAATTGCCATCATCAACACTTAGGGACATTTTGAATTGCGTGGAAATTACTAAAAATGACCTCATTGCCATTTTAAAACGTAGGAGCTTTAAACAAACGGTTTGGGCTTGATTTCTGGTGGTCTTTTTTTTATGACTATTCGGTAAGTTTTTGAAAAATAAGACTGTTGGTATAATTTTTTTAATGATTAGCTACGAAACCGTTTACGTATAATATTGTTTTCTTTTTGGACTATTTTTTTATTAGCATTTATATTTTAAACAGGGATGACTATTAAAAATCGAGTTGTAAGAAAAATAGTAAAATGTATCGTACGTTTTTAGTCGTTGAACTTATAAATTCGATATAAATCTTCCTTCTATCTACAAATCTACCATTTCTTCAATTGCAACACTAATACTCGCCAAGTACTAAGATTTACTTTAGAAACTATATCGATGATAAAACGTTCCTCTTCGATAACATTCCATCTTTTTTATCTCGATTTTATCCCCAAACCCGCTGTTAGAAAAAAAAAAACCACAAAGCCGTTTATCGACTAAAAAACTGTTAGCAGTAAGTCATCCCTGTGTCGATGTGGGGGCGTTTTAGTGACGTGTTGTGAAGTTTTCCCCACAGGTACGCCAGAGTACGAGGCGATGGCGTCTTTGGGACGCATGGTGGCCGAATGCGGAGACGCTTTCGAGGACGTCGTTCGTCAACGAAAAGAACAAGATCCGAGATTGTGGTATGGCCAGGCAGAACTGCGTCTATATATACATAAACTATTATACAAAAAAAATACAGTACAAATACATTATAGTAAAAGTACATGGATGAAGTTCGATTGGTTGCAAACGATCGCGTTGAAACGTAACGAGCGAGAGATAGAATGGGACTTGATCCATGCGCTGCTTGCTCTGCAATCGAAAAGTTTTCGTCGCGTCTAACGTGGAGTACCCCTTTTTCCTTTGGGTGTTTCTAGGTTCCTGCTCGACAGGGATTCGACTGCCTACAAGGAGTACCGGCGGTTCGTAGACAACGTCAAGATCGAATTGAGATGCTCCAAGGAGATAAAGCAGCCCAAGGCAGAGGATATTTACGAACCGGAAATGGCGCTCGAAGACAACGACGATAGAGAGATGAGGATTGATAACCAAGTAAAATGAATAAAGACATTTTCCTCATCTATGAAACTGATGTAATTTTTTTCAGAGTGAAGAAAGTTCGGATAGGAAGAGAAAAAGACGAAGCAGATGGGGCGATCAGGATTGCGGTGTAGCTCCACCTGTAATGGTATTTGCAGGAGCACCACCGCCTCTTCCTCAACTATCCATACCCCCTCACACACGTAAGAATTTCCTTATACTAGCATACTATCAACTAGACATTCGTGTTTTTACAGAGAACCAAACTCCGGTATTTCTATCGAAACTGACCAGAACGGATCCGGGATTGATCCAGTACGCAATAAACACCTACGGCTCGACGAATCTAACGGAAGAGGATTGGAAGAAGACCGAAGACAACTACAAAGTCAGCTTGATATACCAAGACATGTTGAAGAAAAAGGCGGAAACCGAGCGACTGAAGATGGCCGGGAAAAATAAATACGAATACGATTCGGACGAGGAAATCGACGGTGGTACTTGGGAGCACAAAAAACGGGAAAAAGTACGCAACCTACAAACTATTCCGCTTATCATCTCACTAATCGTTTTGAATTAAAAGGAGATGATGTCGACGCAGAATTGGGCGCAGGATCTCACCAAGCACGCCGAAGGCAAGCACCACATCGGCGACTTCCTGCCGCCCGACGAGCTGAAGAAGTTCATGGAGAAGACGAGCGCGATGAAGGAGGGCCGGATGCCCTGCCATTCGGACTACAAGGAGTTCCAGATCAAGGAGGACAACGTGGGTTTCAAGATGCTGCAGAAGCTCGGGTGGTCCGAAGGCGAGGGTCTCGGAACGAGCGGGACTGGGATCATCGAACCGATCAATAAGTATAGATATTCTAATTAATAGTAACGGGGGAATTCTAATGGAGTGTTTGCAATGTTGTAGAGGGGCGCCTAGAGAACATACGCAAGGATTGGGTTTGAACGAACCCCAGGAGGACGAAGACGAGTATCAGTCGTACAGGAAGAGGATGATGTTGGCTTATAGATTTAGGCCGAATCCTCTGGTAAGAATCTAAAGCGATTTTCGTTATCTAAAGAATCTAAAGCGAACGTTATTTTTAGAATAACCCAAGGAGACCGTATTATTAGTGTTACGTTAGATTATTTTTCTTTGTATTATAGTGTACATAGTTGGTTGCCATAATGTAAAAATTGATTCTAATAAAATTATGTTTAAATTCGCGTTTTTATTACTTATTGATTAATAATAACATGTTTTTTTTTTCTCTTTAGGACAATCGCACAATATAATTTTCATAAAAAATACCACTTTAACAAATAACGCTTTCGGAAATTATCTAAATTAAAAAAATAATTTAAATAAATAAAAAAAAATGCATACACGAATCCGATTCAATTGGTGTAATTTCATTTTAAACCTAGGAATTGTTCATACCCTAAAAACGTTTTCACTAATCGACTACAGCTCTAGATGGCTGTCGTCCTCTTTCTCAGGTTTTTCGGTGGTTCCAGCGGGTTCGGGCTGTTCCGCGGCCGCCTCCGGTTTCGTAACGTTCTCGGCCTCTTTTCCCTCAGTCTTTTCTGTTGTGTTAGAGCTGGCTTCCTCTTTGACCGGCTTTTCGATCTTCTTGGGCTTCCACAACTTGGCCTTGTTAAGCATGTACTTGACTTCCCTGTCCAAAGCGGCCATCTTGTCCATAATGGATTTTATTGTCATCTTGATGGGTTCGCTCTTCTTCATCGCTTCTTGTTCTTTCGCGGATTTGTCCTTCCACTCCTGCGTGTCTTTTATAAGCTTCTCCAACGTTTCCACTTCCACGTCGGTAAATATGTCCTTCTCGGGATTGGCGCTCTTCGTGACGTTCTTAGCACCTAGCAGGAAGTTCGAGGAATGATTGAGGAGCGATTCGAGCGCTTTTATAGCCTCGGGCCGCTCTTTATGTTCGAACACCCTGCCCAGCAGGTCCTTTGTGAGCAAGTTCAATTCGTCGAGTTTCTTTTCGTATGTATCCGCATCCGCGTCGGACCCTTCCTCGTACAGCCACTCCGACACCAACGAACAAGCCGCCCGGATTTTCTCGATCTCCTCCGGACTTCCCGCTTCTTTATACTCGTCTTCGTCGAGTTTAGTTTGTATTTCGACCACGAAGCTTTCCAGATTATTCAGCGCCGAAGCCCTGCGGTTCATCTCCCTCTCCGCTCGGTCCAGCGCCTCCAGTTTCTCCAGAGATTTGGCGAGCTGTTTCTTGTCCAAAGCGTAGGCGTTGAACAGCATTTCGTTCGTTTTGATCGGCTCTTTGATTGTCACGATTTTCGGTTTGAGCTCTTTGCTCGGTTTGTCCGTGGCGTTTTTCGACGTTTCGTTTACCGGTTTTTTCGGTTCGGTTTTCTCTTCGCTCGGTTTTTCCTCCTCCGATGGCTTCTCTTCGGTCGATTCTTCCTTTTTGTCCTCTGCGGGTTCCTCTTTGGTTTTCTCCTCGACCGGCTTCTCTTCCTCGCCGCCGAACAGCTTACTGAATGTACTTCCTGCAAAATTCAAAATGAAGTTATTCGAATAGTAGTTCAATTATCCCTAGAATCTGTAGCTTTCATCTCGTATTTAAAATACTCGCCTAACTTCGACAAAGTGCCTTCTTCCTCGTCGGGCAGGATAGTCTTCTCGACCACCAAATCGGCGTTGACGAAATTCAACAGGCCGGAATCGTCCATGGCGAAATGGGCTTTGATGCCTTTGGTTTCGGCGTTTTCGCCGGTATTCTTCTCCAACGCCTCGGCCACTCCGACCAGATTGTACTCCGATATGTTACTCGATCCCAGGTATTGGCGTTCTTCGGGCGAGAGATGCTCGAGATCGGCGTAGTTGACGGTGAACGCGAAATCCACGGTGTTCTTGTTGAACGTGATGATCTTCTTCTGCGGATAGGGATTCATGAGGCCGAAGAGGGTGCGTTTCACTTGCTTCGTACCTTCGTCGGTGACACGTTCGAAATTCACCTGCGAGATATTAATGGAGTTTAAATGCGTTTGTGCTAGAGACTTGGTGTTGTACCTGCATCGGATAGACAACGGCGTCTTTGGTGATGAATTTGGCGACTTTGAAACCGGTGCTTAAATCAGCTGCTTTGTATACAGCCCCCATAGCAGCGGCCTCGTCTGTATTTAGACTCTTAGCCAGCTCTTGACCGACGAATTTCTTTAAATGTTCCTGCACTTTAGGTACTCTAGTACCGGCGCCTACTAGTACCACTTGACCCACCAAATCCATCGTTAAATGCGCGGCTTTCAGGGCTCTTTCGATCGGCTTGCTAACCCTCTCGAACAAATCCTACAAATCAAAAAAAATGTACCAACGTTACAACGCTCGATGCGACTCCTCACTTTGTTAATCTCTTCGAACTGCTCTCGCGTCACCATCAACTTGAAATCCTTCTCGTCGAGGAGCCCTTCGACCTGGGCCGGGTGCTCCGCGTTCGCCGACAGAACGTTCTTCAATCGGCCGGCCTCCTTGAACAGCTTCGCCATGGCCCTGTCGTTCTCGAACACGTCGTTCTTCGTCTTCTTCATGTCGTTGAAGCTCTTCGCCAGGAAGTTCCGCAGGCGGATTTGCATCTCCAGCCCGCCCAACGTTCGGTCGAAGCCGACGCCGAGGACGGCGGCCTGCGGGTTGATTTCCACGTACGGCTTGTCTTTGGTCTTGACCGTTTGGTAGCTGACCAGCGTGGCGGTTGTCGACGAAGCGCCCATGTCGTAGAACATGACGTATTGGGCCGTTTCGTTGAAGGTTTTCGATCTGAATATGCCGTAGTTTAGGGCTACAGCTGTGTAGTCGTTGATCAGTTGCAGCACCTTAAAATAGCGTTTGTAAGTACTAATTAATTAAATGTGGGGTAATAGGTGTGTTACCTTTAAACCGGCTAGTTCGGCCGCTTGAATAATGGCCCTTCGTTCTACTTGATTGAAGAAACCGGGGACTGTTAAAACGCATTCTTTAATGGGTTGATGGGCGCCCAGTTCCGCAAACTCTTTAGCTTTGCCTAGTAGCTGAGCTAGTAATTCTTCGACGCTATACGAGGTTTCATCGTCGATTTTGAATAGTAAGGTTTTGCGTTCAGGATCTTCCACAATGTTGTAGTAAGGGAAACGTTCCTGATATAACTTCACTAAAGGATGGTCTTTGCTTTTACCGACTAAATCTAGTAAGTAGATGAAGGCTTGTTTGGGAAACCTGACGCCTATAGTTTGGGCATCTTCTCCGAAGAGCCTGATGTTATCTCGGAAACTTAATACGGCCGGCGTTTTGCGCTTGGATTCTTTATTAAGGGCTATCTCCATGGGTACTCCGGGTGACACGTAACCTACTTTCATCCATTCCGAACCTACAAGTACATAAATTTCACTGAAACTTGGCACAAACGTGCGAAAGGGTACCCACCTAAATCAACTGACATGACAGCCAAACCGTGAATAAAAGGTACTCCTACAGAGCACGCTAATGCTATTAGAACAAGCGGTAGCTTCATTTTTGCGCTGAAATAAAAACAAACTTGGTGGAACATTCCAGGTTACCGCAAAATTGGTTGAAAAGCCGCGGATTTACGAGTGGTTAGCTGATAAACTTACCGCTTATCGAATGTGTGTGTTTTAATGGTCAGCAAAAAAGCTCGATAACGAATTTAATTTGAATGTAAAATCACCAAAACCACGTCAGATATTCCATGTGTACTGCAAACATTTTCAATCTAAAAACAGCTGTCAACTGACAAGTGTTAAGGACATTCCACACTTTTGTGTGGCCGAATTTTATTGGGCGAGTTTTGACACCTGTTATCTCATTGGTCAAATGAATACATTGACGTTTGACAAGAAAGGAACATTTTCTTCTTCTTTAATAATTTTATGGCCTCCACCTAGACACTATTTAGACCCTTCAAAAACCCATACACGAGGTCTGTTGCTGTGTGGTCATGAAGTTATTTTTTGATATCTAATTAGTAGGAATTAGCAAATTGGGTTGAAAAATAGACTAAATATTTTTAAAATCATTCCTTTAATGCGTAATTTAAATAGTATTTGTGCGTTTTATCTACAATTAACATCACTTACAATCACGTTAGATTCATTCAATCTTCAAATGGTACAAGAAACTTTGCATCTCCGTAAATAAAGTTAAATGTGATAAGCGAGTATTTGATAACCGCTAATTAAAGCACATTAACTTTTCAGCTGTTAATGATTATTTAGTCGGCAACACACTCTGAAATCAATAAATGTAAAGGAATTTGAAATAATTCGAAAAACTTTTATTTTATCCTTATTTTGTCTTAATCAAAAGTACAGGTTTTTAATATATTAAACATGAATATAATAGCACCAATATACAAGAAAAAATAACGCTTTGGAACAGAAACTAAGGTACTCGTATTTGGTTAACGGTTTTTTTTTGTGAACAGAGTGAAGCAGAAGTAACAATTAAATATATTTATTATTGCTTTGCTTTGCTCTCACAAATTATTTTGAAATTACACAAAAATTTACTTCAGAAATTCTGCATATTTTATTTGTTGATAATTTTTTTTTGAACTGACCCAAAATACAAAAATAAGGCACAAATATAAGTAAAGGTAACTTTGAAATAAAATATGCAAATTATTAATACATGTATTATTATTATTTTGATAGCAGTAATATATGTTAAAGGAGTTAATTTTCAGGAAAATACTGTTTTAATACACGCTAATACCAAACAGTACATTATATGCATCAGAATTTTATCAATTCTTTAAAAAAATAGAACGAGCAAATATAAATAAGAAAAAGTAAAACACCATCGTACTAGAATTACTTGTAAAAATAAACCGATATAAAAGAACACGATTTACTTATTTTTATTATGAACATTTGCTCGCAATTTTGACGCGCCTTGTATATAATAAAACACCCTAAATTATATTAACACCATCCACCTAAAATATTTCCATAATATAAAAAAACATTTGCATTTTTCGGCAAGAACATTTGTAGAATATGGAGAGAGGATTTCTCGAGAATTGTCCTTTTTTTATACTAATATTGTTTCAATCAACACCGATTTCGTCTCTTCATCATGCATATAAAAATAGCTTATTAACTACATTTTTTTTTTTAATTTTAATCAATTAGTTGATAAAATATAGACAGTTTAATAATGTTACTATTACGTTATCTCAAAAGTGACGTAATTAAATGGTTATTTACCCACAAAAAAACTTTCCTATTGTTTCGAAATCAGAGGACAATTCGTGAACAAAATGTTTCCATATCTAAATGTGTACTTAAATATTTATCCATTACCTACTTTTTCCTATTATGTATACGATACGATTCCGACCGACTCCGAAATAATTCTGACTTGAAGTAAATTCACCTTATCGATTCGTTTTCCACGTGAAAATCGCTTAACGTCCGAAATATTCCGCAATTCTTGATAAGGCAAAAAGGTACGATTATAAATTCAGATCTAACTCATAAAAGTAATAAATATCACAGTTGAATCCAATGCGTTTTAATGGAAATTATTTCAAAGCCAACCGAAATGATTTACTCAATCTAATTTTATATTACATCACAGCCAGTGAGCAGCGGTATTTTGCGATATCGCAAATATTTCCAAAGAATTCCATCTAACGGCGTTCGTTTAAATACTATTTCGCAGGTATGAGTAAAGGTAAAAAAATCAAAGTCTAAAAAAATAAAAAAAGAATTCTCTACACGAAATATTTGCCATAAATCAAAACCCATCTGAATCGTCCTTACTTCTCTACTGATTCTCTATCGAATCTCTCTTTGTACACATTTTCTCTGTGCTGTCGATTGAAAACAGGCCCGAGTATTTGTTCTGTTCGGCTAATTCTCTTGTTGAATCTCTCCCTATCCCTGGCGTATTCCTCCCAAGGCCCCTTTCTGGCGCTTCGATATGCAAACGACCATTGTACCATCGGATGGATTTCACACAGATCCTCTTTATCGGCAAATCGCACCTTCAAAACACATAAGATATTACAAAATTTCGCAATTTTAATTTCTACAACAATACACTTATAAATTATCTGTATTTTAAAGCAATTGTTGGATTTATCGACGATTTTGCATACAGATAAGTGCAAATTTGTTTGCAATATGTTCAAGTTGAATAAAGAATGATTATTAATATAACAATAGCACTATATCTTTTTCATTTATATGAGTCTAATGGAAGTTGTCTTTTTTGCGCCCATACAGTATACCAAAAAAGTATTCGTACACTCGTATTATAATCATTATACGTGTAGTTACCCGTTTAATAAATATACAAATGAAAAAACAATTAACAGGCAGATTTGGCTCCATCCGATCCAAAAATGTTATACTTACTCTCATCTGACAATATAACCTGGTTCCAGAACTCTAAACGTTTATTAATGTAACGCTTAGCAAACTCCACTCTTAGCTTTCGATTTTTCTTATTTATCCTTGGCTTTTAGCAGGTCTTCTTCCTCTATATTCTAATCGCTTAATGTGGTATCGAAGAGTTTCCGGATGGATCTTATGCCATGTACTGGATTTCAGTTCAGAAACGATGTATGGAGCACTTACAAAGGGAATTTTTTTAACTTTTTGATAAATGAAATTCTGATCTCGTTGAGTTAACTTGGCAGTACCTCCCGATCTTGACTTATTTTCCACGGAACCAGTAGATTTATATTTTTTCACAATGTACTGAACTGTAATATGTGTTTTTTGAACAATTTTACCTATCTCCTTATATTATTTTCCTTCTATAAAATGATGGATGATGACTTTTTTAAGTCACCATCTATTTCTTCAGTTTTTCTAGGCATTTTAAGGTAAACTTGAATTATTTTGAAAACAGAACTAGGAGCTCAACCTAATACTAATATACCGGCGAAAACAATAAACAATTTAATATCTACAGAGTGAAGAAATTGATAAAACGTTGCTGTACGAATACTTATTTTGGGGATAAAGCAAACATTTTTCGTTTTTTTTTATTTTACATTTTTAATAACAATGTTAATTAATGATTGCAAGAATAGTCTTGAAATGTAGATTTTAATTTGCTAGTTACTTCTTGTTTCTGTTTACTGAACGCGGACTTCCAGAACATAATGCAACTGTACGAATACTTTTTTGGTCTACTGTATATTGCAAACTATTTTGCATCTACCTGTTTAGTAGAAAATCAGATTTTGGTGAAAATATTTAAAATTTATGAAACCACTATCAACTGTGGTTTACAATAACAAGTAAATATGCTCCAAATAATCATGAAATACAAAAAATAGATTTTTTTCTATTTATTTACTTAAATCAACAGATTGATAGTCCTTTAATCAACAAGACTAGACGAGCACTGCTTGTGTAGTTTACATAATAAAACTCAAAGGCCTCGTCAAACACTTTGAAATCAAATCACATTTATCATTAATATTTGAACTTTGAAACCACATTTAAATACAGTTATCAGTAATTTATATATTCCAAATTAAACATTTTCCTCCAATTCTGAATATAACTTTTAGACAATGTCAAATTAACACACAAATGACAATAAACTTTCAAACCAAACAACATAAAACGCTGACATTTACTTATGTCACTTTGACATTTGCTTATGGCATTCAAAAATAATTTTAATCGCAACATCTAGTAGGCGCGATGTAATAAACTCACCCTTTTGCATGGAACGACGGAATTCGAAGAATCGAAATCGTCATCGACGTCGGAATCGTCTGAGCTATCTTCGGTATCGGAATCGGTCTCGTTTTCGGACTCAGAAAATTTCAGTTCCTCGTCCGTTCCGCTATCGAACACTATGAAACTATCCTCCGATTCGCATACGGACAGTTCCCGTTCCCTGTTGAACAACCTGCCATTGCTCGGGGGCGAAATGGAGATGAACGTGTAAAGCTCCTGCTCAGGTCTGATGGGCCTCGCAGGTATCTCGGTGAACTCCACGAGGAAATCGGAGAGTTGTAGGGATTTGGGGGACGCGGGGCAGGTGAGATTGTCGCAACGGTTCATCGAAGTGTCCATCTCCGAATCGACGTCCATCATTTCGTTTATTCGCTTCGAATTCTGTTTGAGGGATTTCTTCCTGCGGTTTTTCCTGGACTTTTTGCTGCGTTTTCTGCTGGTGTTAAACGAGGATCTGGTGATGGGGGAACGATGGGCGGTTTCTACTTCGAGATCCTCCGTTGGTTTGCGACTGAAATTTGTGTGATTTCCCGTACAAGGGTTTTCGATGACAGAATCTGTTGTGTCAGAATCTTGACAAAAATTGTGTACGGCTCTGCAGATTGGGTTCGTGGATGAGTAGGAGCAATGCACGTTCGGATGGTTGTTGACGAAATTCGGGTTTTTGAATACTTTGTCCGAATGTATGGCTGCATGGGGTATGCTGAAAGATGCCAGTTCTCTCTTCTGCGTCTTGAATGGCGCCAGAATGGGCGCGATTGACTTTGGTATATTCCACATGTCTGTCGTTTCCGTAGCTTCAGACTCTGCAAAACGACTGCTTAACGGCTTTATAATTGTTTCTGGAGCACAAACAACGACGAGGAAGTTTCTTCACCCTACAATGTCCTTGATTTTGATGTTTTATATTTGTACACACTTTATCGCCACCGAAGATTCGCTTTTTGATTATTTCACCCTCGATTTGTACAGTAGATATATCTTCAACGATATTAGCCATTTTTAACTCGTTTACACTAAACAATATTTCACACAATTATGCTGCCATTTTGAATCACACTAAACTTTTTTCTCTGATGTTTCTCTGATTAATGAATGGGAAATACGAAGTCACTCGAGCATAGATAAAAATAACGTTTCGTCACTTTTCGTAACTGGAAATGTCACGTACGTCACACTATTGCAATGTTGCCGGTTGTATTAACTGAAAAATCTACTTTACATTTTGAATAATTAGTGTAAAATGTATACAAATTCTCTGTAGTTTTATTTATACTACAATTAAACAATTAGAAGTTGTGCATTATAAATAAAAAGATGACTAACAATTTTTAGTAGTTGCCAAATAACCTTAGAGGTCGAGGGCAAATATTGTGTTTTTAATAAAAAAAGACGAAAATTTTAGGTTGTAATAAAATTTTTATTCTTTGTTATGTAAATAATTAAATAAAATAAACAACTTTTATCAAAGGAATTAACGAGGAATGTTGGTTCAATTGATTTTTCGTCAATAAACTTAAATTTTCCGCATTTTCCTGTGCGCGAACCGATTATTGATTTTTTTGACCTGTTGAGTGAATGTTTAGATTACGCAGATTAATGAGTTCAACTTCTCTTACACGAGAACAATCTGTTGGATTACTTTCGTAAGTATAAAACTAAGTTTTTATTAGTAATAACCGAAAAAAAATCAATAATTTCATTGAGATTATCGTTTTTTATGCCTTAATTCAAGTCTACTATTCCAAATTATAAATTTATTATAATATAAACAATTGTTCCATATGTAACGAAAGAAAAAACAAAAATAAGAGCATTTATAACACGCGAAATATTGAAGAAAAATCGTACAACTTCTTGTTTACGTTTTATCCGAACGTTTCGCCGTGATTCAATATTTATTAGAGTAATCGTATTTTTTATTCGTGCATTTTTCGCATTCAAAGATAATACACCGAAGCGCGGCATGTCTTTCCGTATTTCATTAAATCACAGTCAGAAAACCGGGCTTCGTCCGCGCGGTCTCATCGAAAATGCCCATGCCAAATTACCTAAAAATCGTTATAGACAACACCTTTAATAAAACCACTTATTACGATAACAACCATTCGAAAGGGCCCATACAGAGCAATGCCGTTATTTCTATTAATAAAGGGTACGTATAATTGTTCGATTATTATCGGTGTATTTAAATAACCTTGTTTTTTTTTATCTCCTGATTGAATTGATAATTTATTTCCTTGCTCGAAATTTATTCGTAGGTGAAGCTAATGAGTTGTTAGTTTGAACTTTACTGCTTTACGTATAAGTGTTGCAATACTGATTTATTTATTCGCAATAATTGTCTTCTAATTTTGTGAGTTACTCAATTCGTTCGCAGAAATATGGAAGCGCGGGCGGAACACCAAAGAACGAAACAATACCAAACTATATACACTTTCGCGACTTCAATAGGGGTGGGGTTGGTTATTCTCATCCTCTTCTGGATACTGTACTTCCGCAACGGCTTCGCCTGGCAATCGAACCCCAGCCTGGAATTCAACTGGCATCCGTTTCTCATGACTCTTGGAATGCTATTCCTCTACTCCCAAGGTACATGAATACACGTATTCGCCTCGAGGGTAATAACGAGCGATTTTTGTAGGGATATTGGCGTATAGAACCGGCAGGAGATTCGAAAAGAAACCGCTGAAACTGGCGCACGCCGTGCTAAATTTCTCGGCCTTCGTTCTCTCAGTCATCGGCCTGAAAGCCGCTTTCGATTCGCACAATTTAAGCAGCAAACCCATCCCGAACTTGTACACCCTCCATTCCTGGATAGGACTCGCCACCGTCATAATATTCGCAACACAAGTGAGCATTAATATCGAATGACTGGCGGAATTCGCTGTTGTTACATTACTCGAATATCTCCGACGAATCCATTGTGTTAATCGATTGTTTGTTTCTCAGTTCCTGATCGGTTTCACGAGTTTCCTCTACCCGGGGCTGTCGCAGTCGCTGAGAAAGGCCGTGCTGCCGGTGCACGTGAGCTTCGGGACGGGCTGCTTCACCTTGGCTGTGGTGGCCGTGGTGACGGGGCTGCTGGAGAAGGCGGTGTTCGCCATCGAGGATTACAGCGCGCGCTCCTCCGAAGGGGTCCTGGTGAACATCGCCGGGCTGGCGGCCGCTCTTTACGGCCTCCTGGTGCTGTATTTGTTGAACGAGCCGGATTACAAGAGAACCGCTTCGGGAGACGATCAGATCGTTCTCGATCGATCCGAATAGATTTAGATAATGCGATCTTATATTGAACGATGCATTTATTGCGGTTGTATTTGATTTAACTTTGTTATCCCAGTCGAGAAGCATTCGAAGAGTTTGTATTTTTTTGTGGTATTATGTTTAAGTATTTGTAACTGTGGGTTTTTCAAAGTTTACTTAATTTATAAAATCTAATATGTTTGTTCTAACATTCATACAAAATATTTAAAGCCTATTACAGTATAATTGTTGGAACAAATCTATTAAATATTCGTAAAAGTGCTTAAATTGTGGTGCTTGAAACTTCAAACTTGTGGTGCTTTATATACATATTAATATATTAATCGAATGGATTTTATTAATCTCATAACATAGCGCTGATTTATACAGTAGGTAATTTTTCTACATCATTAACTCTTTTATTATTGCAAAGTTTGTGTAACAAACCGCAATAATAAGAAAGCTATTCATAGAAGAAATATTTTGTGTGATAAACATATTCCTATATTTTTTTTTCGTGAATTTTACGAAATTATTTTTATATATCTATATCTATACTTTAAACTGCGTTTACTTATGTTGCTAGAAACTAAGAATATACTTGTTTTATTGTTCTCAAATTTGTTATTTTATATTTTACTTTTATGAAACAGTATAATTACGAATGTTAAAAAAAATTAATGATATCCCATATACATAATAATTATACCGTATGTTAAAACAGTACATGTATCTATACAGAATATAAATGATGAATGTTATCTTTATTTTTAACATTGAAATAGCAATATTCCATTTTCAAATCTTGCTGGAAATGTACGTTGATTGCAGCTTAGCAGCTTGTAGTTTCATGAAGTATTTATTAATGTACTGAATCATTTAATGATCAACAATTTCTTATTGCTGTGGTGTATAAACGAATTTTTCAAAGAGCGATTAGATCTGTATTTCCACTTCTTTCGTTAGAATGCTGCTGGTTTGCAGAACTTTTGTGGCGAAGGATGAGCGAGAATCTTCGATGAAAGTAGCAGGAATTGTTTCTGAGTGGAAATTTGGCGTATTAAATAACGAAGAAGAAAATTGTTTACCTGAAATTTCATTTCAATCTTAAAAAAACCGTGTAATTTTGTTCGAAGCTTGTCACTATTTATACAATGTATAGGATAATTTAGGCAAATATTTCTCGCCATGACCTTGATATTATAATCGGTAAGTTCATAGTCCATCTGCAAGTACCTGCTTTATCGTCTAACGCGGAGTAGACCATGATGGGTTCCAACCCAAAAAAATTATTTTATTTCTCACTATATTTATTTCAAATGCAATCAAATATTTTTATACACCTAAAGACGATTCCTCGCCGTTTATAACTCGTTGAAATTGGCGAATAAGTTGCCTGAAATCCTCGCTAGAGTGCTGCTCGAAGTGCTTCTCCACCAACTCTTCGGTAACGTCTTCCAGCCGCGGGGGACTCCACTTGGGAGCGTCGCCCTTATCCACGAGAACGATTCGAGTACCTGCAAGTTAAGAGATAATTATAACTAATTACTATTAGAGGTAACTAGTACCTTCTATAACGTCAGGGAACTTGTAGAAATTCACCGATAAGTTGGCCTCCATCGCCAACGAGTCCTCCACGCTGTAGTCTTTACCTCTCTGCAGCTGCTTCAGTGTCACAGCAAGCGAAGTGGGAGCGCCGCTCTTTATCGCAGAAAGAGCATTTTTAGCGAAAATGGACTTTTCACCATCTAATTTCCTAATAATACCTCCAACGGTGGGTGCGTCGAAACACCGGTTTATAACATCCATTTCGGGCGCCAAAGTGAACTCCGGCAGGCTCTTCTCGCACACTTCCTCGAGCGCGCCTTCGACATCCTCCGGCCTATTGCGCAGTATCGCTTCCTCCAGCCTCCCCAAGTTCTCGCTGAGGCAATAATGCGAGGCGAAGCCCGCGTGCACCGCGTCGGCCCCCTTCACCGGCTCCCCGGTGAGCGCCATGTAGTACCCCAAGCGGCCGACGGTGCGGTTCAGGAAGTACGAGGCGCCCACGTTGGCGTGGAAGCCCAGCTTGGCCTCGGGCATGCCGAAGCGGGTGGCTTCCGTGGCGATTTGGTAGCGGCTGAAGTGGGACAGGGCGGCGCCGCCGCCGTACGCGATGCCGTGCATGAAGGACACCACGGGGATTTTGGAGACGTGTATCAGGTGGACCATGGCGTGTATCAGCAGGCTGATGTAGCTGAATTGGTGGGACGAGAAGGTGGCGAATTCCTTCATGTCGCCGCCGGAGCTGAAGGCCCTGCTCGCCGCGCACGCCTTGAGGATGATCAGGGACTTGTCGCGGCTGCTTTGCAGCAGGGAGTCTCGCAGTTGGTTCATTATGTCCGTGCTTAAGGCGTTTAGCGCTTCGGGTCTGTTTAGAGTTATGATGGATTTATCGCCTACATATTCGGTTAGGACGTAGTCGTTTTTGGGGGTTTTAGTGGAGAGGTGTCTGAAGTTTAATAATCTAAAAATCGGCTGTTATGAAATTATAGTATGGCGATTAAATTGGTTAAAAAAAACTTACTTTTGGTTTCATCCTTTACGCGGCGGCTTGTTTGGTATCAATCACAAAAGCGTGTAGGAATGGGTGTAAATAACTTGTAAATTTAATACGTATACATTTTTTACTTGTCTCATTACGTCGTGTTATCACAAAGTCTAATAAAAATTAATTATGCATGAATGTTATTTCGTAATTGTCGGTGTGACCTTAAAGTTTGGAAAATTTGTTGGGCGCGTTTTAAATAAATTAATTAGGAAATTGATTTTGAAATTGGTGGATTTTCAAAATTGTATAATTTTGTGTCATTGTGCCTACTGTTTGGTTAAGCTACTAAAGTCAAAGAGTCTTGTCGTCTTGTCAAATTATTTTTTTAACAGAAGAAGAAAACAAACAATTCTAATTACAGTAAAACATTTGCGACGTTGTCAAGTTTTTATTAGCGCAACGAAACGTTATAAAGGATACGGTCGTGTATTATACGGTCTGGAAACTAGACATATTTTGTGGTAGAGGGGGTGATCGACCTATCTCGGCCAATCAGCAACGCGCATTACTAACGATCAAACTTATATGAATTTATAACATTTGTAGAAAAGAAATATAAGCTCTGTAAACTATTATTAGATTATCAGATTAGATATTAGATGGATTAGATTATCAAGTTATGGCTCCATATCCGCCAAACTAAATGTTGAATTCAAAAAATATCCGATTACAACATCGCCTCCTACCGGCCCTTTTAGGAACTACGCACTTTCGCTTCATCCAGTTTCACCTGCACCCAGTTTTACCATGAGTTTCCAGACATAATAATAAAGGACTACTTTTACGATACGGTTTGTAGAATAATTTATTTATAGGACACTTGAGGGATGTTTCGACAAATTTGGATGTGGTGGATGACAGAATTACAAATTTGACATCGTTTACATTGATATTTCTCAAAATATCTTCAATGGATCTACTGAAATTTTCTATTCATTAATTACAATATCCTTCCCTTCGCTCTTGATCCGAATGATAATTTTATTTTCCCGTATTAATCACATCGTGAGAACTCCTGAATGGGACGGGTGCTCCTTTAGTCTCCTTTAGAAATCCTCCAGCAACCATCTGCCTGTGTATGATTTAATAAAGGGCCAGTTGTGCGCGTCGTGTTCCAGTCACTTGGCAATTTCCTGCAGTTACAAAACCGTAACTCCCTCGTCGTTAGAGATGGGACTCGATTAAATGTAACCGTTACCCCGTCTCATCTGTTGCATAAGAATTCCTTCTGTTATTTTTTTATTTCATTTCATTCATTAGGAGTTATTATTATTTTATAATCGTAACGTGATTATTAAGGTACGTTTTCGGTCCGTAAACCGTAAATTCGAACAATATCGGATTTAATGGATCCAGAAATATTCAGTAACAAACCTAAAATATTCATAATAATTGTTATGAATATCTATACTTAGTTATGATGGCAATACAAACATGTTAAAGTGGTTCAACTTTTAACATGTCGAGATAACGCTATAGATCGAGTACCTAAATAATTTCTACGTTGTTTCCATGCGAATTGATTGATTAGTTCATTAAATAAATAATCGCAAATGAGTGCATGTATAGTTGATATGTAAATTGCTCGATATATTTGTCAGATGAGAAAAATAGAGTATAAAAATATTCCTCAATACCTCAAACGCATTTAACGCCTACCAACGCATAAATTCATTAAAAAAATCGCGTCAATAATTATTCAAATCGCGTACCGAAGGGAATCGGTTCGGTTACGTTCCGGTCGGTCCACATCTCTATTCTTGCCGTCGTAGTGTGGTCGATCGCGGTGGAAGGAGACGCACCCTTTCCCAGTTTACTCGCTAAATTTCCACTGGATAAAAACACCCCCCGAAAAATGAACCGAGGATTGAGTTTCTAAGGTGTTTGTTCGAATTAATTTTCCGCTATTTCTACGGTACAATTTTCATCGAGTAAAGTTCAGTGCGCGTTTTTTTCCACCCAGGATGTCGTTCTCAGAGGAAGAGAGGGATGAGTGAGTAGATGTTTATTGAATTGAAATTATTCATACATTTTAATTAAAAATATTTAAAAAAATATTTATTTTTGGTAACAATAATAATTCGGTAGCATATTTGTATTGAAACCCTCATACGCCCTTTTCTATACCGTACAGTACAAATAAAAACTCCTGAACTATATTAATTTGTAATCTATTAAATGAACTATCAGATTTTCTTTTTGGGTAAATTATTATTTTGCACTATTGCACCAATTCTCGAACACCAGCACCAACAGAACTCTATCCTTCATCCTTCTTAATCGATATTAATTGTTATTCCACGTTAATTTACTCTCCGGCATCCAGCTTTTCATCGAAATCTCATCTAAGAATCTGCTGGGAAACACAATACCCTGATAAATCGATAAATTCATTACATGCCCATGTCTCTTGGGTAAATAGTGATGAGATTGTGTGATCAACTAAATAAATATATCCGAAGAAATTGTCAATGTATTGTTTGCTTCGTTCAATTAAGTTCGTGTTGTTTTGACTACAACAAAACTATATATCTTTCCTCGTGCAATTTTGATAAAATAATACAGCAAAATCGGCAAGATTTTTGTAAATTTTGCACCTGTAAATTTCCAATACATTATCAAATACGTAGCACGCGCGGGGATTCCCCGGGAACCTGCTGGCTACCAAAAATATCGGAATTGGGTTAAAAAATTACCAGTAATTAATTGGCTTTCTATTATTTTTCCATTCAAACAACGAGATGAATTATTATCTTTATTACCCTTTCGAAAGAAACTTTTTTGTTGTCTTTGTTGCACCTACAGCCTATGTTGAAATGAAAAATGGAGGAATCTGTATATTCTCAATGCCTTATTTGTTCTAAAGCGGGTTTTAAGTGGGTGTTGGTTTCTTAGAATAGATAATATTTGCAGTATGTGGATGATTTGTGCAAACTTGCCTAGCTAAAACGTTGTTATCTTTGGTAGTGTGGGAAAACGTGCGAAATGCGAGTAGGGAAGAAAATATATTTATACTGAATTAACTTAAAAAGCGAGTAGATGCCTACCTATATTGAAAAGTGAATGATTGTCTCGGTTGCAACGGTCAAGGTAATTTCCTTTTTAATTAAATTCGTAATTAACAAAGCGTGGGAATTTTACTTCAACTTTATAGTATACAGATTATTTTCTTGTTAATTTTCTTATTAGGATAGATTCGTATATTGTTTATTGCTTAAATCGAAAACAAAGATTTCCGTAGATTAAAGAAATATATCCTTATATAAATTCCATTTATGTAGAAACATCAGTAAATATCAAAACATTCGTAGAATAAGGTCATCTAGAGCATCGTTTAGATTGATATTATTTTATTCCCTCATAAATTATTTACGATAGTTTTGTTCCTTAAAAACCAAAAAAACACAAATGGGGAACAATAGTTGATTCAATCGTCATCTTATTTTGTAATTTTGTAACACATTCAATTTTGCGCAAGTAAATAAAACTCGATAAGAATACCACATCGCGTACATTTCATATTACCAAATACCTCTTCGATTAGTTCTGGTTTTAATGACGAAGTTGAAGTGTATATAAAAATCCCCGATAAAACGCTGTTTTATTTATATTTTCTCTATCGCATAATTAGAAACGAACATGTCGTGCACGAAAAGCGGAAACGGTTGTACGAACGGTAACGGAGTTGATAATAATAACGAAGATGATGCCGTTGAAATATCCACAGAGACGAGGTAAGTGGCAAATTTTTTTTTGCGCCAGAACAAATATACGAGGTGTGTGTAAAATATTCGCAATTTATTCAAATAGAAATGTTCAGCGTAAATTATTTCGATGATTGAATTATTTGGGTAAATAATCGACATTTTAATGTACGTTTCCAAATTTTAGGTGTTTATGGGTTAAATTGATATATCACAAATTTTTACAAATTATTGTTCAATAGTAAAAATTTGTACGTTTTAGAATCGGCTAGCAACAAATTTTCCTTTATCGATAAATTAATCATTTTGCAAATCCTAATCTAAATTCGCAAAATAAGTTATAATTTGGTAACTATTGATAATGCATCAGTAACTATTAATAAAGTCAAGGTTAGTTTACATTTCTATGCTACCGAATTATTTATATATTACGCTATTAAATACAAAGGAATCGTGTTTCACTAGTATCGTCATAGAACGGTTTCTTACTAATTTTATATCGTTGTTTTCAAATCTACCTTTTCTAATCTAGTTTTTGAGATTCATGAAATTTATGAAATTCCTGAAATTTACTTAATTAATTTCAATTAGATACTTAGATGGAACCGTACGGTTGAGGAACCCCAACATCGAACTGATGGACCAAGACATCCTCTACCATCTGGCGTTGGGCAGCGAATCCCACGATCTCGTCGAAATGTTCGGCGATGTAAAGGTAGTTTACCACCAAATTCTCCGACTCGTTCCGATTTAAATTAAATCGAAATGTTCCAGTTCGTCTGCATGGGCGGCACGCCCAAGCGAATGTTCAACTTCGCCGAGTACATAATGAAGGAAATCGGCCACAAACTGCCCACCGGCACCCAATTGATGGACATCAGCCAGTACTCCTATCGCTATAGCATGTACAAAGTTGGCCCCGTGCTCTCCATCAGCGTAAGTGTTACCGTGTAATTTGTGTTGCATAACCACTCGGATGCTGGTGACAATTGACATTTGAATTGAAAATTTGAAAACTGACAGTTTGATTGACAGTAAAGAAGTTTTACGTTTAAATTTTATTAATATCAATTGCTTTTATCATATTTATTCGAAATGAAACGTATAAACCACAACAGTAAGCATGACCATTTAATCTAACTAACAATAAAAAAACTCGATTAATTTACAGCACGGAATGGGCGCCCCCTCCATCGGGATTCTACTGCACGAGGTGATCAAACTAATGTACCACGCCAGGTGTCGGGATCCCGTCTTCTTCAGGATCGGCACCTGCGGAGGCATCGGCCTCGAAGGCGGCACCGTCATCATATCCGATAACGCGGCCGACGGCATGATGAATAAATATTATCAAGTGGTAAGTAGGAGCCCTTCCAACCTAATGGATATGCAACCCTTTGTACATCACTTATTAGTTCACCCAGATGTAGAAGAGAGCAATACTAGTTAGCTAGTTTTTATCTATCTCAAATCAATTATTTCGGGTAATTAAAACGAATTATCATTTTTTTAGCCGGTACTGGGAAAGCTGGTAAAACGACCGGCTAAATTAGACAAGAAACTAGTGAAAGAATTAAAAGCCTTAGCGAATCCGGACGATCCTTACGATACAGTGACCGGTACCACAATGTGCGCCGATGATTTCTACGAAGGTAAACCCTTAACAGTTTTCCTACTCGGTAAAAGGCCATTTAGCGACAATACTATGATATGGTTTCAATCCGTAGGTCAAGGCAGATTGGACGGCGCCTTCTGCGACTACTCCGAAGCCGACAAAATGGAGTATCTGGAACGTTTGCGTAGCAACGGAATTAGAAACATCGAAATGGAGGCGACCACGTTCGCCGCTCTCACCCATCACGCCGGCATTAAAGCCGCCATCGTGTGCGTCGCCCTGCTCGATCGAATGAAAGGCGATCAGGTAATTCACGTCGATTCACCCGGTTCGTCACGGTTGCTCTCCTAAATCTTATTATATCCTACTGGAGTTCTACTGGATCGCTCCTAAATTCTCCTAGTTTCACCCAGATCATCCTAGAGTCTCATAGTTTATCCCATGTTCTACTACCCTACATCTCCACAGGTCTTCCTAGATCCTCCGAAATTTTTCTTAGATTATCCTAGATCCTCCTTGATTTTCATAGATTCACCCAGATCCTGCTAGTTTTCTATCCTCTTATCCTCCTATCCTCCTATGCTCTCCTAGGTCATCCTAGATTCTCCTGGATTCTTCTAGTTCCTTATAGACTCTTCATATCCTCATAGATTCTATTAGTTCCACCTGGCTCTCCTAGGTCATTCCAGATGCTCATACAGTCTCATAGTTCTAGATTTTCCTACAGTCTCATATAGTTCTTCCAGATCCTTCTAATTCCTTTTAGTTCCTCCTATGCTCTCCTAGATCATTCCAGATCTTCCTAGACTCTCCTATATTCTCATAGGTCTTCATAGATTCTACTAGATTCCCTTAATAATAGATGGGTTATTTATTTTGGTGGAATTTCCAGGTTTGCACGCCGAAAGAGGTGCTGACCGAATGGCAGTTGAGACCGCAAATATTAGTGGCCAGATACATAAAGCGGTATTTGCAGACCAAAGGGAGGATTTCGTTGGACGGGCACGGTTCGATGGCGGTGAAGAGTCCGAGGCGCTTCAAGTTGGTGCAGCAGGAATCGCAGACGTTCGAATAATATCATTCCCGCAAGGTTTTAATATTGTCCGAGTCGATACTTCGATGGATACCTGCGAAATATTAATGGTTTTAATTGATTGTAGCATTCAAAACATTCCGGTTTTACTTATTTATTCAGTTGTTATTTTTATTAGTTTGGTAAAAGTGTGGAGGTATAAAATGCTTCGTAAAATACCATGTTTAGGTCTCTTTTTATTATTTTATTACAAAACGGTGTCTATAAGAAAATATGTTGAGGAGGATACCTAATTGGAAAATAATTAACTATATATTTATTAAATAATATTTTGTGATTTGATTATATTATCAAAGCGTATCCGATATAGGATATGTATGTATGTACGTATTATCCAGTTAATCCAGTTAAAAATATTTGTGATATATTTCTCGATAAGCATTTCTAAAAATATTTTTCAAATACATCATTACACTTGAAATAAACAAAACGGATATCTTAGTAGAAGAGTTTGTAGTAAATAGGGTCTTCAAATTTATATACACATATAAATCACATTTACCGAACATATCATGCTGAGACTATGTTGCTCTTTAAAATGAACAAAAACTTATATCACAATTCTATTATCATTACTGAATATTTTTGGGAATTCTTATTTTCGGCGTAAGTAAATCCAATTTGCTTATACATATAGTTCTAATTCTAACTTGAAATCAGATTTTCGAAAACTTAGCGAATCGTATTTTTTTAAACCTTATAATAGGTATAATGCATGAAATTTATATGCAACTATCTAGGAAAACCGTACATAATAATAGTTATTTCTACAAGAATAATTCATTCCACTTATCGAAAACAAATATAGATGCCTCTACAATATACATTACATTAGGTATTTAATCCGCAATAATACACCTATAGAAGTGAAAAAACACGTGCATTATTATATAGTATTTGAGTAAATTCGATGTCGTAATTCGTAGTAAAAATTTAAATTTGACAATACAATTATTAATGGGATTATTCGTAACTTTTGATTGATAAACAACGATGTATAATTTTGTGATTGATTATTCCACGTTTATTTGCTCCACGGGTGTTCCGAGCGTTATTTGAGACACCCCGTATGTTGTTAAAGAGTATAAAACACCTGATTATTTGTCAATGTCAATAGCTAATAGGATTTAGTGATAAAATTATGCCTAATGAAAACTGTTGAATATTGTGTAGCTAATTTTTTTTTCGAGTATTCGTTCGCCTGACATTCCAAATGCGATGAAAGACGGGTCAATTTTGTTATTCTATTTATAATGTTTTGTACGAATATTCGGGCCTCTGTGAGTCGTTAAATAGTTAATATTCTTTTCTGTGTGCATTTTATACATATTAAAATAACGCTCAAACGTTATATTAAGGGGTTTTTATCGAAAAATTGCATTTTTTTGGTATCAGTATTTCCAAGTTACTCGTCACATGATGTATAAGTAGAATTCCTCTATAGAAGCTTTCCTGTTTTGTTGAAATTATATTTACGCACATTAAGTTTAAATTTTTCGATAAAAATTCGTTTTGAAACCGTTAAGTATGCAAACGATAGGCTTTTATAACAATGTAAAATGAACAAAGTTAAACTTTTGTAGATGATATAGGATTAATAACAACTTTTTCGTATAATTTATTGTTGGCACAAATATGATTGTTGATTTTTTTACCGTTTACGCATTATAATGATACTTATTATATTTATATGATATATTGTTAAGGTGTGTGACGAAAATTCGTAAATTATATCAATTTATATTTATAATGGTTAATGAAATTGTATTAATAATAAATAAAAGTCGATGTGTGTAGTTCATTAGGCTTAATGGATGTTGCCTGTACGAAATAAAAATTATTAAATTATTCAAATTACTTCGAGTTATCAAAAATCGACTTTAAGGTGGGTTTATGAATATTTGCAATGATAAATCCACCCTTAACCACACAACCATCATTCGGGTTATTCTATGACAACCATATGACATTTTCAACCTGACACATCTCATAATTTTGTTCACACCACATTTACATTTACATTAAATTTTAGTAATTAATCATTTAGTTAAATCCACCAAATTCAAGCCCATTACCCATTAATATGTCGAGATGCATTTGTAAAAGGTAAGCCCTACACAGCCCGTATTTAAATCGATTTCTAAGCGACCAAAAACCATGTTAAAGAGCCCTATCGTACACTCAAAATCCGAACCTAGAATGCCTGAACGAAGACAACCTGCACCACATATCATTGAACACCAAAATGGACTTGCCAGGCATGTTCGGCAACGTTAAAGTGAGTCGCTTACGCGAGCTTATACAGCCAACTTTTATACCTTTAAACAGTTCGTATGTACAGGAGGCACCGACAGCAGAATGCGCGGTTTCGCCGAATACATTAAGCAATTAATAGGCGAAAGATTTCCAGTCGGCGTGGAGTTATCGAACATCAGCGCCCCAGCTAACCGGTACAGCATGTACAAAGTGGGGCCGGTGCTTTGCGTTAGCGTAAGTATATAATTTACCATCCTGGATAAATTATCCGGCGAATATTTCCAGCACGGCATGGGCAACCCCTCGATGGGCATCCTCACCAACGAGCTCATCAAGCTGATGCACTACGCCAAGTGCAGGGACCCCGTGTTCTTCAGGATAGGAACCTGCGGGAGCATAGGGCACGACGGCGGCACCGTCATTATTTCCGATGATTGTTGCGATGGGTGCCTCAGGAGATTCTACTCGATAGTAAGAGGCTTAAAGACGTTGTTTTATCCGGTAAAATGATTTTCGTTTGTTAGCCCGTCTTGGGGAAAATGCTAGATCGACCGGCCCAACTCGACAAGCAGCTGATCATAGATTTGAAAAACGTTGTGGATAAAAACGATAATTTTAAAGTGATCTCCGGTACTACGATGTGCGCTGAGGATTTTTACGAAGGTTTGCGACTTTTAATTCCTCGTTTGCGGATTAATATGTTGTATTGTTATTAGGCCAGGCGCGTATGGACGGGCCGTTTTGTAAATTCTCCGACGAGGATAAGCTCCAATTTTTTAACAGATTGTGCGGGCAAGGGATCGTCAATATAGAAATGGAATCCACATCGTTTGCGGCTTTAACGAAACAAGCGGGTATCAAGGCGTGTGTTGTTTGCGTGGCGCTGGTTAATAGACTGAAGGGAGATTCCGTACGAGCATATTATTTATCTCTTTATTTGAACAGATTTTTTTTCGAAACGGTATTTTTAGATTGCCGTGCCGAAAAATGTTATGGACGAATGGCAGAAAAGACCTCAAATTCTCGTAGGCAGGTACATAAAGAAGTGCTTGGACGCCTGCTGTTGTATATAATTTATTTTAATGCTTTTTTACTCTAAATACATCTTGTTCGCATCATCGTAATTTTGATGTGTATTTTTGTAATGGTGGTTGCATAATTTTAAGCGACAAAAAATCTTATTCTATCGTCTTCTATTTTCCTAATATATTATTAAGTATAGTGTAATACAGTTCATATAGAATACAGCATCATTAATTTTACAAGCAATACAATTCATTGTGCTGGCCGAAATTTATTGATTTTGATTTACAAATTAACTAGTTTAAAGTACAGTAAAAGGCAATGAACAAAAATGTAAATGTCAATTACGCCCTCTAGCGAATAAAAAAGAAGTTAAATGGTGTCAAAATTGTTTCGGGGTGGTGTCATTTTTCTTGAAGAATGTGAGTTTTTTCACTATTAAATAGCTTTTTTCTCGAAAAATAAAGAGTTTACAATTGTTTGTTGCATCAGTTTACGTTTGCCCGATCTTTAAGGGCCAAGTTAGTGAATTTACCCAGCAAATTTCTCCTTTGATATGGACTACGTTTTATTCGATTTGACAGAAAATATGACTATATTCGATAGCATACACTGCTAATAATATGTCTCGTATTTGCACTCATTAATAAAGCCCAATCATTCATTTGTAGATTAGATACTACTGGTACATTGTTGCATTTGGTGCAAATGCGGCGTAATCCTTTTTTTGACATAAATTAGCAGTGGCGTTGCACAAGGTTGCACGAAGGTTTACTAAATGGGTATTATTTTTTTCAGATTTTTTTAATCAAGTTAAAATCAATTTACGCAATCGGAACTAATTGAAATGTGATAAATGACTGGACAACAACACATTAATCTAGAAACTCTAAAAAATTGTAGTGTAATAGGCTTCTCAAATTGGTGCTGATAGATATTATAATAGTATAGTTAGTTATATTCCATTGCATCCAACTTCAGACTGGAAGTAGAGGAACTGAAGATCTACGAAAGTATCCTAAAGCATGCAGAAGTACAAAGGAAAAGCAATGGAAGCCGAAACCGCATCATAAGAGGATCCCACTGTTTAGCGTGCCATCCGGAAAAAATTAAAAACACGGGACAGTCTTGCCCAAAACTCGATACAGGAGCGTAAGTATCATAACCGAAACATACTTAACACATTTTCCAGGCGGTTGGAAATTTTCGATGTTAATTCATAAACCTTGAATGTTCGTTGTTCTGGAATTATTTTGTTGTTTTGTTGTAGCTTCCGTTAAATATTGATGCAATTCTGGTCGCTTATTCATCCACATTTTTCAAGCAAAAAATTGCATTCCAACAAAAAAGTGGCTACATGCCAGTTTTACATTAATATTAAATTCATATAATTAACGACTTGTTTTATTTTAATTAGCGATAGGAATTTATATATTCGTTTAATTATAAACATTAGGTTTTTTTTTGGAAGTTGTAATCTAGAGTTTCCTTTTTGTTCGGTAGAAATATCGTTTATAATCATCTTTGATTAATTCGCTACTATTAATATAAATAAACGAAATGCACGAATCGAATTTAGAAAGATTATGATATGGCGTGCACATTGGTTACCAGTGTTTGCATGTTTTTCAGCAATAAAATTTAGTCCCGTAACCCAGTGTCACGAACCGGCCTATCCTAAAAACGTTTAAAAATACATTCCGATTTAGCTCGAAACCGTTTCTTATCTACCGACTGTTCCACACGTAGTTTCTCTTCTAGTTTGAAAGCATGTGCCTGTGGTCTTTTCCAGATTCAATAGTCCAACGATTCCACGCAAGGGCAGCGAGTCGAGCACGAGCAGCAAGGGCGTCAGCCGCGCCGGCGCCATCCATGCCTGGACCAAGTCCCTGACGAGGCACTCGTCGAAATCGTCGCAGGGCGGCCACAAGCGCGCCTCCTCCACCGCCTCGTCGGCCTCCTGCGAATTGGGGGAGGAGGCCGCCCAGGCGCTGGCCGCTCCCGCGCCGGGTTCCTCCTCCCCGACGGTCACTTGCTCGCAACCGACGCCCGTACCGAAAAAGAATGCCGTAAGTTGGTTCCGGGCGAGCGCGTGCGGGTGATTTTTATTTTTATTTTTTTTTGGTTTTTTTTTTTGATCGATTGCGCCTCGTACTTACGTCGATTTGAGCGCGGCGTCGCGACTATTAGGCGATTTGATGGGAGGATGTTGGAGGTTGTTTTTTTTTTCGATTAATTCGGCGCGACCGCGGCGGAAAATTTAGTCCTCCTGGAGCACCGTTGCTTAACGTATTTAACTTGATTCGTTTAGTTTAATGTTAGATAAATTAGGTATATACGTTGTGGGTATATAAATATATTTGACCTTACTTCAAATGGCAAGTGTCTATTTGTTAAGTTGGAGCAAAAAAGTGCTATTTTTGATGATTACAGAAAAAATGGATTAGTAAGTAGATCATTTTCGTTTCATTAACTAAATTTCGGCGTCTGGTAAACTTATTTTGCTCGATTGTAAATTTAAGTGGGTATTGAGAGAGATTTACGTTATTATTTAAATTACGTCGTTTTTTTTGGAATTTAAAGAGCGCGTTTAATATCAATTTCGTCGAAAATTTAACGCCCATCGGCGCAATTAAAGAATTACGTTCACTTTATCTTGTAATTTCGCATTTAATTGCCCGGCCAACAATAATGTTTAAAAATCTACATTTAGATTAAATTGTTTATAAAATTATTTCTACGATGATTCATGCCGTAAACAAATAATTTAATGCCTATTTAGCGTTGGGCTATCGCAATGAGGACATAAAGAAAAAAAAACGGGATTAAACCAATTATCTAGTTGTAAATTTTTTTGTGAATAAAATATTGCAGTTTAGTGAAAAATCGGACGTGAGTCACATATTATTCTGTTTTTGTAGCACTTACAATTCTAATCATTCCGTTTAAAAGTGATTTATTATAACAGATTACGCGTAATTCGATTGATAAGAGAGCAAATTCATGTGCATGGTTTATTTAAATGTAACTGTTTACTATGGGGTATTTTTAGTTTTCGCCAAGGATAATACGAATATTATTAATCGATGTCCTCTAAAAACACACCAATAGTTACGTTTGTAAATAAACAAAAAAGATATACCTCCCTACATTGCATGTAAGTAATAAAATTAATCTCGCCAAGTTAGCGAAATTAGCGTTATCTCCGCGCTTTATTATTGTTAAAACAATTCGCGCGAGGTTGACAAACGCACCTATCTCGTTATCAGCGAGTGCGCGTTTCTCTCGAAATAACGAAATTTCTCCGATTTCTTGCAGGAATCCCCGGCCCTTCCGCCGATCAAAGGCAGCGTCCCGACGCCCGACGACCGTCCGTGCTCCGTTCTCGACAAAATCGACGGCTTGGAGTTCATCGATACGATCCCTTCGGACCTGAGCAATCGCAACTACAAGGGCTACCGGACGATCGAGGCCGAACAGGAGCGAGGCGGCAAAGCGAAGGCGACGCCGACGGGCGAAGATGATCCCGTCAGATCGCTACCCTCCAAGCAGCAGAAATCGAAGGTCCGATCCAAACCGAACGGCAATAAGAAGAAGACCAAGAAGGACAAAGTGAAGCCGATCTTGGGCATGGAGCACGCGAGCGACGGCTCGAAAAAGTCCTCGGAGGTTACTCGCAGAGAAAAGACACCGCCTAAAGAAAATATTATCACCGTTTGTACTCAAACTACTGATACCGAAACGACGAAAATAGTCACCACGACAACGAGCTTGAATAGGTACCGTTTCTTACTCTTAAAACATTCATTTTTTTCCGAAAAAGAATACGTTATTTTTGTGATTTGGAAACCTGGAGCTAAATACGGTGATACAATTGTTTCTTAATATACAGGGTGTTAATTAAATGAGTGCTGATACTTCAGAATGTGTATATTTAGGTGATTTTAAGAAGAAAAGTTTATATCAATATATGTCCTTAGTTTTCGGGCTACAGATTTAGAGAAAAAACTTTTCTATCCTAATTTTCTTATTACTCCAGATATTTTTATGACCCTGTAACCTTTTTAACACCCTGTATTAATTTTTTTCGAAAAAAAAAACGTAATTTTTGTAATTTGTAAACCTGGAGTTAGGTGTTATACAGTTAGGTGCAATTTGTGCGCAATATGGTCCATGGGGGCAACAAAGACAACTTCTATTAGTCTTATATAAACGATAAAGAAAGGATGAAGTTGTGGTATTGCAAATTTGTCACTTTAACCACTGTTATTTCAATAATCTTTCCTTGTTCGACTCTCGAATAAATGATCTTGTATTAATTTATGTATTTGTGGCTATAGGTATACGTTTATGAAGATAATGGATGAAGACAATAGAGAGAAAGAAGACAAGAAAAATAGGACGCACAGTTGCAGTAGCATCCCGTACGATAATCTAATCGAAAATTTGGCGCCGTTCAGGAAGCGCTTTTGCAACATGCAATTGTTCAGGGACAAAGAAGAAGAGGAATCGGGTAAATATGCGTAGATGCGGCAACGGCGCGCGATCTGTCAGAATTTCTCGTAATGATTTACGTGGAAAACGTCGAATTTTTTTAACTTGTCAACCAACAACATTGTTAACCCAAAAATCTACAAAACAGTATTTTTTACTGTCTTTTTTCCAAAATATACATATGAATTTTTTTCACAAAATTTTTATCGTGCGCCACGGGATTCATTGTCACAATGAATTAGTGTAAAATGGAAATAGAGTCGAGAAAGAAATACGGACCGTAAGAAAGAAGCAAACGTAAACGATTCATTTTACTAATATATAAAACGAATTTGAATTTATAAATAACCATGGACTGTTTTTATTTGTAATAATATAATTTTTAGATTTTTATCGTTGTCGTGAATAAAACAAGCGGTGAGTCGAAAAAAATAATTCATTAATCCTCTTGCATATGTATTATATACATTTATTTTTTTGTTTATAACGATTCGTTCAAGTTTTATTTATCAGCTTGGGGCACTCAAAACATTCAATAACGCGTCCTTATCGCTCTCGGCGCATTCGTAATTGAGTTATTGCCATTGTCGACTGTTTCAGACCACCATTTTTCTTATTAGAATTACTCCACAATAAATCGCACAGACATAAAGATATATATCGAACAATAATTTAACAAATATTAACGACTCGATACGTCCGAGGAAATATTTAATAATCGACGATTCCATTGTTGTCATTCTAATTATTTATTAGCGGTGGGTTGTTAGATTCGCGAGAGAGGAAAGAGTGGGTTATACACCGAACGGGAAGGTGTTGTCTAGGTCTTGCACATGCCCGCGTATATTATTTATTTCTCCGAACGGTATTACGAGACGTAAGTAATTCATTTGCTATTTTTTACGATATATAAATTATTACACTCATAATAAAATACCGGTCAAATGCAGTAAAGGTTAGCATTAATAATAAACCAACATTTATCTTAATTACCGCTTAATCTCGTCGACTTAAATCCCGGTAAATAATTAACTCGACTTATTTACATACGCGTACAGTAATAAAAAAAAATCTATCGATTACTCTTACGAAACCATCATCTATCTTAACGAGACTGTAAGCATTCTAATGACGCGCCCCGTTTCAGAAAAATCAGCGGATTCCCCGCGATTCGATATCGAACCGATCATCGAATCGATCCTCGACAGCATCCTTGACATGGCCGTCGAGATCATCGACAAGAATCAATTGCATTTGGAGAAATTGGGCGAATCGACGTCGGACCGTTCGATGAAAATGACGCGCCTGCTGCCCGAATACAAGACGCACGTGCGCTGCAACACCGCCGACACCGTCGCCCAATCGCTCTACGTGCCCAAGATCCTCCAGACGCCGTCGGCGGACAATCTCATCGACGCCCGGAACTTCGTCGAGGAGTACGAGGAGTACCACGAGTCCTGCTCCGAGATGCAGGATCCCGAATTGACCATCGGACAAGTACGTTTCCGAACCATCATTCGATCTTATATGTAGAAGAAATGTATCTACTGATTTTGGATCTTTCTCTTCACCTACACCAGTTACTAATACCACTTGAATCATGAGTATTGTTTCCGTCCTATCTCTCTTTTGCCATTTATTTCTCATTAATATTTCTTTAGTACTATCTTAAAATGTGTCCCAAGTAAATAATCTTCGTTTTTAGCTCGTGAGCTATCTATGGACTCTCTTCGTTTGCTCTTCTTAAGACTTCGATGAGCGGGAGAGTATACTGAGAGATAAATTGGTTTTTTTTTTTTTAGGTGGAAAACGAGATACAAATATCGATCGAGCGGGTGTACGCCAAAAAGAAGAAAGATAAATCGGTGAAGCACGGCGGCGTCACCAGTCTGATACCGATAGAGACCGATTCGAACGCCGAAGACGAGTCCGACGTCGTGCAGAATGATAAGCGACTGTTGGAGGTGGGCGCCAAATACAACATCCCGAAGAATCTGTTCCAGAACACCGAGATGACGGAGATAACGGAACAGACGATCGACGAGTTGCACAGGAACGTCGAGAACAGCGAGAACAATCCCGACATGGTCGAGCAGAGCGTCGTCGTCGTGAATCTATCGAAAGAGGGTAAAGTCGAAGACGACGACGACGTGTACAGACCGATAGCGGTCAGTCCCGATGGGAGATTTTTCAAATACGAGGAAGAGGTACGTGTTATATTATTAGATTATTTATTATAAATTGTGTTGAGGGAATAGTTTCGTTTATTTAGCACTATTTATTGGATTCATGAATCAATTTTTACGGTGACACCGATATTTATCTATTTTCTTTGGAAAACCTTCGTCTCGTCGAGATAAAGCATAACTTGAGCGTTGTGATTCAGGATTTATTTGTGTTTTTTTTTCACGCGCAGATCGGACGCGGTTCCTTCAAGACGGTGTACAGGGGATTGGACACGCAAACGGGCGTCGCGGTGGCTTGGTGCGAATTGCAGGAGAAGAAATTGAACAAGGCCGAACGGCAGAGGTTCAGAGAGGAGGCGGAGATGTTGAAGAAACTCCAACATCCGAATATCGTGCGGTTTTACAACTATTGGGAATCGCCCGGCACCAAGAAGAAGAACATCGTATTGGTGACGGAGTTGATGTTGAGCGGGACTCTAAAAGCGTAAGTATCGAGCGGATCGGCTTTTCTAATTTTTAACACCGCGGCTCTAAATAGATCTCGCTCCCTAAGGTTCTACAGCCACGAGTGTCGTCTCCTTTCTACTGATCTTTCTGTTGCATAATAATTTCTAGCAGTCGATGTTCGAGTTGACACGTTTCGACTACAATTTGTTGTTTTTGTGACTTTTTGTCTTTTTCTGGAGCGTTCTAAATGATCATAGACAGTTTTAAATGGTTCTAGACAGTTCTAAATGTTTCTGGAGCGTTCTAAATGGTTCTAGATAGTTTTAAATGTTTCTATAAGCGTTCTAAATGATTCTGGGGCGTTCAATATGATTATAGACAGTTGTAAATGATTCTGGAGCTTTCTAAATAAACGTAGACAGTTCTAAATGGTCCTGGAGCGTTCTAAATGATTCTAGTCAGTTCTAAATGAAGTCAATTCTAAATGATTCTAAAGCGTTCTACAAGATTCCCATCAATTTTTGCTTTTGTCTTGTTTTTCTTTTTCAAGTTTATTAGTAGTTTTTGTGTTTTTCGTCCGTTTTAGTTTTTCTCTTCACGATGTTCTTTTTCATATTTAAATTCTACAATTTGTGACTATTTAATTTATAAACATTGAAATTAACATAACCCTTAATCATAGACCTATTAACTAATAGGTCTATGCCCTTAATTATATGGGTCTGTCATATAAAGTATTTCAATTGAAACTCGGCAACGTTGCAACGGACCGGCTCGTGACGTCATTGTCATTTTAAAACGTACGAACTTTACATCATTTCTTCTGTTAAAATTGTTTTTTTAAATAATTATATAGTAGTAAACGAGGCTTTAGAATACTACCATTTAATAAAAATGAAGGGGAATTGACAATCACGCTAAATGAAAACAAAACGTAGCATCAAGCAAAGCGTTATCGTAATCAAAAGATATCCGCTTTCTAATTACAAGTAAATTCAACAGTTTAAACATTCTTCGAATAACGGTAGTAATTATTCGTTTTGCAGTTATTTAAGAAGATTCAAAAAGATCAACCCGAAGGTGCTGAAATCATGGTGCAGGCAAATACTGAAAGGTCTGGCCTTCCTGCATTCGCGATCGCCGCCGATCATCCACAGGGATCTGAAATGCGATAATATATTCATAACGGGCGGCACCGGTTCGGTGAAAATCGGCGATTTGGGTTTGGCGACGTTGAAGAACCGGAGTTTCGCCAAATCGGTGCGTACAACGTCTATATTTTTTACGTATTTGATTATTTCGAATATTCGAATTGTCGCGTTTGATGTAACAGGTGATCGGCACGCCCGAATTCATGGCCCCCGAAATGTACGAAGAGCACTACGACGAAGGCGTGGACGTTTACGCGTTCGGTATGTGCATGCTCGAAATGGCCACCAGCGAGTACCCTTATTCGGAATGCACCGGACCGGCGCAAATCTACAAAAAAGTCATATCGGTTAGTAAACTTGCAGTTGTGCACAAAAAACGCGTTTTTTACGTTGGTGTTTTTTTAGGGGATAAAACCGGCCAGCTTCGATAAGGTGCAGAATCCCGAGGTGAAAGACGTGATAGAGAATTGCATAAGACCGCGGAAGGAGGACAGACCGAAGGTGAAGGATCTGTTGAATCACGCGTTTTTCGAAGAGGACGTCGGCCTGAAGGTCGAAGTCGTTTCGCAGGACAATATGAAAATCGTGTTTCGATTGCGGGTCATCGATCCGAAGAAGAGGACGCACAAGCACAAGGAAAACGAAGCCATACAATTCGAATTCGACATGGAAACCGACAGATCCACCACGGTTGCCGAAGAAATGGTAAGCGCCCTGTACATTTCGTCAAGCGTTCGACGCCGTCAAAACGTTGACAGTGCCATTTTAGTTTTGTCAGAAATTAATATAAAATTTTTAAAATAAAGTTTCAAATGATTGCTGACAGTAGCGTATTAATCGAACTGCTTTGCTGTTTAAACAAACAGTTGTATTTGATTCTCGTTATATCTGTAAGTAGTACACCCGGAACGTTATTATAGGCTATTTAAATTTGTTGTAGGCGAAATCCGGAATCATATTCGAGGATGACGCTAAAACTGTAGCACAACTTTTAAAAACCCAAATCAACCAAATTACCAAGGAACGCGAGAAAAAATCGAAAGAAGAAGAAGCGCTAGCGCAACAGTTGCATTACCAACAATACATTCAACAGCAAGTTGAACAGCAAATATCGCAACAACAACAACAACAACAGCAGCAGCAGCAACAACAACAACAGCAGCAGCAACAGCAACAAGTGCAATCTAGCGTTTCGCAGCAACCTTCGCAATCGCAGCAATCGTCTCAATCTCAACCACAGTCACAAACGATCAGCGGATATCCTCAGACACAGCAAGCGCCTCAATATACACAACAAACTTCCTACCAACAACAAAATTATCAGCAAGAACCGCAGCTACAATATCAACAAGACCAGCAACAGCAACAACAATACCAACAGCAGCCCGCTCAGCATACCATCGAGCAACAAGAGAAAGCTATGCAAAGCCATTACATTCAGCAACAGACGCAGCCAGGGGACGGTTCGATCGTCTACAACCAACAGCATTCGGTTATACAGGATCAACAACAAGGCGCTTTCCAACAGAAGCAGATTGTTCAAGAACCCCCTCAAAATCTCTCAGCTATGCAGCGACAAACTTCTGTGGAGCCCGTCCAACAACAACCGATCGTTCTCAAGCAATCGGCTCCGACGCATTTTGTCCAACAAAATTTCATCGAAGGTCAACCTCAGCAAGCCGAATACATGCAGCCTCATCAAGACGTTATACCTCAAGCGGAAAATTTGCACGTACCGGCACAATCTCACGATCACCGATTGAATATGGCCGCTCATATTGAGAACAGCATTCAAGATTTCCAACAATCGAATTTCGAGCAACAACCGACCTACGCGCAAGTGGTGCAACAGAATTTCCAACAACCGCAACCACAAGCCTACCAGCAACAAACCAACGCGGCCATGCCGAACTATTCGCCTTACCAAACGCAGGACGGCCAGAATTACCAACAGCAGACCTTCCAACAGCAACAACAACAGCAGAATTACGTGCAAGGCCAGCAACAGGAGCAAGTGCTGCACATTATTCCGGGTAGCCAGCAATTCGTGCCGCAGCAGCAACAACAACAACAACAGCCGCAGCAACAGCAGAGTTATCCGCAACAGGCCCAACAACCGCCACCGCCGCAACCCACGTACCAACAACAATCGTCCCAACAACCGCCCCAAGCGGCCTATCAACCCGCTCAACAGGCTCAGCAAGCGAATTTTATACCGTCCCAAGCGACGTTCCCGCAAAACTATACCCAACATCCGGCACAAGCTACCTATTCGCACCAACACCAGGTCAACTATCCGCCGCAACAGCAACAATTCCAACCCGAACAACCGCAAACCTACCAGCACCAGCAGTTCATTCAGCAGAACATCGATCCCAACCAGCAGCAAAACTACATGGATTCCAATCAGTACATGTCCAAACAAATCGAGGTGCAACAAGTGGAACAGATCCAGTACGTTCAACAACAACAACAACCGGTCACCCAGCCTGCTGATTTGAACGTCGTGGGAATTCCGCCTACTAATTTGGTGGAATTGCAACAGAAACTGGCCCAACAGCATTTGCAAGCGCCGCCCAAGGACCAGCACAGAGCTTCGACTGCATCCCTTCCGCCCATACCGACCTTCGAACAACAACAACAACAGCAAACCGATCAACGGAGATTGTCCACCGTGTCCCAGCCGGCCCTGGTACACGACTACATCCAGTATCAAGTCAACACCAACGCGAATACCACGCAGGTAAGCGTTACCTTTTAAAAATCGCGTACGTTTTTAAACATTTTTCGAATCCGTCCAGGTAATGCCGCACCCGGAAACCCAACAGCTGCGAAACGCGGACAATTCGAACGCCCTGAAGCCGTACCCGCCGCTGGAGACGATCCATTCGGGCGAGACGTTGAGCACCTATTCGCAGGAGGTGGGCCACACGCCCGTCATCACGGACAATTCGCCGGAACAAGTAAGTGCCGAGTCGGCCGCCTCGACCGTCGATGAGCCGGAGAGGCCGAGGAGGAAGCGCGGCTCGCTAAAATATCAATTGATTGTCGATAACGTCCAGACGGACGGCACGGTCGAGTGTCAACTGCTTTGCAAACAGAAAACCGTTAGTTTTAAGTTTAACAGGATGGACACGAAACCGTCCGATATCATTGATAAGTTGATCAGGCAGGAGGTGCTCGACGAGCCGCACAAGCAACTCAAGGAGCACCTGCAGGACATGATGGACAAGCTGAATGCCAACGAGCACGGTTCGGACGGTTGCAAAACCAAACCGTGGACTTATGTGCAAAAGGTAAATTGGTATTAAAAAAAAAAACACGTTGCAAATTGCAATCAGATTTTTTTCTCAATGGGAAATATGCTCGAGTAAACATCTTCTCATTGGGATTAAATCTATGTCTCCTAAACTAAATTTGCAATAAAACTCTTTGGTATTTTATAAGTACATTATTCATTTACCATGAAATCATTGATAGGGTTTCTCGAATAAATATCAAAGAGTTGTATTTTTATTAACGATTTCATTCTAAATAAGAAAAAAATATGCGATTATTAAAATCAACGGAATTATATTTGCACGCTGCAACAAAAAGGTTAGGCATGCTTCACTTACAAGGCACCCACACAAAAAAACGCATCGAAGGCATAAATCGGTAAGTATGCGATTAATTATTTTTTTTATTCTACAAATCTAAACAACCAATCGATCTGTTTGCAAAGTTATTATTTTATTTCGTTTATTTATTTTTCGACAATTACGAGTATTAATTAAAAGCGGTAATAATAATATTTTTTTTCTGTTCGCACAGAGAGACGATTCGAGCGGGCAAACGTTCGTCAAATCGATGTACGTGGACCCGGCGCCGGCGCCCGACGACATGCAAGCCGTGAAAACCTCCCTGACGGAGAACTTCTACCAGAACCTCCACTATCGCGAGAGCCTCAACTCGAGCGGCACCGTCTCGCGCAAGACCAGCACCGCGTCCGAGTACACGCCCGAGCACACTTACATCATCAACAAACAGCCGGCGCACGTCGATCCGACCGCCGTCGGCTACGCGAACGAGAACGCGGCGCCGGCGCCGATGCAAATGCCCGTCGAAATGATCCCGCAGGGCGAGTACAACGCCATGCAGGCGGGCAGCCCGCCGAAGGGCTCGCTGTGCGACAACAGCGATCACATCGACGCCTTCAAGGCCGAGTTGAACAGCAGCTTGTTGCAAAAGGACGCCGCGAAATTCACGCCCGTGCCCGGCCAAAAGGTCAATCTCAAAGTGTTCGTCATGTCGGTGGATCAGAGCGCCGACGCCGCCGCCGCCAAGGAGTGTTGTTTGCCCAAAGCGGAGGCGCCCAAAGAGACGGTCGTCGACGTTAAATTGACGACGGACGATGGCGGTAAAATCGACGCGTCGAACGAAGGCGATGCGGGTGGCGAGAAATTGCAAGAGGCCGGTTTGAGGGTGCCGCAAAGGAAGATATCTCGGTTTTTGGTGAGTCCCGTTTTGTCGGGGCAATTGAACCTTCCTAAAGATAAGGATTTCGGTTCCGACGTTACCTCGCCCGCCAACGTTCCCGATAACGAATCTCACGTGGCGGAAAATTGCGACGAGCCGGCGATGTACCAACCGCACGAGGTCAAAACGAACATTCCCGGTAACGTGATCGCTTCGTCGGAACCGCTGAGGAAGAACTCGGCCCCGTTGGAAAACACGCGAGGCGAGTTGGAAAAACCCGAACCGAAGATGAGCGTTTGTTCTCTAAAAGAAGAAAGCACTTGCGGCAAAGAGGAACCCGTACAGATCGGACCCGAGCACATCAACACGTTGGAACAGCTGAAAATCAGTTTGGACAATTTGAAACACAGCAGTCACCACAAGAAGGAATCTTCGGAATCCGATTCGAAGAAAGCCTCGTCGAATGTCGACGTTAGCGTAAAACAGCAAGCGAACAGCGTCCCGACGCAGGCGGCGGCCGGAGCGGCGCCGACGGTGCCGCCTCCGACCTTCGTACCCAATCAATCGCAAGCGACCATACAGCAACAGCCCGCCCAGCAGAATTTCAATCAGAACGTCGTGGTGACGTCGCCGCCGGCGCAAATCCAAAAACCTTTGCCGCAAATTCAACCGCAACAGGTACCCGTACCAGCTCAAAGTCACCCGCCCGTTCAGCAGACCGCCGCCCAACCGCCGTTGCAGCAACAGTACAACCCGCCCCAGCAGCAACAACACCAACAGCAACAACAAATACCTGCGAATATGACGCCGCAAGTGCAGCAACCGCAGTCGTTGGCGTCTCAAGTGCAACAGCAACAGCCCTTGGCTCAGCAGGTGCAGCAAATGCAACAAGTGCCGCAGCAGGCGTTGCCGCCGCAAACGCAACAGTCTTTGCCCGTTCAATCTCTACCGACGCACTCGCAACCGCAATCGTTACCCTCTCAATCGTTGCCCATGCAATCGATACCGGCGCACTCGCAACAACCACAATCTTTACCGCCTCAACAACCGCCGCAATCGTACACCCAACAGGCTCACATGCAGCCGCAACAGCTGTTGCCGGCCCAGTTACCGCCGCAACAGACCCATCTGCCTGCGCAGCATCAACCACAACAGCAGCAGCAGCAACCGCATCAACAGACTTCGTTGCCGACGCAGGTGTCGCATCCGCAAGCGCCGATGCCGCACCAGCAGCCCCACATGCCGCAAAACTCTCAATTGATGCAACAGCATCAGCAACAGCAACAAATGACGCACCAACAGCCGCCCGCCGTGATTCCTCAGAGCCAAACGGCGCCGATACCGCAGCAGTATATGCCGACGATGAGCGGCAATCAGCCGCAATCGACGATCGTCGCCACCAGCATGGCGCAGCCGAATTTCCCGCACGCTTCATCGGTGCCGCAACAGTACATGAGCAATCCGATGAACATATCCAGCGCTTCCCTATCGCAACAGCAACAAACCCAGCTGGTGATGAGCGGCTCGTTGCCGAACCAGCCGGTTTCCGTGCCGTTGCCGTCGCAATCGCAATCGTTGTCCGCCAGCGTGCCGCAACACGAAACCGCCAAAACCGTAAGAACATTATCTCGTTGAGGCCGCCATTTACGAGCAATCCAAACCTTCCATTTGGACACCGTCCAATGGAATGATTCCAATCGGTGCGCTCGTGAATGGCGCCCTTTAGAACGCGTTTGTAATTATATTCTGATGTGCCGTTTTTTTTTTAGTATTCGCAAACGCAAATAGCGAGCAGCGGCAACGCCGCCATGCCGCTGACGACGAGCCAACAACAGGCCGTGTTGGCCCCGGAAAGGTCTTACCAACAGCCGGTGCAATCGCAAGTTCTTCCGCCTTCGTCTCAACCGCAGCAGCAGCAGCAAATAGTCACTTCTCAACCGGTCGTGATGCAAACCATGTACCCGCCACCGATGTACACCGGCCATCAGATGCCGTCTTCGATGTCCGTGCAGAACTTTTCGGCGCCGCCGCCGCCGCCATCGACGACATCGGCCGGTTTCCAACATTCGATGTCTATCGATGATACTCTGCAAAACTACGTTCCCGTTGTTAAACTGCCGGATAACCTCAATCAGATACTGGAAAAGTGCGTATACCATTGGCCTGTATTCAGCGCATCATTTTGACTTTAAACAAGACTTTAGAGGGTCGCTTTAACCTAAACAAAGTCCATAGTTACTTCATAATTACAACGTACAACTGTCGACTCAAGGACTTTTGAAATGAGGCGCTGAATATGGGTGTTTCAAATTTCGAATCAAATCTCTTTCTTTGATTAACGATTATTATTAACGAATGAGGCTTGATTTGTTTTGTTCTCGGTCATACTCGGTCTGGTAATATAGGTAGAAAAGGTGTCCCGTTATTCGAAGAGAAAGCGCATAGTTCCCAAAACGGTGCCCATGTGAACTATCAAAAACAACTTCATTTAACGGGACACTTTCACTGATACAAAATACGTCAAGTTTCCAGACCTCATAAATATAAGACCGTGGTTTTGTTGAGCGTTGAAGTATTGTCAATTTCTCAGGATATACTGTAATGATTGCTTTTTTTTTTAGTTCGAATAACAAAGGTGGTCAAGGCACGTTGCCGCAAAGCGACGTTAAATACGATGCCCAGCTGCAAACGTTGCAACACAAATTATCCGCCATACCTTCGGCTAGGACTTCGCAAACGAATACTGTGAGTACCTCGTTGGGAGTACCGTGTTGGATTTTGTGTTGTGTGCTCTCAAGCATGTCGCATATTTGTCTCAACTAAATTAGAGCGTTGTTGAAAATTTTGGTTTTTTTATATAATAACGCTTTACTTCTTTTTTATGTTTTTAGTTTTTACGAAGGGTTTTTTTGCTGATTAATAGAAGGGGATTTTTAGTAATTACTGGCTGTTAATCGTATAAATTTAATTTTTTTTATAATCAGATTGAAAAGGGTTTGCTTGTTTTTTATTTTTCAGGCGCCATCTAGTCCTCAACTGATAATCGCTTCGCCTGATTTTCCGCAACCAGAAAACGTGCCTATTAATGCAATTCCTAATTTAAGCAAAGTAACTAACTTATTTTTTCCGTTCTAATTCACTTATTTATAACTTTTAATCTGGTAATTCATCCATCGATCGATTTCACTGTTTTCTCGAAGCATGAAAGTTATTCTTTTAACATTAAAATCGTACGCTTAACCGACTTCATTTACCATCGTTTGCGTTTGTTGCCATTTTTTGTGCGAATTGAGCAGGAACATCTATTGCCAGATTGAAATGTTATGTGATAGATTTAAACTGGAATTACCGATTAAGAAAAAAAAAACCAAACCGAAATGTTTTAGCTGCAATTAGAGTCGATTAGCGGGCCGAGTAGCGGAACGACGACGTCGGACGTTCTGTCGCCCACCGTCGAAACGGAACACGTTCCGTTCGTCGCGGAAGATCCGCTCGTTGAGCTGAATAACAAGTTGAAACAGATCAATTGTAGATCGGACGGTTCGGAGAGAAGGGATAACGGTATCGATACGGCCGTCGATGCGGCCAAAAGGGACAATAACGTTATAGCTAACGTAACGCAAGAAGTAACAGTTAATGTCGATAACCAGGTTAGGGTCTCTATACTAAATTGATTAATGAACACGAACACATACACACACATACGAAAATATACACTTTCGTCACGTTTGATTTTCTACTATACTGTGCTTTAATAATCATTTTTTTTGCTTTATTATTTGGCTAACATTCGATTTTTTTACGTTGGAAATTTATTCGTGGCCGTTCGACTCTGGTTTTTAATGAGGTTTACCGCATTTTTTCAGCACCAAACCGACGTAACGCAACCTTCTAAAGAAAGGAGAATATCGCGTTTTCAGGTTAGCCTCGTGTCGGAGCAAGCGGATAAAAATTCAAACGATTCGGAGGTGGTTAAGAAAACCAGCGTCGCTTCCGACACGTCGGAACACAAAAGAGAAGCCGATTTCGCCACAGTTATTAATACCACATTCGATTCTTTAAAAACTACTTTAGTCAAATCGTTGCCTAGCGGAAGCGGTACGTATTTCCTCTTTATTTAAATAAAAATTATTTAGATGCAATGTGACGTAAGATTGGCAGAAACGTCTAAATATTCGATAAAAACAAGGCTACTAAACTAATCGAGATTGCTCAATTTCATATAAACCCTATTTGTTATCCAAAAATGTCTGCCGAAGTGTAAATCTAGTAGCTTTGGTCCGCATTCAACGCTTCATTTTAAATGACGCGTCTTTAACTTGACAGTTTTACATTGTTGTTATGGAGTAACTAAGGTCATTGTTTAAATTAACGGTTTTAAATTATTGTCATGGGGTAACTATGGACTTGACGTTTAAGGTTAAAGAGGGGTGCTGAATAAGGGCGCTGACTTTATACTACATTTTGCTGCATTTCTGACGTCATTGCATAGATTAATTGAGCAGTCTTTTGGTAGTTGGCCTTCTTGGATGAAATGCCAAAAAGTTAAAATTGACATTTTGAACTGTCAAATAATTTTTTTATTAAACAAAATGGCGTCTTTGTGTAGAAAGAAGTGTTTGAAAATTAATTCTTATTTGCAGCGGAAGAAGGACACCCGCAAGAAGAAGAAAAGATTTCCAATATAAAAGTAAGTAATTTAATTATGCGTTAGTTGTTTTAACTAATAAGTTGTGTATTTTTTTTATTATTAACGTCGTGTTTCTCCTTTGTGACTTAACAAATTTATGGAAGTACATACATTGTAGTTAGTCGTATACTGTAGACGGAGCTAGAATTAGTATTAATTAGTCGATTAATATCATCGACAGGGTTTTTTTTTGTTATCTTTTAATTTGAATTTTGGGTATTATTTTTCACTATCATAGTTTTTTTTTTAATTTTTGTATTTGTAGCCGCATGAAGTTGGTAACAACAACGACATTACGCACGCCCGTTACATTGGCACCACTCATCACAGTTACCACCTTAACAATATAAACACCCCACAATCACCAATAACATTATCAAAGAATCATGTCGGCGGTACGTTCAGAAAATCCCTCTCTTATATCGACCTAAAGAAGGAAATGGAGTGTCTGATGCCCATTAAAGAGAACTTAGAGCCCGACGATAATCCTAGAAGGATAACGGCCGGTCGCAGGCATTCCAAATCCTTCAGGCATTCCCCTAAGATTATTATCCACCCGCCGGAATGTACCAGCAATAATTTAACGAGTAGCATGCCCAATATCCACAGTACTTGCGCGAAGGAAATCAACGGTGTTATCAATAACGTTTACGACGCTAACGCGTCCTGTCCGGACTTGACCGACGAACGAATGTTCAACGCCAACTTGGAATTGGTCGCGGATTACGAGAATTTCGCGGAGAACGTGTCCGTGTGTAGCGAGGGCGATTCGAAATTGCGCGACAACTGTTTCGGCGAGTCCCGTTTCCACAAGAGCAATCCCCAATTCGTGGCGGAAACGACGAATTTCTTCGTGCGATTGAAACCGAAAGCTTCGAGCAAAAAGAAGGACGAAACGCCTAGCGATTACATCAAGCGCAGTTGGAAGGAAAAGCATTCGTCGTCGTTGTTGAGCCTATCGCGGCGCGAAGAGCCTTCGTTTGATAGTTATCATACGATACACAGCGGTATGAATGATTTCCCGTCGTTGGTGCAATCGCCCGACGAGCCGGTACCGTCGGCCTATTGTCGATGCTTTCACGGCAGCTTCAACGCGTTGGAAATCGATTATAATTATCCGTTGTCGGACCGTTTGTCGGCCAGAAGCGCCAATTCCCTGCCCTGTCCCGCCGATTACACTTACACCAACATTTACACGGATTTAGTAAATAAATGTTGTTGCGGAGGTGCAAACTGTAAGACGGTGGTGCCAATACACGAGTATTTGGAAACGTATTTCCCCAAGACGGTAAGATATTCTACAGAGATTCAAATCGGGTACATTAAAAACAATATCATTTTGTTATGTTATTTATTCGTAGTAGTCGATACCAAAGGTGATCATTCTAGTTGTGGGTTTTGTTGGGTTATTCGTCAAGATGTTTAAATTGGAGCGGAATGATTTCCTTTATGTGGCGATGCTTTGAAACGTTTTCTGAAAGATTGTTGAGAATTTTAAGTCAAACGTTTTTTTTTTAGTTTATTGGAAACTGTTTCTTGGCTATGAGACTACTGGCCTTTTAACTGGTAGTAGTTTAATATTTGCCGATAAAAATATTGTTTGATTAGATATAAGAGTGCCGGAAATGCTTACTAATATCTAATAAATTACAAGTCATTTTTTTAACCAACCTCGCTTGGCGGTTGCTACATATTGTCTTGTTAGATTAAGAACTAATGGAATTGCGCTTATTATTGAATGGAGAATTGGTCGTATGTCGTGGTTGTGCTTCGCAATATTCGAGATTAATATTTTTTGAAACTATCGTACACGAAGAACACATTGTATTTTATTATTACACTACATTACAAAACTGTTATTTTGTCCGATCAGTGTCTTTTATATCGAAATGGTACATACTCGTTCTTTATTTCCTCAATGTCACTTATTGTTTCGTTACCGTTTAAACGTAAGTAGCTTTTTTCCTCATTATATCAATCCAACATTTTATTTAAACCATTACATACATATTTATTTCTCACGCTGATAGATAGCCTATCGAATCGTGTAAATGAAGGAATTGTAATATGATCTTGTCTTACAATCATGCTATATCAAAAACCATAAAAATGGTCGATGTGTTTGTACCTTTTTGATTGCAATTATTTTTTGTATGTAGGAGGAAACGTTCGAGGAGATGCTGAACAGACAAAAGGCTGAATTGAACGCTTTAATGGAAGCTCATAGAAAGCAACAGTTAGAATACATGGGTAAATATAAAAGGCAGAAAGACAGAGAAAATAGATGAGTTTTATTTTCTTTTGTTTTTGTTACAGAGTTTCATCGAAAACTAACTGAAGGTATATTTTTTGTTGGTTTACGTTTTTTTTTTTCAATATTGATTTTACACATTTTTAATTTTGATGTTGCAAGTATTTAAAAAATTTAATAGTCAAATTTTATCTATACACATTTTTGTCACTACTTGCAAATATTTTGAATTTTATTTTTTATTTACGTTCACAAATTAATTGGAAAGTTTTTAGCACAAATAATAATTCGTAATTCTTTTAATTTCAGAGAGTAAAAAAACATGAAGATCAATTGCAAAAGTGAGAATGTAAGGCTGTATAAAAATAATTATTGTTTATATATTGTATTTATAATTAAAAATACTAGATATTCATTAAAATGATTGCTGATAATTTATTTTTAATATCGTGTTATTCCTAGTTTTTTTTTTGTTTTATTTATTTTAGTAATTGATATAGTAAAATCTATACGTAAACGAATTTTATTTTCCTACCAATTTACAAAATAAACGGTTTTTTTTTCATTGAAAACAGTTTTTGTTTAACTTTGCATACAATGTTATTAACAAATAAACTTAAATTTACAATAAACCTTATTCTAATTTTTTCCTTTTAGTTTTGCGAATTTTTTGTGTTCCATTTTGGTGTACTTTAGGCGAGGAATCCCCTTCTAACGTTTCAGTCGAATCTGCGTCCTCGTGTTTCCTTTTCCTAGCTTCATCTTCTACTTCCATTTCTACACCGTTCGCCGAAGAAAAATCTAAATTTCTAAAACCTTCAGACAAACTCTGCAATCTCAGTTCCTTAGTTTCTTTCTTTAATTTCAGTTTTTCCTTGTTTCTCTTCTTTTTTACTTTCGTATCGTCCTTCTCGTTGGATTTTTCCTCGCTAGTTTGCTTGAAAACGTTCAACGTGGATTTCATTTTAACCACGTTAGAGACTTGCAGCCTGTCGCATAATCTGTTAAAGGCCAATTTAGCGTCCTTCGAAAGCGACACGGAACTTCGATACTCTCTAACGACATCCGCTACTTCGGTCCATTTCAAATCGACAATCGTACACACTTTCATCGAGGTAAGTAATTTGAACAAATGGCATGTGAATTTTTCCGACGCGTTTTTAACTGTATTATCACAGAAGTTTTTAAACAACGCCACGATATTATCGGAAAACTCCGAATGGATTCCCTCCAACGCTCCTTTGATTTCCTCCGGCTTCGAATTGATGTATCGGTGATTCGAGTAGAATATCGTGGCCAATTCGGCCGCCTGCGACTTCCGAAACACCTTAACGTTATCGTCGAATATGCATTTCAAAATCGACGGCATCAAGCCGAGATTGCCGTCCCACGAGAGCTGGACTACTTTCTTGAAGAACAAAATCGGAGTGACGCAGTCCCTTTTGCTGAAGTACCCGTCCAATTCGTCGACGACTACGCCCGTTATCGAGTTGCTCAAACGTTTCTTCACTTTTTTAGGCGTCGATTCGTTCGCTCGGAGCAAATCCGAGCACTTGATGACGAACACGCAGCAATCGGCGATTTGATTGGCCATGTCCTGCATGATCCAAGCGCTCTTCGTGCCTTTGTCCAACAGACTTTTTAGAAGATCGGTTAGAACGGCGTCGTCGACGCCATCGAAGTCTTTGAATTTCTTTAGATTCGATAAATGTTTCAAGCAGGATTTCAGTCTGTTGAGCAAAGGGGTTTGGTGTTCGTCTCTCAAACTGAACTCGACGGTTTTCAGTAAAGGCAACATTATCTCCAGTGCTAGAATCATGGAAGGTGTCGAGTTTAGATAAATTTCGATTAAATCCAAAACGCGAATTCTAAAATGAGTTAGGGTCATTTGTTCTTTACTTTGCTTCTTCGATTTGCCCAAATTAGGTCGGTATTGTTTGAAGGCTTCGCCTAACGCTTTGTCCAGCCGTTTTCCTTCAGTATCGCTTATTTCGTCGAGATCTACGCTTTCTTCATCGGATTTATAACCGTTTGTTACCAAAGCTTTGTGCAGGGCCATTCGAAGTCTATCATTTACGGTTTCGTTTTCAACATCATCTTCGTCTTCCTCGTCCTCTTCTTCTGCTTCGTCTTCTTCATTGGCATCGTCGCTTTCGTCTTCATCATCACTCTCATCGTCATCTTCGTTGTCATTAGACAGGGGGTTTTCGTTTTCCGGATCCAATACGGATACTAATTGCTGGATGGTATCGGGAGTCATGTGTTCGCACAAATGCGGAAACACGATGTTCACGACGGTTCGCAGGAGCGATGAATTTTGCGATAGAAAATTCAAAAATAAATCCGTCACTACTTCTATCCACGTTAGATCTTCGGTGATTTCTTCGTCGCCGACGGCTTCTAACGTGTCGCTGTCTTTTCTTTGTTTTCTCGTTTGTTTGTAGCACACGAAGAGCTCGTTTAGAGCGTCCATGGCTAGTTTAGGGTCGTTGAATAATAAAAGGCTTAAATACAGGAATAGAGTTAAAAATACGGTTTTTAAGCCGCCTTTTTTCTTCTTCTTTTCTATTTTCTTGACTGTTTCAATGGCTTTCTGCCAGATTGCGTAGTTGTCGCTCGAAATAGGAGTTCGCAGAATGCTTTCTAAATTGTCGGGATTTATTTTAGAATCCAGATGCAGAACGATCTGCAGCAGAATCGTGTGGAGGTCTTCTAATTTTGTTAGTTTCAAATCGAGTGCCCCAAAGAATGCTGGTTTCAAGGAAGCTGAAATAAACATAAATTAGATTTTACAAGAGATATAAACTTATGTTATATACCTGCTAGTTCAACTCCAATTTGAACATTGTTTTCTTTTAAAATACTCAATTCCATGATGAAAATGAGTTGTTCGACCTTCCACTGGTTATCATCTTTAGTGGCTTTGTGGTTTAGGAGTTTTATTAGTAAATGCGTGGCGTATAATTTATCGTTATTCGACCATAAATCTCTGTGTCCATATTGATTGTCTATTACCTCCTTTCCTTCAATCACATTTTTGTAAACTTTGGCCAATTTTTTCACCCCATCTACATTCAAATTCAACGTGATATTTTGAATCACTTTGGAATGCGTTATTTTTTCGATAATAAAAGTGCCAGGTGAAAAGAGCAGTTTTTTTAATATCGAGATTTTGGTGTCTGACTCGACATTGTTTTCTTTTGTTGCGTCGATCAGTGCGTCCAAGAATGTTTTAGAGATTTTCCCGTATTCGACATCGTCGGATTTCCCTTTCAACGATTTATAGTAGGTTAGAGTTTGGTGTATGAAATTTTTATTCAAGACGGTCGGTATTTGGGTTCGGTCTTGTAAATTTTCCAGAATTACAGTCAGCAGCTTGGTAACTAAAAATAGCTTGTTCCGGTTTGGTATATCGAGGCAAGCATCGATATGTTCCAGAAACTCCGCCAATTTTCCGGAATTTGCTGCTTCCGCACCGATTATGTCGTATACAGGATGTTGCAGAGTGGCCAAACGAGGAATTATCTAACAAAAAATTGAAATAAGTAGAGCTTTGATAATTTAAATAGGTTTAAAAATGTTTTACCGTTAAAATATCGCACAAATTTTTCAGATTTTTTTCTGCGAAAATATCGGGGTATTTGATAACATTTTTGGGTACATTTGGAACATTTTTCTTCAAGTAGCACATTAAATACAAGCTGTCTAATGTGTAATTTTCGAATGGCGTTAAAATTTCCTTTATTAGGGTACATAATTTATGAAGTTCTTTTTTATCGGCCTAAAAAATATAAATTAATCTATATACGTAAAAATAAGAAACCAATATTACCTTTTCGAGAGCCTGACCAATAAATTCATAGCCTAATAATGTGTGATAACTTCTCTCTTTGCAAGCCTTTAAAATATTGCTTATCAAGGTACTCTTATGGTTTACTCCAATATTTAACCAAACATTAGAACGAATAACTCCTCCCGAGACAAGTATTTGTCCTGTATATATATCGGCATTTTCCTATAAAAATGAACTTTCATAGCATCTTATTTTTTTCGGTATACGTTAATTAATACTCACTGATTTCGAGTTGCTACCAGCAGTGTGCAAATGTTTCTCTACGAGTTCAAAAATTTGTTCAATTTGAATTTCTTCAACGTTTAAAAGAGCCACTAAAATGGTAAAAAACCCCGACCTTGCGTTGTTCGTAGACGATCCTAAACCCCTGATTATCCTTCCTAGTATGTATTTCAATTCAATTTCCTAAAAATAAATTTATAAATAAAACGTGTTTTTAAAGCCGTTTATAACCTCACTTTTTCACTGCTTTCTTTTTCGCTTAAATACGTGAGTATGTTTATACTGCCTTTCAAGCGAAATTTATCGTGGATGTTTGTTAAATTTGCGAATTGATCCAAAATTGTGCGTTTAATCGTCTTATTGTCTTTATTTTCTTCATTTGCGGTCTCCATGGTCAGAGAAATTTTGAAGAAATAAAAATAGACGACTCAATGTCAATGTCGTATGTCATAGTTGGTATATCTTGCGCCAGGTTCGCCAACTGAAAAGCCAAGTAAATTATTCAAGCGGTTAAAAACTGGTTGAAATTAAATTTTTCGTTAAACTCGATAATAAAGGGTCCTAAAATTAAAATCGAATTAAAATGTATAAAAAAGTTTACATAAATTAAGTATAGAAATTGAAATTTGTTTCAGTTCGTTTCTAATTTGCTCTAGATCGGGTGACATTTAACAATCGTAATGGCCTAACGGAAAAAATTTACTGACTGTTTTGGTTTGAAATTAAAGTAAAAATCTTGATTGACATTTTAAATCGACTAAAATTTTTACCGAATTTCGTTTAAAAAGTTTCATTCGATCTATGCGGTTAATAAAAGTGGCGAAAAATTAATTTGTGCGAAAAATGACATGACTCCGTTGGCTGCCCTTTTGTGTCTAAAGACGCAGCGCGCATGTCTCTTTATATAAAACATGGCCGGTCGTAGCGGTTATGACGATAGAGACAACAGGTAAAAATTAAATTTATCACTAAAATAGTGAACAAATATCGAGTGTTAGAAAGTGTTTTCAACCAAGAATCGACCGCTGATGCTGGGAGTCAAAAAAAACTCGACGAAACTCAGTGATATTATTGGTTTTCACATTGAAGCGGCAATGCTGTATCTTGATGCACATGCTTAATTTTTTTAACTGGAGAATATCAAACGAATTTTCCGATGCTACTTCCTGCATAAGTATACATTTACGATTAAATCACTGGTAGTATTTCAGTTAGCGGATATATCGAATTGGTATTGGAGTAAAAACAAATGGATTTGTGATGTATAATTACATGTTTGTCACTGATGCAATGTAAAGATGTAAATTATTTAAACAACAGTCAACACCACATTAACAGAGGTTTCGATTATCTTTTAAACAACGATTTTCAAAAAGCAAATTAATCTTTTACACTAAATTACTTTTCAATTTAAACCCAGCAACAGAACGTACGAATTATTATTAGATTATAAGTAACGAAGAGTATACGATAAATTTTAGATTGCGTTTTGATCGTACTTGTAACAATTCGCTAGCCTCCGTATTATTAACCGTTGTATTTGTTCGCAGAGATTACGGTCGCAGCCGCGGCGGCGGAGGCGGCGGGGGCGGCAGGAAGCCCCTTCCCACCGAACCGCCGTTCACGGCCTACATAGGCAACCTTCCACCCGGAGTTATACAAGGTGATATCAATGTGGTATTCGAATCATTAAGTGTCAAGAACATAAGACTTGTCAAAGACAAAGAGACAGACAGGTTTAAGGGTTTCGGTTATGTGGAGTTTGAAACTCTCGATGATCTAGAACAAGCCATAGGTATGAACGGAGCGATCGAGATCGACAAGTACATAGTTAAAATTGACGTGGCCGATGGTAAGTGCGTACGATCATTAGATATAAAAATTATACTGAGATATCCGTTTGATTTGCAGGGAAACGAAACGACCGGGGCGGCGGTTTCGATAAGGGCGGTCGGGGTCGCGGCGGCCGAGGCGGCGGTAATCCCGGCGGATTCCGCGGAGGCGACAGGTTCGGCAGTGACGATTTCGAGGGTCGAGGTCCGCCGAGAGGGAACTTCAACGATAGGGACAGAGGCGGTCATAGAGGGAACTACGGAAACTTCGGCGGCGGTAAGGATTCGTATATCTATCTAATCTCGCGCACTAGCAGGACTTTGCCCTATACAGGGTGTTAATTAATGCAATGTACTTATTATAATGGGTGATTCTTGAGCTTATTTTGAGTCGAAAAGTTCATTTAAAGATATGTCCCCCGAAGCTCGGGTTTCGATGTTGTATTTTTATTTTGAGAATTTGAAAAACCGTTTGCGATAATGCATTATTGAATTCTAGGATGACAAATTATGGTTTAAATACGCATGTACAATATTTATCTACATAAAATGTCTTTTTATTATGAATGTAGGTAAGTAGATAATTTTTGGTGTGATGTTTTAGATGTAACAACTAGAGTTTTTAATTATTCTTTTAAATAATAAATTCTACGGCAAAAGCGCAAGAAACTTTTTTGTTTAAAATGAAATGGTTATCAATAATTTTTAAAGAAAATTTCTAAAAAACAGCGGCGTACTACTTTTTTAGATAAAATTGTACCAAGACCTACCCATATCTATGGCAATGGTTAAAATAAAAAAATATTTTCTGTTTAAAAATGCGGTTTTATACCATAATATCTTATCCTAGAATTCAATGTAATATCGCAAACGGTTTTTCAAATTTATGAAAAAAAAAACCTAAATAAAAATAAAACTTTACAACCCTTGTATATCGAAAACAGAGCTTTGGCTAACATACCTTTATATGAACTTTTCGACTCAAATCGTATTCAAAATATACGATCGTGTACTTCTAGAGATCGTACACGAGATGGTTTAAATGTATGAAAAAAGAGTTTTAATATGAGTCATATACAAGACTCGTATTAAGGCGGGCGAAGTTGTGGTAGTAAAACCGAGGACACCCTGTATAATGGTGAATTGTACGATACAAATTTATGATTTTTTTTTTTAGGTAATGACGAAGGACCCAGAGGTGGTGATTGGAACCACGGCAGGAACCGGGGGAGTAACAATGCCGGCGGTTTCGGGGTTGGCGGCGGACCCGGCGGTGGGCCTGGTGCTGGAGCCGGTCCTGGCGCCGGTAACCCCGGCGGAGGTAGACCTCGTCCGGACAGGAGAAGTTTTTCGGAAGATCTCCCGAATCCTGCGCCTGGTAAATGAGATACACCCGCTTATTATCATGAATACATGTAATTTATTGAATATTAATGTTTGCAGATACATCTGGTAGACCGAAATTGAAGCTATTGCCGAGAACTGTTAAGGATCCGGTTAATGCGATAGTAGAATCGGAAAGGAGCGTATCAATTTTTGGAGGCGGCAAACCTAGGGAAGAGAAACCTCCGACATCAGATGCTAAAAATGATTAACTTGTGTGTCTCTTGTTTTCTCTTTTTTAAGTTATTGTGAAGATAATAATTTTTACATTTATGCAGAATGTAACCCTAAATAAAAAAGGTATGTATGGGGATTTTTTTAAAATTGAACTAGATCTTCATATTTGATTGTTTTTAATTTTTTAATTAAGTCGATGAAAGATTAAAAAAAAGTAAAGAGATATTCTTCAAGTTGTTCTATTAATGGATTTTTATGGCTGCATTTTACCTGTGTTATTTAGGAAAACTGGTGTTTTCATTGTCTTTACAAACACCGCTATAGAAATTTTCGATTTCTTTTTTTTTTTTGTTTATTTTTCCAATTTTCTTAATCATGGTTCTCTCAAAGCATACTAGTGTAGTTAATGTATAATGCTGCAATCTGTTTAAATAACTGCCTTTTGATACTTTTCTTATTTTGTACTTATTTGTATTCCAGGTATTTCATATCGAAAAATTACTTCGATTTATTTACGCTTAGAGACAGGGTAGCTAAATATTGAAAAATCATGCTAATACATCGAAACGTTTTGAAAATTGATTTGGTTTTTTTGTTATTTTTAGATTGATACCATAAACAACAGAAAATAAAATAAATCTTTTTAGGGATTAGTTATCTCAATTACACTAGTTTGTATAAGAAATACTAATTTATTTTAAAACAAGCTTTAGGATAATGCAATTTGGTTTATTGTTATTATTTTGTAAATAATTCCTATCCGTCTTTTGCAATAAAGTAATCGTGAATTTTTCTTTTTTGAATGTACGCTTTTTTATGTATATACTGATTTAATAGCTAATTAGACTTTGTTACTTTTCTTACATTAAACATGAAAATAAAGCCAAAATAGGGATTGCAAACGTTTAATTTCAAAATTTCACTCAACGCTGCTCTAACGGCGTCTAAACTATCAATATTTCATTAAATTAAATTGATTGCGCGCACTAATGAAACTTACGTAATTAGTATTACGATTACGGGGAATTTTGGATTCAGACTTAAATTCTGATCTGTTTTTATTGACCCCACTATGGACAATGAATTAAATGAGCAAATTAGGTGTAATTTGATAAGTTTCTTTCAATATACATTTCTGGTATGTTTTGGAGAAGCTTCCAATTGAAGTCGACTTTTAAAATAATATGTACTATTGAACCGTGGCATTGTAAAAATAGAGAAGATACGATATGTGTATCTTAACTTTTGTATGTATATTTAATAAAGTTTTTACAATGCTATTTTGGACGTTGTTCGCACGTAAAGTGTGGACGTGCCGTCGATGTGTAATATATTTCAAAAATAAATAACGTAAAATTAAAATGACGTCTTATTTAAACATTATGATAATAGTAATAAAAATTTTTCGATGAAGCAAGAATTCGATTTTTCATAAAATTGAAACTGAATGTCCTATTAGTAAAAATTCTAAGAAAGGAAGATCGCAAAAAACAAGTGTTTTAGTGGCATGCTAAAATAAAGCCCATTTTCTACCGAGCGGGCGAGCGGTTTTCTTGTGAATGTCATTGGGTTTTTTTTCAATAAAATTTTTGTAAAAAATAAAGCCCGTTTTCCACCGAGCGGGCGAGCGGTTTTCATGTGAATGTCATTAGTTTTTTTTTTCAATAAAATTTTTGTGAAAAATAAAGCCCGTTTTCCACCGAGCGGTCGAGCGGTTTTCTTGTGAATGCCTTAGTTTTTTTTTTCAATAAAATTTTTGTAAAAAATAAAGCCCGTTTTCCACCGAGCGGTCGAGCGGTTTTCTTGTGAATGCATTAGTTTTTTTTTTCAATAAAATTTTTGTAAAAAATAAAGCCCGTTTTCCACCGAGCGGGGGAGCGGTTTTCATGTGAATGTCCTTAATTTTTTTTTTTCAATAAAATTTTTGTGAAAAATAAAGCCCGTTTTCCACCGAGCGGTCGAGCGGTTTTCTTGTGAATGCATTAGTTTTTTTTTCAATAAAATTTTTGTAAAAAATAAAGCCCGTTTTCCACCGAGCGGTTTTCTTGTGAATGCATTAGTTTTTTTTTCAATAAAATTTTTGTAAAAAATAAAGCCCGTTTTCCACCGAGCGGGCGAGCGGTTTTCATGTGAATGTCATTAGATTTTTTTTCAATAAAATTTTTGTGAAAAATAAAGCCCGTTTTCCACCGAGCGGGGGAGCGGTTTTAATGTGAATGTCATTAGTTTTTTTTTCAATAAAATTTTTGTGAAAAATAAAGCCCGTTTTCCACCGAGCGGTCGAGCGGTTTTCTTGTGAATGTCCTTAGTTTTTCAATGAAACAAAAATTGTTAAAATAAAGCCAATTTTCTAGGCCATTAGATTTTTTGCCTTAAATATTTGTTCAAATAAAGCCCATTTTCCACCGTGCGGCCGAACGGTTTTTTGTGAAGGCCTTTAGATATTTTGCGATAGAAATTTGTTGAAATAAAGCCAGTTTTTCAACGAGGGGATATTTGTGGATAATTAGAAAAGTGTGAAAATGAAATATCGTTTCAAGCTATCGTTTTATAATGAATAATCTTATATTTTACAATTTATATTACAATTTTACACTGACGTAATAGAGAAAGTAGGAAATTAAAGAAAAATTCGTTGGAAATAAATCATTGTGAAGATATTTTTCGGCAACATCAAAACTTTGCAATGTTTCGTCATAATTTAGAACAATTTTTTATTGATACAAAATATATAGGTATAAAATATAATGAAAATGCACCCATTAAAAGTTTCATTCCAAGAAGATTTGAAATATATGGGAAAAAATTGGCTATCACAGAAAGTAACAAACATTGCAAGATTTCTTTTGTTATATAATATAATAAGTATAATGCATGCATTTTAGAAATAAAACATGAAATATTAATAAACAATATAACAATTTAAAACCAATGTACGATGTGGGTAGAATGAAAAAAGCCATTGAAAAAAATATCAATAAAAATAAACTCGATGAAGACGGTAATTTAATTCAGAAAGTAGAAATAAACTTTGTGTTATAAATATGTTCAGTATGAACAAAGTACATTGGTTTTTGCTAAATATTAAAACAAATAAGGTATTTAATATACAAACGTGGAATGTGTCTGAAAAATTGTTAAAAAAACAAGTATCTATCTGCACATAATTTCTTGATACATATTTTATCAGTCAATTAATTTCTTATAGTAAATATATGTAGTTATATTATAAAAAAGAATTTTTGCGAATTGAGTGATGGTTGATTTTCATCGTAAACATTGGGCAAAGTAAACTACACTATTAGATATTACATTTTTTTCCAAATGAAATAAACGAGAATTTTTATCCATAAAAAAGAAACAAAGTGAATTAAGAAGAGGCTTATTTATAGGTTACATAGAGGGGCGATAAAAACCAATCAACACCCAATCTCCAGCTTATAGGTATAAATATAAGTATTAGGCGTATATCATTTGAGCAGTATAAAAAATTAAGTACAATTAGAGTTAAATATAATTCGATTGTACACCTGTATTTTTAATTATCAACACTTTATATCGGGACAATTAAAAGGATACTGGACGACGTTTTTTTTCTATATTGAATTTGTCCAGAAACACACCAATATGTATTTTCGATTCAAATATGTAGCAGTAATAGTAATAGTATCAGTAAATAAATCGGTTCTCGATAGAATAACTATAATTATACATATTGGCACTTTCTAAATAAAAACCTTTAAAACCAAATATCACACCAAATATGATTGTATTAGCGATAGAATTTTTGTCGTTTCAAAAAAATATGGAACTGAAATTGAACATACACGTAATTACTCTACAATATTGACTCGTAAATTTTTTTTCTCACAATTTTTATCGATTATAATAATTAAGACATCCATCGATGTTCCAGATTTTTCTGAAGTATAAAAATTTATTAATATCCCAATTGAAACAAACGATATATTAATATAGCTTTTTAAACACTGAATTATTGCTATCTTTCTTTTAGATTAGTGTATATTTAGAATTATTTAGACGAACAGTCTTTATATAGGATTTTTATTCTACGGACAATTTTACACTGAATCTATCTAATTTTCTTTTAAGTCAAACTCAAATCATTGTACTTTGTAATTATTCCCATTAAATTCTCAAATAACATTTAACTTTGATATGTGAAAAAATAATTCATTTTGATTATACTTTTGGCTACAAAAGAATTTCTCTTGGTGTTTTGTCCTTGCAGTTGTTCATTTAAAATATAAACGAGAATCGGATCACTTATAAATATGGCAATAATAAATAATACGTAATAACACGAAAAATATACAGTAAATTCATTATTAAAAAATATAACTAATCGTTCATGTATAATACAAAATTAAACCGGTTTCGGTGCAACGTGGAATTGCACTTTTTACACTACTAAATTTACCCAATTTTGCGCAGTCAATCAACGTAAATCATCACATTTAAAACGAACGTTTTTTTATCTATATAGTCGTAGTGTCATTTTGATTTATATTCGAATAAATAAAAGCCAAGCTGCCATGTATTACGCTCGTACTTGTAATAATATAAAAAAAAAACATCCCTCGATAGAGAGTCACTTTTTTGACACAATTTTACTAAATACTCCCGTAGAGTCCGTCAAACTGTTCCCCCCGCACTGCGACACCGTTCGCGAAACCTTTATCAAAAACCGTTCGAGTTCAAACCAGGAACCCCTCGTTGCCGTTGACCCGTATCTGCGCCCGCATGTTCTGCACGCTGTTCATGATCTTCTTCTGGTGCCCCACCAGCGTGATGCCCAGCTCCGTCAGCTCCTTCACCGTCAAATTGACGACGGCGTCCATCGAATTGATGCCGCCCGAATGGAAGTTCTCCAAGTACCTCGTCATCTTGATCGAATTCAACCACTCTTCGATGCAGGTGAAGTTCGTGAGATCCGGCGCGTCGGCCGATAGGGGGTTTGTCGACCTACAAACGTTACCGAACTTGCTTTAAATATTCCCAATTTGGTTTCGTTGTGTATATTAATTATTTATAAAAAACTTTGAATGTTTAATTATTGTGAATTGAAGTCGTTTAAAAAGGATCACAAACGGTTAAATGAACGCGTTCGGTAAAGTAAGGGTATAAAAGCGGGTGTGACTTAGTGTTAGTAACAAAAAAATATGTAGCTTAAAATTAAAGGCATGCGGAATAAGAGGCGTAAAAAGCAAACAAATACCTTTGCAAACAAACAAAAAAAACCACCCACAGCAAGCATATTTACACATTAACAAAATTGACCCAAGCGCCCCCAGTCTGTGCATTGTCCTTCTCGGCGTTATCGTTCGACGAATTGTCGGAACTGTTCGAATCGACTTTGAAGTTATCGGAGAATCGTTCGCTCGATTCGAGCGGATCGTCGTGCGTCAGCCGCTCGTCGACCATCATCCGTTCGTAGAACCGGTCCGGTCGCTCGCCGAAATCCTCGCCGTCGAACAGATCCGGTTTCTTGCCGAAGAAGTTCTCGGTCTGCTGATCGTACCCGTCGCCGTCGTCGCCGTCGAAGAACGCGCCGACGCGACCCTGCACGTTCGGATAGAAATTCTCCGCGGAGGCGGCGAACCGGCCGGCGGCGGTCGCGTGCTTGAGCATCTCGCGCTCGATCAGCGAGCATTCCAGTCGCTTGCGCAGCTCGAATTCCATCTGGTGGTGCTGCTGGCGCTGGGCGACGTCCTGCACCACGCCGTAATTCTGCAGCAAAATGACGTCGGGCAGGCCGTAGTAGCGGCGGGCGTCGGCGTCGGGCGCGCCGTCGACGCGCCTCTGTAGCGAACCGAAGTACGGGTTTCGGTGCATATGGGACAGTTCCGACAATTGCATGACTGGGGTTAGGTGAGAGGGTAGGTTTTGCGAAGGCCAGGGAAGATTATATGGTAGTAGCTGTCGTCTAAAATGATGGAAAACATGTACGTGTTAAAGTGGTGTGAAACAAAAAAAAAACAACAACATAAAATAACAGTGTAGTGCTCGACAAGTCGATAGATATTTTAAATGCTTTAAAAATAGCGGTATTTAAATTATCTAGCGAGTTTAAAACAGTGCTATATGTATAAAGCGACATCTATTATAAGCCAGCTCTAATCGATGTGAGGTGGTGAAATGTAAAGGGATATATTTATACAAGGTACAACTTACCGATTCTGAGCAATTTTTCTTAGGGTATCGGGTACTCGAATTAATTTATCTAAAGTTTTTACAATCGATTGGAAAGTGGGCCGGTGGGTCCGTTCCTTCTGCCAACAATCTAACATTAATTGGTAAATCGCTTCGGGACAATCCATCGGCGCGGGCAATCTGCCGGGGTAAATCATAAATCGCAAATTTAATATTTCTTTCGAGCGTAAATTCGCGATTGTTACTTACCTATAGCCCTTTTCGATGCTTTTTATCACGTCCTGATTCGACCAATTCCAATAGGGTCGTTCGCCGTACGACATCACCTCCCAACAAACGATGCCCATCGACCAAACGTCGCTGGCCGACGTGAATTTTCGGAATGCTATCGCTTCGGGAGCCGTCCATCGAACGGGTATTTTACCGCCCTGAGAACCAAAATTTAACCGCTCAATAAATGCGCAATAAAAGCCAAACAATTCTGATTAGTTTTGTATATCTGGATAGATGTAATTTGGGCTCAAAATGGATAGTAGATTTTAATCCTATAGGAGTATAGGTAAATTGAGCGCAGAGCCCACTGAAAATAACTAGAAATCTCTGTTCTGCTTTACTCTGAATCAACTCTACTCTTGAATCAACTCTACTACTAATCTACTCTATTTTATTGTGAATCTGTATTAATTCTACTCTGTACTAACTCTACTTTCAATCTACTCTACTCCTAAATTTACTCTACTCTGAATCAACTCCACTCTGCTCTGCATCAACTCTACTCTTCTCTGAATTAACTCTACTCTGCTCTGCATCAACTCTGATCTGCATCTACTCAATTCTGAATCAATTCTACTCCTGCATCAACTGTACTTTACTCTCTTCTACTCCTCTTTTCTATACCAAAAGTAGACATAAAAGTACATGGTAAAAGTTTTACCATGTAAATTTTTGTTCATTGCTCTGCTCCTTAAAACAACGCCAATCTTTAATTTATTTCATCTTTTAATTTATTTTATTCAGTATGCATATTTACCCTTGTAGTATAGGCTCCCTCTGTGGCACTTTCGATTTCTCTGCTCAATCCGAAATCGGCTATCTTACACACTAATTGAGAATTCACCAGCACGTTCCTGGCGGCCAAATCTCGATGTACGTAGTTCATTTCGCTGAGGTACTGCATGCCGGACGCGATGCCGCGCAACATGCCCGTCAATTGGATCACTTGGAATTTCCCGTCGTTCGCCTGCGAATTAAATAACGTCGTTTTTAATAATGCATAGGGTAGTATAGACGGCGATTCTTACCCTTAGGAAAGTGTCGAGCGAACCGTTCTCCATGTACTCCGTTATGATCATGACGGGATTGGATTTGGTGACGACGCCTTGGAGGAAGATCACGTTGGGATGTTCGAATTGGCCCATTATGGAGGCCTCGGTGAGGAAATCGTTGCGCGACTTGTCCAACGAGCCCGCCTTCAGGGTTTTTATGGCCACGTTGATGTCCACGCCGTTCATTTTTAGCACGCCCTTGCACACGTCTCCGAACTCTCCGCCGCCTATATCACAAGCGGAAAATTATCACGTGTTATCGAAGGGTAAAAACGGGAAATGGGTAATAAAATGCGGAGAAGTTTAGGTGTATGAGATGCGCGAAAAATAATTACCGATGATGGCTTCGATTGTGATGCAACTGGCGTCGATTTCTCTGGCGAATTCCCTCACGGCTTGATTGGGATCCTCGTAAGTGTGAGGATCGATGTAAGTTCTGGACGAGCCGCTTATTCCGGTAAATAGTGGCGTTGTCACTACGCAAATCAATCAAATATTAATTAACTACTTACATATGTTATTCGAACAAAAATTAGTAATGTAATGAATCACAACAAGCAAAAAAATATTACAAAAACAAAACGATTAAAATTGAAAATCAGCGCGAAATAAACGTATAGTTATTACATAAAAATAAATCGCTCGGGGATACACCGGCTAAATCAATGCAAAAATAATTACCGTTTGTGTGCGTGGCAACTATAGGGGGGTTGTCCAAGCTATGATGAACTAAAAATAAAAATAAAAAAAGCACAAATAAAGCGAAACGTAAAACGATAGACAAACGAAACGTGTAATATGCAAAACGTAAACACAAAAAGAAAATAATTAAATAAAATGTATTTCTAGACTTACTGTAAGTGACTACCAGTCCTGTAAGGATAGGGGGATGGCGTGAAAGTGCATTAAGGTGTTGTTAATTCGGTTATTACGTTTACCCAAGCGAATAGGAATAGACACAATATGTTACGATATTAGTTAAATATAGGGTGTTAATTAATTGAGTGCCAATACTTCAGGATGTGAATATTTGGGCGATTTTAAGGGGAAAAGTTTATATTAATATATGTCCTAAACATCTTAGTTTTCCAACTACAAAGTGATACAAGTTTTAGAAAAACGAATAACTTTTCCATCATAATTTTCTTATTAGGTACTCCAAATATTTTTATGAAAATTTGTACATACTTTTTAATTATTAAGGAGCATTTTTTGAAGCAAATGATTTGTTTAAATTTTCACCAGTGACGTCCGTACGGGGTTTGAACTGAATATGCTTGAAGAAAAAATGGTACTCCACTGCTTTTTTCAAAAACCAAAATTATTTTTAAAACCCTCATTTATTTTGGAGCATTTTCGGCCCAAAGACTTACTTTTGTACGACGCACCATTTACGCGTAAAAAAATAAAAACCAAAACAATTTTTCCCAAATTCATTGAGACTGTTTTTTGATATTTTATTGAAACTTGGTAGGCGCCCACCATGCATGGAAACACTTTTTTTGGAGACAGTAATTATTTTCTACCATTACCAGTGGCAAGTTTTTTTTCTAAAACTGTAACACCTTGTAGTTCGAAAAACTAAGAGATTTAGGACATATATTGATATAAACTTTTCTTCTTAAAATCATCCAAATATTTACATCGTGAAGTATCCTGCACTCAATTAATTAACATCCTGTATATCCGCTTGAGTTTGTATTTTATTTACAAAATAAGAACATTTCTCATACGTAACTATTCTCATTTTGTACACTTTTCGTGCCCACTATTGTAAAATTCTAAAGTTTCTCATCGATAAATCATCATATCATTTTCTAGCGTGCATAATCTACTCTAGAAAACCGATCTAATCGACATTTTCATTCGAAAATTCTCTATTACCTTCCATTATGTATTCGAAAACTTATAATTCATCGTATAAATTCCTTTAGTCGCATATCTAAACAAAACATGTACGCACCTTCTCCATTGCGATATTCCAAAGTATCGCAATCGCTCGGCTGTTTTTTATTACATTCATCGTTCGATCTCGTCCGCAGGAACACCACCGTTAAAACGATAACGGCCACCAGCAAAACCACCACAGCCACAATCCCACCGGCGACCAGGCGCAATTTCAAACCTTCCTCGTCTCCTATGTAAGCTGCGAACGACGATAAAATCGCGTTAAAAAAACCGCCAATTCCTCACCGAAAACATTTCGTTTACCTGGATTCAACAATTGCCCGGTCGTTTTGAATATCACCGGCGAGTAAGCGCCCCAACCTCTCTGCGTTTTCGCCCGCACTTGCAAACCGTACTCGGTCCTCTGCTGCAATCCGGTTATCGTCGCCGATAGATCGGACGTCAGCAAGCTGTTGTTGCTGTAGTCGATGTCGTTCCGCTGGAACCACCGCACCTGCAACAAAACCAACACGTTAATAATTTTGCCCGATTGGATAACCGAGAAAAATTAGTAGAGAAAACCAGAAGAAACGCAGACATCAGAGAGCAATGTGAAGCATTGCAAGAGGCAGTAGTACGACCAGGTAAGCCGGATGGATCAGAACAGTTGCTCCTGAAAAGCAACTCGATTGAAGACCTCCTGAAAAACAACTCGGTTCAAGACCTCCTGAAAAGGAACCCGGTACAAGACCTCCTGGAAAGCATCCCGGTTGAAGACCTCCTGGAAACCAATCCGGTCCAAGTCCTCCTTGAAAGCAACTTAGTTCAAGTTCTCCTGGAAAACAACTCGGTTGAAGACCTCCTGGAAGACCACCTAAAAGATGTAGGGACATTTCCCAATCTACCTCCCACGAAACGAAGCAGATGCAGCTTCACAATTAACACACCAACACCAATAAATAAAAGAAGAAGAAGAAATAAGTATTTACCTCGTAGGCTTCGACCAGATCGCTCTCCATGTCGGATCCGTCGTTGTTGGTCGGTGCGTCCCAAGCCAACGTGATCTCGGCGCTCTTCACCGCCGTCACCCTAATGTTGGCTATGCTGCTGGCCACCGAGGCCTCGGTGGTGACGACGATGTCGGCGTATTTGGGGCCGTCGCGACGCGCCAAATGCGACACGCCGTTCTCGGCGAATATCTGAAATCTGTAGGTGGTGACGGCGTTCAGGCCGCTGATCGTCACGCGGCTCTCGTTGAACGTGTCCTGCGCGCAAAAAACCGTTGAAAATTCGTAATGGAATTCGACGGGTTTCGTAACTCACCAAATTCGGATTGTATTGTACCAATCCGGGGCTGCAGGCGTCGCATTTTATCCTGTACACCGTATCGGATCGGCCGCCGAGGTTGTCGGGCGGTAGCCAGCTCAGGATCACCGTCGATTGATCGACGAAGCTCACGGTTAGGTTTTGCGGCGCTGACGGGGGTTCTAAAATGCTCGTAAATAATCGTCTGATCTGATGTAAAGGTCGGTAGAATACTTACGCGTGCAAGACATGTTTTTGGGATCGCTGGCCGCTCGGTAATACTCCGGAATGCAGGGGCATTCGGTCAAACCGTTGTCGGGTCCTTGGGAGAAGAGCGGACAAGGAAGACACGGGCCGTCGCCGGTCTCCGCTTTGTACGTCTCCCGTTGGCAAACTAGCACAAAAAAAAGTGTTAACGATTCGATAAAACGACGATTGGAATCGAGGAACTTACTGTTGCAGGTTTGTTTCTCCATGTCGGGCTGGTAGCCCGCCTTGCATTTGCAACCGCCGGTGGGCAACGTCCATTTGCCGTCGCCTTTGCAGAGGTACGTCGGAGTACCGCCGACCATTTCGGCGTTGCTCACGCAAGTGCCGGACGCCTGTTCTATTATCGTTATTTCCTTGCCCGTGGGGGTGGTAGGGAATCGAGCGAAGTTTATCGTCACTTCGGGGCACACTATGTAATATATCTAAGCGAAAGAAGTATTTAGTATTGTTGTTGTTCGCGTAATCGAGTAGTTACTTTTATGGCCAGAAGCGATATGCAAGCTCCTTGGTCTCTGAACGCGAAGTACACCCCTTTTTTAGTGACTGGGATGCTTTTCACTTCGGTGTTGATGTTGACTTCGCTGTTGGAGTTGAATCGACCCTCGCCGGCCGCTATGCGACCTAAAAATAAACGATAATTAACTGACCTGTCTCAATAAAATAATCGTATACCATTGTCTCCCGTTGAAGAAAAAATTAGAGAGATAATATTCATTCATAGTTGGCGAGAATTATTATTAGGTTTCCGAGCCGCGCGGGTCCGTTATTTTATTATAATAAACTGTTTATTCAATCGACCGTGTCGGACAGATCCAATTCTTCCAAGTGATCTATCTTGCACAAATATACAACGTAAGTGGGTCGTATAAATAGCGATAAATCATCATTAGGTTACAAAATTTCAAGTTCATCGGTCAATCCTTTAAAATTTATCGTTTTTACTGTTTTGGCACGACGCCAACTTTCCTACTTTTTATAGTCGAGAAGCACCAATCGAATCATCATATTTTTTTTAATACATTAACAAGTTTTACCAACGCAAGGTATACAATTCGAATTTAAATTAAAACTTCTTCCTCCTGCGAAAATAAAAACGAAACAAGAATGGCTTTTCCGCCGTTCTATTTAGCTATTTCTTTTGATCTAGAAAGAGAAACGGGCCCGAGAGCCCCGAGCACCTCAACTAATTTCGACGTTTTAAATTGCCGTTTGTTTCGAGAACCAGTACGGGCGGCACGACCCGATAAATATTTAAGTCGTGTAACAAGTGCCACGGAACGAAATTCATCTGTGCCTCCGCGGTCGCTGGGAAGTAATTGGAGAACGTGTAAATATTTGGTTTGAGTTTTGTCGGTTAACTTACACGGCGATTAATTTTTCAAAGAATTTTACTTCGGGAGAATGTATATTTATCGCGGCGGAATGATTAATCGCCTCGGCGTTTTGACATTTTTTTTCCAATCCGGAATTCTTTTGATGTCTCGATCGTTGGATAGGAAAATGCAACGTACAGGAAACGACTCGTTTCATTTCGGAGTAAAATTCAATTTTTCTTAGTGTAGTTACGAAATTTGTACGTTTTTTTAGTGTATAAGCATGTTAATGTCAAAATATTGGAGCTCGTTGGTGATTGGTTAAACTTTTGTGTTCTACGCTTTGACAGGTTGGGAAAAACATTCCCACTTTTGACACTTTTTGTTAAATGACAGTATTTGGAATATGCCGAATATGAGAGTACTGGTTATTTTGATATCTCGATCAATTTTTCTTAGTGCAGTTACGAATTTTGTACGTTTTTTTTAGTGTATAAGCATTTAAATGTCATATTGGAGCTCATTGGTGATTGGTTGAAATTTTGTGTTCTATGCTTTGACAGGTTGTCTTAAAAAACATCCCCACTTTTGACACTTGTTAAATGACAGTATTTGGATGTGGCTAGTCAACCAATCGCACATTTAGTCGTGTCTACGCGTACGATGTTTTACAAATTTTTAATCAAATTAAATTATTCTATTCAACGTTTTAAAGTCGCTCAATTCCAACTTATCCACAATTTCATACAATCTCCATAACAAAGTACTAAAAGTTTAAAACTGCGCTCTAAAATGACGCGAATTTGTTACCGTTTTCAGAATTTATTGTTTCCGAAGCAGGTCTTTTGCGAGATAGACCCGCCCGCCGGATTGTGTCTTATAAAGTCTTCCGCGTCGACTAGGCGTATACCCGGTAATAGTAAAATAATTTTATAGTCGAAGTACAGTTAATGCACCAACAAGCAACAAAAGAATTCGAGTAATTTAACGTTCCTGAATAATAATAACGTTTATTGCTCGATAAGTCGACAGAAAACCACCGGGTAATTAAGTACGCGTTTAAAATATAACGCGAAATTAAGGAAGTATTAGTTAGTGTCGAATAGTTTCCACTCGATATTGCGCGTTTAATAGCCCTTTTAATGTTTAAAAAAAAATTAACAAACCTCTCATTAACAAATTACGCTCAACCATTTTCTATCGGCGCTTTTATGATAAAAAAAATGCGACAGGTGTGAGTTATTACAACGAAAACAATCGTTTAGTAATAACCTACTTAACTCGAATGCCTATTAACAAATCCCAGCGCAATTCTAAATTCCAATCTAAATGCAAATAAATAAATCACCGGCGAGCAATGCACAAAAATGCGTTTCGCGTTTATACAAAAAAAAACCCTTTGATAAATTTATGCGAGAACCGATTCGACAAAAAGCGGTCGGGGCAATTACAATGCGAATAATGAAATTCACGGAGGCATAAATAATAACGACAACTTAATTAAATATTGAACCGTAATTATTGAGTTTTAGTCGGCACACGCTCGTATTTCCGATATAAACACACGAATATAATCGAATCGAAGACGAATAAAGCGGTCTTTTGAAAACAAAAATCACGGTATTTATTACCGCGTTAAAGATTATACGCCGTTGATCATACAAATACTCCCACACGTGAATTTTCATCGCATACAAAGACAACGAATAAACCCGTTTTCATCATCATAAACATAAACGAATGCCAGTCAACGGGGCCCAACGGGGGGCGGCCGATAAAATTCACCCCCGATCGCATTTTGATGCCCATCAAACGGGAAGCAGTAAAAATCCAATTTGTGTCCAAGTGACCAATAAAAAAAATTCTCCTACTGCCACACATCCACATCAAACATATTAACCTTTTTTTTACAACTTGTAAAAATCGACGCGAATCAGCGATAAAATCGAATTTTACAACTTTTTTTTCTCGTCGAAGTAATTACGAGAAATCGGTTCGTAAAGTTTCAATCAAAGCCCGTACGGGTTATGGCCGCATTCATTGAATAATTAAATAAATTACGAGTACAATGTCACGGGGAGTATATACGCAATAGGATCGAAACGAAACGTTTTATGAGATTTGTGGCTTATATTGGTAGATTAAATTGATGTTTTTAGATAGCCCTAATACGAATTAATACTATCCTATTACTAACCAACATTTTATTGATGGTAAAAATCAAAATCAGGTGTGTGTATACAGAGCATATACATATGCTAATGATTCGAAAGGGTTCCGTACTATCCAAACGAGTACCTGGAAGTCGCAAGGACTCTCAAACTCCGCTCATATAATAAAATGATAGCTTATGATTATTATGTAGGCAGATAATAATCATAAACCTACATAAGATAAGAACTCAGTCATTAATTTGAATTTAATACCGCAATTACAAATAGCATTTTTTATTGTACTCTCGACTCGAAATAGGTCAAATAAGTGCCGTAAGATTACATAGTATTTAATGTTCTTTTGATTGCACCCATTCGGAGGAAAAACTCCTAAGTTTTATTAACGATCAAACTTTTGCCACTTTAGTATATCTAGCGAATTAATCGATTTTTTTAGCTTTTAAACAGAGTTAAAAATAAGAAACTTACTTATCAGTTTGTATCTTTCCGCGTCCCAGGGAGGCGGTTCTCTCGTTACAGCATCGAATTCGTAATACAACAAACTAAACGTCTCCTTGCAGGACAAAGCGTTTCCTGGAAAAGAAAAAAAAATGCAAACCGTTTCGTTACATTCTTAGTACACGTCGTTTGTATAAATTAATTTTCTAATTGTACATAAACGTTCGATCATAAATTACATCCCATTCGATATTACGAGAATCCCATAAATCAAAGGCACCGATTCAAACTAACTACTTAATGCGCCTACGCCCGACGAAACGAAGCGACTCGCCGGGCATTTTATCGACTGCACATAACTATTGTTCACCGGCATGTTTCCGATAGGTACAATATAATATTTCGGCAGCGACGCTCGCTCTTCATGGACTTTCCGTATACACAATTACCCGTCTAATGGGCGATAAAAACGGCTCCAAACTGCCAATCCGTATCACACAATCAGATCCTCCCTAATTTTCCACCCTCGCGTTTTTCCGCGTTATTGAATCCAAGATAACGGCGAAAATTATTGGATTTTCCGAATTTTACAATCAGGACAAATATTATACCAAACCCTGTTGAAGTCCGATCGCATCGTTTAGATAGAATCTACTCGTCTCGACTGCCCATATGCCCTTAATTGGACGTAATAATGTGAAAAAAGAGTTCTTAACCAGCGTTTATTGAAATTTCGAAATGTTCACGTTTGTCGTAATTCCTTTAAGTGACCTTTATTAGATACACATAGAACCAGCTTGAAGGACATTACTCTCAATATACAGGGTGTTTTTCACTACAACGAGGTTAAAATATTGTATTTAGTTCCTGGAGATACTTCCAATAGATCAAGAGTTATTAGTGAGCAACTTACCGGGAAAAAGGCTGCAATCCCTGATGGTGAATTTAATCTCGATGTACATCCTATTCGAAACGTTTCGGTCTATGAAGGGCGTCCACAGCCAGTTGTTTACGTTGTTGTAGGCGACGTCGCAGACGACATAGGACCTCCAGTTGATGCCCTTCAGGAAATTCGTGAAGGATTCTTCCACCCACTGCAAAGACGAATAAAAAAAGACACTATAAGTATTAAAGTTAAGAAATATCGGGCCATAAAATCCTCTCCTTCCTTTTTCGATTCGTTTTGAATATCAACGCAAACGGGCTCGTGTAGATGTGCAATAAAACGTGAAATTTGATATCGAGCGTAATTTATGTAGAGGAGGAGGCATTTTCAATGTAGCCTTTTCCATTTTATAAACGGTCGTGGAAGTTTATCGAAGGACATTTTAACGCGAAACGCCATATTTTCGAAAGAAGAAAAAAAAAAAATGACGAAATCGATTAATGCACGTATTAACAGCCGGTTAAACTAAAATATTTACACATAGATCAAATAGAATACACACGGTATTCCGTAATATTTCCGTCATCGCCAGTGAAATTTATTAGCGCAGGAATTATGTGGGTTATTAAATACGCCACAAAAAGTCGAAATAAATTCCTTTCGCATTCGAAACGTGAATAATATCGACCGGATTTATACATGCCAAGCAGATGTACTCGATTTACCAGCCTCGGCCAATCCTCGAGATTCGATCTAATTAATTTACCGTTTAGACAAAATATCGTAAGATATTTTGATGTTATTTTTCTCCACCAACCCCTTTATCGAAACCCAAAACCGTTCGGAAACATCTCCCGATGTTAAATCACGCACCTGACTGCATATTTATCCTCATTTCCTGCTCCTCTAAATGCGTCGGCGTTTCGCTTATTCGAGCCAATTTGCGACAAACACAAGTGTTACAATTTAGAAACTCGGGACGCGGGAAGAGGAGAGATCGCGATTTCGACACCACCTGGTCGTTTTCTCACTTGTACCGGCAGCGTCGCGACGCCCGATTCTCCGCGTGCACCAAACAGACGGTTCCAAATGGATCAATCACAGATAATATTGTCGAAAAATGGACAATAAACTTGGTCTTTTTAGAGTGGATTTTTACGCTAAAATAAAACGATATTTCTCCAACTATTTAAGGAGAATTGATCGGAATTTTCCCACCGTTTGGCAATTTCCCGCCTCTGTTGGAAGCGCTGCAATCACAGCTTACGGTGTACATTCAAATCTAACTAACCCATTCGCTCTGACGTGTCGTTGTCGTATCGTAAAGCTTTATTAGTAATTATAACGTTAAGACTGTGTGACAAGGTCCTATCGTCGCTTTAGGGGCGAAATACACATTAACCCAAACGGGTTTCTAGTTTCTACTAATATTAGGTTTGGAATTTATATTTTAATCGGGGTTGTAAGGGGGTTAAATATTGCGCCGATAAAACCGATTGTTTCCTTTGAATGGGATAGTTTGATGTTAGTTTAAAGCGGAGGGAGGAATTATTTTATGATGATTCTTCCAAATTTGCGTATAATCATAAAAGTTTAACTAATTGTAGACCTGCTAAATGTATGGGAAATGAGAAATTAACCGGCACGTCATCGCCCTGTGGGAAAGGAAACACGCGATTTTTTTTCCGAAATTTTTTTACTGCTAAAATAACAAACCGCCGAAAGGTTCGAGTACGCGTTTCTTTTTTTCTTTTTTTTTTTTTAGTCGAAAAACGTTCATTAATTTCCGCAATACCGGAGCAGTTTTTACAACGAACCCAGAAACGAATTCTTCTCATTTAACTAACCATATCGAACGGCCTTTTGCTCATTAAATTACCCAGTAACAAACCCGAAAAAAACAGGTCACCAATTGACGTCGCGCGAAAATATTGTAGCGGAGTAAACATTCGTGCAAGAGTAATTGCTCGATGTCAATTCCTCCGGTTTTCGTTTAAAGAAAATCGATATTTCACGAAAACCAATTAAACGAGTTAATGAGTCCGATTTCTAATTATTTTTCCAGACCGTTTACGCGCCCGTAATGAACGGGTACACGCGTATTTTTATTATTTCGACAGAAACAAGAAAGAAAAGAAACCGAAGCGGATGCGGGAGGGCCGGCGACGACAATAATTGGGGAGGACATATTACAAATAAACAATAAGGCTTGGTGTGCTGCTCGAATTACGCGCGTTTCACCTGACTTGACGGGTAAAAATAGAACTAGAGGGCCTCCGTCGCTTTTATTAGCCGTATTTCTTCGTTTGATGTGCGCCATGTGCTTAGAAATACCTTCGTGTACGCCAGTACCTTCGAAACTCGACGGATAGCCCAAGTAGTAGAGGCCAAAAAATTGTAATTGTAATAGAAAAGTTACAAAATAAATTTACAGATCGTGTTGTTTGTGGTAATTGTACTTATTTTATCCTACTTATCTGGAGTTGCTATAGCCGATCGAATTCGAATTGGGTTGGATTTCATTTCAAATTGTCGGGAAAAGAGGCTTTTAATTTTTAATCTCGTAATAATCAGTTTAGAGGTAGATTCTCCCTTTTCAGAGCGCGCCGGAAGTTTAGTTAAGAAGATTATATTTTTTAATATTCTGTTTTTTAACGTTTCGAATGCTAGGGGATTATTTATTTTCGTTGAAGGTTTATTATTTTTTTCTTTTTGTCGATGCCCGAACGAGAACGAGATGGATGTTATTTCTGGCATACAAACTTTGATGATACGACGAAATTCGTCATTCATGCATTTAATGCGCGATAAGATTTAATTAATAAGAAGAATATCTCGAAATTATCCCAAGCAAAAATCTCGCTCGACAAAATTTTTGCACGCTCTCGAATTTTTTGATTACATTATCAGCTTTATCAAACGAACACGATATTTCTTTTTCCCCGTACGGTTTCTCAGCTATTTATTCCGACTATGTCGCGCAAATTCCGCGAAATTAAAATTAAAAACGCCGATAATTTATTTACGTTTCTCCGACATAAATGCATATTTGCTTCGAGCAAACTATTATAAAAGAAGGTAAATATTAATTTGAATAATTACCTAATGTATTCGACAAGTACGAGGCAAAGCGGTTTGATTTATGTTAATATTAATATAGTGGTACCAAGAAAATGTAGCCAACAAATCCCCCAAATTTCCAACGTCTACTCCGTGTAAGTACTAAATGGATGTTTCATTATTTTTTTTATCGGTTAGGAAAATAGGGTCGCCTCAATTTGCTTGCGGAAAATGAGATTCGTCGAGTTTTCGCCAACATTGACGCACGCCGGTGAGATGGAAAACACATCGACACGCCGAGCTTCGGGCGAAAATTGTTTTTCCTCAATAAAATAAAAAAAAAAACGCCCATTATTATGCATAACTTGTTTTCCGATAAATAACACTAAAAATATGATGGAATATACAGGCAAATTTCGGAATATTATTTTACTTTATTAACAATAAGTGCCAGAAAGTGAGATTGATTTGAGAAACTATTACTTACGAATTTCTATAAAAATAAATTTTCTATTGGAGGAATGCACACAGGAAATCATAATAGTCTAAATGAATGTGACTACAACAATTCGTAGTAATATGTTCAACGAATTTACCGCAATAGCTGAGCGGAATAAATTTCTAAATAAAATAGAATTTTGATATCAAAATTTGTATTCAACTCTATTTTAGCCACACACAAAAATACCCTTTTAAAATACTAAACAAGTAAACGAACACAACTCTACAGGGTGGATACTTTTGAAACACCCTGCAACTACACTAGAACATACGAGGGTAGGTCGATAATACGTTGTTGATGCATTTTCCGATTCAATAATTCCCGAAAAAAGAAATTCGTCCGGATTAGGTTTTTGCGCGGGAAGGGCGATTTGTCCGAGTCGAAAAACTAGGGACATTAATATTTCGCGCGACAAAACGAAATTTATCCGATTGTCGACTTCCTAAGAGCGGATTCAACGTCGCGTATACGAAACCATTAGGGCTGGGAACTTTATCAAAAAGAAAATAAGAGAAAAAAAACTGCCATAAAGCCTAAATAATTTCATAGAATTAATCACGGCGTTAAGAAGATAGAGGAGAGTCGACGAGGGAGAAAAAGTTGAAATAGAAGAATTGTAGATATACCTTTTTATCTTTATTTTTTTTTTCATTCGCAGACAATGAGAGAATTTCGTGCTTCGGGCGACAATTCGAGATCTACAAAGATTTATCATTTTAAAACTAACCACATACAGAAATTACCATGTACACCTCGTGGACGATAACGCCCCAATAACACGAAGACAATTTGCAAGACCTCCAGTAATGTGTTTTTTATATCCTAAAGAAGGTAATAAATTCCGTTAAGAAAAGAAAAAAGGGAGCTATAAATCTCCCTATTCGAACACTGGCTTCATCTCGGAATCCCTTCCTGCGCCAACTTTTATCCCTCCTAACATTAACTTCCCTCGCCCGTAGGTAAGTATATATATCCCATTTAAGCCCTTACGGCGCCGAGCCACTAGGTGTGCATTTCTATAGGTTCGCAACAGCAAAATTAACTGGTAAACGAACGCGAGCAAAATACACCATGAGCAATAAAAGAAAAACAAATTGACAGTTACATAAAAACCCCTCTCTCCCCCAACACCAACATAGGCGCGCAAAAATCCCATCAACGCGAATTGTTATTTACCTAGGTAATACATAACACACGCCCCTGGTCAGATTTATTAAATAAGTTATTTATACGGGGCTTTCGGAGAGTGCGGACGAAATAATAGAAGGGGGCGACGTTATTCCGTGAATTAGGAAGCAAATATTTGAAAGCGAGATTGCCTATAGACGGCAAATGCGGGGGGAAATCATGCAAAATGAATACGCATATTATGTATACTCTTTTCGGGATTTAGCGATACATGCTTTTGAATATTTTATATAACAATGCAGAGGATACGTTCCGGATAAAAGGGAGAGGATATACATATAGGATACACTCGAATGCAGGCCGTTAATAATTCAACGGCGGTTAATGCTCATTTGCTATCGGATGTAGGGCGTAAGATGCGGCGACGATATTGAAAATTTTAGCATCGAATATACGGGGATTGTTTAATAAATAATTATCCACCGAATGCATTCGAATACCTGAATAATAAATTGCTC